TGAGTCTGTAACTACACTGAATATATGTTGAAGAATATCTGTAAAATATGTCTGATAGAAATTTTGAGTATCCGGCGCCGAAATTTCAATGTTTTGTAAAAATTGATACAATATTTGTAATCCGATATCTGCAACATTTCTCATTGTATGCTTGAAAGCCCAGATTATAGAATCAAGTACAAGTTTAAATTGTGCTGGTGGAATTATAAGAAATGCACCGAAACAAGAAACATTCACTTCCTAAAATATAAAAATGTTTACAATATATATTTATATCACACAGTGAAACAACTTATAAATAGTTAATATTATATATGATTACCTGTAAAAGTAAAAAGAAATTCGTTCTATGTTCCGGGAATTCTTCAAAATCTTTATTTATCATTTCTAAAGTACATTCAAACACAGCATCAAATATTTTAGGTATTTCATTGGTAATGTAACATTCTAATTTATTTACGATAGTGGCTATAGCACTTAGCACCTCTGGTTCGCGTGCACAATGAACATTTGTTTTTTGATAATCCAATAAAACGGCATCCAATAAAGGTGGTAAAAAGCTCTCTAAGACCTGATTATAATATATACAATAAATTAAATTATTTTAAAGGTATTCACAATCTTTACAGAATATGACTTTTAGAATAATACAATTTTACCATTTGACGATCAGTTGTTCTGCTAACCCATTCTGAGATCAATTTTAAGGTTTCCTTTTTCACTACTCTCATACTTTTAATTAGAGATTGTTCCATTACTACTTCACCATTCAAAGCTATTGCAGCACTTATATTTTCACTCATAACCTGAAGAAAACAATTAAATGCTAATATGATCATTAAAACAATTCAATATATTATTAAACAGTATTAATATACCTTATAAACGTTCAACATATCTAAATATATTCTTCCTAATTGTATCACGTATGGATGACCAAGAGCTTTACAAGCCCTCACATTTGTTTTTAAAATACTAGCGAGTTGTTTTATAGCTTCTTGATCTTTTAATACATCTACATTCTGAAATAAAATATTTTTATTAGGTCAGTTAAAACTAATTAGAAAAATTATAAAGTATTCTTTATTTTTTTAATATTTACTTTAGATGCTTGACTTATTATGTCATCCCATACTTGATTTGGTAAAAGCATATATCTCTCTATTAATTCTTCCTGCATTACTGTGTCTGTCTGTGCAAATATCATATACCCAACTGCTTCATAAAATGTATGTACCTAACAGAACACAAAAAACATAATTAACTTTTATTATACATATAATAATACATATTATGTGATATATTAAAAATATGTGCAATATATGTTATTCGATGTTTTCAATGATTTTACCTGCTGGGTTTGAAGATCACAAATGATACTACTAATAGTAGAAAGAATTTCCTCAATGAATGGTACCAATTCTCCAGTTTGTGGCGTAACAAAATGTCGCCTGCATTTCAATGCGATTTTTATAAACGTGTCACAGGCCATATCTTGCACACCATCGTGAGTTTCTAGAAGAATATTTTAATTAATACATTTTTATAATGTTGCATTGAACCTATTGTATATTATGCAATGATTATATAATGTAATATCCTTACCATGCATGAATTCGAAGAGTTTATTTACAACAGTCTTTAAAAATTTCCAATGCGCTCTCAGAAATCTTGGATACTGTCCAACTACATACATAATATTACTAGCAATAATAGCTTTATTATCCTTGCCTTTCTTTTGTTCACAAAGACCAAGAAGATCTTTGATAACAGTAACTAAAAATCGCTTTTCGTCTTCTTCGTGCATCGCACCAGAAATGCTACCTATTGCCCAGCATAACTAATCAAAGAATTAAAATTTTTATATTCTATGACATTTTTATTATGAATTTTATATAATATTTTCAGCATATTTACCGCATTGAGATTTTTCCAAGACCATTCCGTTCCATTTACTTGATTTTGTAGTTTTTCTGTCATTATTCTTTCAGTATCCATGTAGTCAAGATGAGTAAGATACACAAGAGTTTCTCTCATATTTTTATATAAATTAATAGAATCAGTGTCTTTCATAAATTCTCTAACAACTTCCCCATTTTCATTTTCTACAACAAGAACTTCTTCTGGTTTAGCCATTCTACTAATCATAATATACCGTACTTTAGTTAGAACCGGGCAATAGAATAATCTCCTAGATGGGAGAGTCATATTTTTGACCATGAACAAGGGCGTTGGGCTAACAAAAGGATTTGCTCTATATAAATCCATTGCTAATGCATTCCAATATTCCAAACAAATCTTAAATATTTCAACTTCTTCAACTTCAGAAATTAAAACAAGGTAATGCAATGCTTTAAGTAGCAACTCATTCAATTGTTTTTTCTCTATAAACTGCCCATGTTCTTTTAGGTATGTGCAAAGAAAAATAGCTAAATTTTGAATAAAATTTTGTTCTTGATCTCCACCAGCTGCATATGCTTCGCGTATATTTGTATCAAGGGGTAGGATCTGTTCTAACTGTCGCATTACGTTTACAAACAACATTACAAACACATCGTCATATGTTGTTACTGTAACACCAGCGATTTCAGTTAAGCATTTTAGTGTAATGTTTCTGAATATTGGTACATTTAAGAACTGCAAAAAAAAAAAAGAAAAAATATAATGTTATTTTAAAATAATGAACAAAAAAAATTAGAAAATTATATTCACCTTGAATACTAAAGTACTTATTAATTTTGTTTCAAAAATATACCCCAGAGGAATCCAATTTAAAAACCTTAAAAGAGTTTCTAATGTAACTGCCACCAATTGGACATTTTGTGAATTATCCAATACAAACTGACAAAGATGAAAAATGTGCGAGAATTCACTACACATAGTATCTTTCAAATGTTTTGCTTTTGTTTGTGTCATTTGTCCACTAGAAAAGTCAAACACTTCTTCTGATAATAATTTTAAAATTGCCATATTATTCTGACAAAGACTTTCATTTGTTTTACTTGCTCCAACAATATCACCAATGAAAGACTCCCAATTTTTCGGCCATTCCCGTTTTAAAACCTGTGACAGATGTAATTCATTAAAATGAAACTTATGAATAAATGAAATAACTTTTACATTCTTCTAACTTCAATCACTTACCTGGACTAAAATCATATTAAGTTTATTCAGATAAACTTTTGAAGCCTCCATTGTTTCTGGATCACTACTTGTCTTTATGATAAGGCCTACAATATATTTTTTTATACCTTCACACTGATTTCTTGGTAATACTTTCCATCGTGTCTTTATAACTTGTTCCAATATTTGTAGAGCATAATACTTTGTTTGTTGATTCTACATACAAATGATTATATTAAAGAAGTATCTGCATATTTATAAGAGATATTGGTTAAAAGAATCCTTACCTGTGAATATTCTAGAATAGTATCTACACGAGTCCATGCGTTTGGATGTTCTTTAAGTGTGGTTAGTACTTCCTGTGCAACTCTCTGTTGCTCACCTATCCCATTGTACATACAACCTACTATATTATCAAGAAGTGTTATATCCAGCTTTTGATTAAAATCCAAAAGCTTAGACGCTTGTTCAGCTAATGTTGCCATTATTTATTGTAAATTATCCAATTTTCATACACTCTATCTGTAAATAATTACATTTGATATTATTACTTGATTTATTACAATTAAATACCTATTTTATAAATAAAACACATATATTACAAAGTATTGTTTCCAAAAAGGGGCTAATTTATTCCACAAATTAATAAATAGTTTAGAAAGCACAACTCAGTACAATGACAAAATAATTTTAGTTCAAAAATATGTTACAACATAAACAACATAAACAATATTAGTATTTAGTGTTAATAAACAATGTATATAAAAGACGCTGTATTCTTTATATTATTTCATTACTTTTATCAAAATGTTTTTCATATACTGTTACAATTTTATAGGTAAAAGCATTAGAAGCTTATAAAAGATTATAATATCAAATAATATTATTGTGCTTCTATGTGAAAAACAGTTATTTCTGTTTGTAAACAAGTTGAGAATATTAAAAAAAATAAAATATAATATAAATAATAAAATTAAACAGAAGCGAGAATTAAAAAGAAATCATTGTTAACGTGTAGCGAGGGAGGTCACCGCACTGCGACCGCTCGACCTAACCTACATTTGACAATCGCAAATAAGGTTATGTGAAAATTTATTATGCGTAATGTTTATAAATCCAATGTAAAACATATTTCACTTAATACATTTAATCAACAGAAGTATATGATAATAAAGATATAAAATATTAATAGCAGATAACTGGAATTTGTAGACTTTTGTTATCCGGGTGCACTTTACTCATTGCGTCGTTGTTCAACGAATAACGTATCATAAACGACATTTGCACATACCACATTAGCTCCCACACGTAGATTCTCAATTCATAGGTAAAAAACACACGTTTCACACGAACAATCACAATCTCTCGCAGTAAATCACAATCAGAAAAAGGCCAAACACACAACCGCTGATTCCCGCGCGACCAATTTCGTTCCTCGTTTCACAGCTCTCTGTTCTTCACTGTCTCTTTCTCTCTCTCTATCTTTCGCACGTTCTCTCGCTCGTCACTCCTGCCTCTGTTTCGTTTGTGACGATCGTCAGTGAAGAGAGCTCCACTCAAATATACAATACCCACCGAGGCCGTTCTTCGTCGTAACTTTGTTTCTCAAATCTCATACAGAATTTCTACTATATCCCTTCACTTCCAATGAGAAACAAGAAAACTGGCTGCTTTACGTTATGCTCGAATCCAACCTACAGATTTTCGAAAATAATAACAAAATGGCTGAACACGTTACGCGGACCATTGCGGAGAAACGAACATTTTCATTGGTCCCAACGATCTATTTTGTCCAATCAGAAAAACTCTAGCGACTGTTTCTGAACGTCACAAATTACGTCACGTGATGTCATGCAACACGTGTTCTCCATTTTGACTTAAAATTCCGTATGAATAACGTTTCATGCGAATAGCTAATACGCATCTATATCTTGATTCTTAGCTAAAGTTAATAACCCATGTTGATGTTTACATATTTCCAATTTTTTGATAGTCACAATGTATTATTAATGTAATAAGAACGATTATGTTTCCTTGAATGTTTATTTGCCATGAAACGTGAAATCTTAGATGAAGAATCTCTGCGATTACTATCCTAGTTGCAAGCATATGACAGTTTGTGATTTATTGTCTTATTGCAAGGTGTTTCTATTAGAATTTTAATAGTTTAATTAACTGAGCGGCATTTACATTATTGCAGTGACCAAAATTTAAAATTATTTAAAATAGGCATATTCACATAATTAATTGGATATGTCTTGTCAGATAAAAGGAATTGCTAATCTAACCAATACAAGTAATATCAAAGAGTTACTTTTCGGAGATATTACTAGGAGACGTAATTTATCATATCTTTTTGCTTCGTCTTTTAAATAAATGATAAATTTCAATCAATTATCAATATTTATACTTTTTAGATGACATTCCAAAAGACGAGTTACCATTACAAGACTGTTTTATATCATTATCATCGGCTGGAGATGTTCTTGCTATGGCAAATAATACAAAGATGATTATATTAATTTGTATGTGTATAAATTTAATTTTAAATAATATATTTCTACTATCTAATTTATGCATAATTTATCTAAAAGTATATAATTAATACAATTATTTAATATTAAATTAGCAAGATGGGATTCGTCAGAACAAGATGAAGCAAAAAATAAATTTCACATGATATGGTATGGTGAAGTTGCCCAGGAAGATAAGTAAGTCTTTGTTCTAGTAATAGTATGTTAAATTTTATATATATATATTTTTTTTTTACTACTAATTTCTTCGAAAATATGTCCATATATTGAAAGTGTTTTTTAGTGAATGGATAACGTCTGTCATTTGTTTACCATTATTGTCATTGGGAAAAGCTAGTAGTGGCACTAATCCAGATTGGACATGTATTATAGTTGGTTTTAATACTGGTTTTATTAGATTTTATACAGAAGTAAGTCAAATTTAAATATATGATAATGATTTATAAAATGTACTTCTAGTAATTAAATTAAATTATAATTAAAATTAATATTAAAACTAATATTTATTTTTTATTTAGACAGGTGCATTATTGTTAGGGGAACAATTGCACAGTGAACCAGTTGTGGGGTTAAAATGTCAATCTTTTCGTGCCCCTAAACACATAGGTGATAGTGGTTTGGCTGAAGAAATTTATGTGACATATAATAGTGTTATATGTGTATTACAAGGTTTTCCTTTATTTTCTACACTAAGAGCATGTAGAAATCATTTAGCTAGAGGTATATAAATTAAAAATATAATAGCAATATTTTATTGAAATTTAACATCTTCGTCTAATAGTATGTTTATTGTTTCTTACTTGAAGTTCAAGCAAACTGTGATGATCTACCACCTATTACAAATTTATCGTATAAGAAGTGGGGCTATAAAAGCCAAGATATTGTAAATGATTCAGAAGTAATTGGTACCACTTCTGTAAATAGTTTTGATCATTTAATGACAGCTTCAATTTGTGGTGGATATAATGCGTCTTACAGATCTAGCGCACCACAACATAATTTGGTTCTTGCAACTGGTAAACGACCATTTGTTGGTTTTCATTATGCATTAGAAGGTGGCTCAGCTCCGGTTCTATCAGATGTTGCAATAGCAATGGCCAGCAAATTAGCAAATGCTATTGGAACTGCTGTTCCGTGAGTGTTGCATAATAAATTCATGTTATGCATTTATTGTCAAAAGGATGCATCACCTGTAAGAGAGCTATAGTTAAAATACATTACTTGAATGTCACGTAATTTTTTAATTCTGAAAATTAGATCGTCATTCTACATCATGTTAGTATAGTATTCTATTTTTATACATAAAGTATTTTATTCTTTCTGTTTAGTTGGTTTCCTCTTAATTGGGGAAATTCGAAACATCAGGCATCACTCGAAGCATCGAAAACTAATGCTCATGAACCAGTTGAACCAATGACTTGTAGGTTTGGATTAAGTGATGTTATGAGAGAGGGTTACTCAATAATATCCAGTCCAAATAAAGCATTGTCAGTAATATTAGATGCAATGGGTAGAGTATTATTAGTAGATAATAGATCTTGCATAGCCACAAGAATGTGGAAAGGTTATAGAGATGCACAATGTGGTTGGATTGAAGTGGAAGAGGAGAAACATTCTGGAATGCACAAAGCGTTTACTAAATTTAAACAAACTCCGCAATTGCGTTCTGCTTTCTTTTTAGTCATTTACGCCCCCAAAAAGGGTGTAATAGATATATGGAGTACTCAACAAGGTCCTAAAATTACTACATTTACCGCTAGTAAACATGGTCGGTCAGTAATATAATACTGTATTTTTGTGATACTGATAAACTGACGTAAAATTATTGGTTCAAATAAATGTTATTCTGCAGATTACTCTATATCAATTACGGTCTTCTTGGTGTGAATGATAATGTACATTTATCCAAAAATAAGCCACAATATTCGTGTGTTTTTATGGATCCACTTGGAGGGTTGAAAGAAATTACAGTACCATTTCATTTCGCTCTTAGTAGTAAAAATGGAAAAAGAGCGCGTGATATACATTTACTTAAAAAATTGAAAACATTTTTAAGAGAAGAAGATTATGAATATGATAAATTAATATCAGAAATTGAAAGTGTGTGTTCAGATTTGAAGAGTAATGAAATAAAAGTACAAACATTAGAAATGTTAATGTCAAATAAAAATATTATTCCTGATGCTTTACTCGCTGCAACAAATTGTTTTATTAAAAGACTAGATGAATATGGTACGTATATGCATATTCATTATTAATAGTTCTATATATTATTTGAAAAAAAAATATATAAGTTTTATATTATAGAAAAGGAAGAAATGGAACCTACAACAAAAATACTTTATTTATTAGCAACACAGTTGCAACAAGTAATTAATTTTTATAAACATATTAAATCTCAGTTTGATACTCCAGAACATAATGCTTCTATAAATGATGATAAAAGTTTAACTTCAACTTTACTAACTACTGAAAAAGAAGTGCATAGAATTTTTGAATTGTTTGATAAAATAAATAGTTATACGCGTTCAGATTCTAAGACAGAATGTAAAGTAAAATTTGTAGAAAATGGCAGAATATTTTTAGATTTTTTATCTTGTTTTGAGTTTGGAACATCAGGATTTATAGATATTAAAAAAGATATAAAAGCAGAAAAAGAACATTACATCTGTAAGTATTTTAATATATTACTTTAGAAATATATATTTTATATGTGTATGTGTAATTAATATTCTCTTAATAATTAAATGGTTTTTTTTTCATGTTTTTAGCTGAATTAATGTACGAAGGTTGTGTACATTCGTATGATAGAATTGAGAAATGGAAAGACGCTGCTAAGAGTAGTAATATTCAACCATTCGTTTTTATGAAATTTGCCTTAATTTACTGGCTTAATAAGAAACGAGATATATGTTTAGAAATAGAATTAAAGCAATTTACACAACTCTTAAGTGCTATTTGTTCAATAGCCAGTAAGTTCTAAATTGTTCTAATAAATTAAGTTTTACTTTTATTATTATAACATAAGTTATTACTTATAGATGTTGAAGAAATATGTGCAGAATATAATGAAATATCTTTATGGTGGAAAAAGGTTCGTAATATTCTCTTGGACTCAACAAATCCATTTAATGCACTTACTGCAGCTTTGATGTGCAGAGCTGTTGCTATGTCTATAGAAAGGTACAAAGAAAAGTGTAATAACAAAACTGAGGACAATAATGATCAAGAAGAAAAAGATGTTGAAAATAAAAATGATTTGGAAGAGGGAAAACATCAAGATTCTGTAAACAATTCAAAATCAAATGATGAAATATATAATTTAACAAATGAATGGGAAAATATTACTAAAGATACTTGCCAATTTACATTACTTATTGGAAATCTTGAGGATATTACAATTTTAGATGCTATTGTAAGGTAATTAATAACGAAATTTATTCTTAATGAACAGAATTCTTAGAAAATTTTAATTTCAGTCAACAACTTCCATCAGATACAATGCAATTTTTTGCATTACCATTTGTAAAATTTGATATATCATTAGGATCTGTCCTGTCAAGAGGAAAAGGTATTGTTCTATTGTGGTTATATATTATAGTACTGTCAAAGAACATATCTGTTTATCTTATATCATTATAATTAGGTTCTGTATCAGAGATAGTTGCAAAATGGATTACTTCTACCGGTATCGATCCTTCTCAATTAATAGATACAACAGATACGGAATTCGATCATATACGATCAACAAGTGATTCTTTAGAAATAGCAAATTCTTCAGACGAAATTTGTAATGTCGATGATATTTCACAACCTAATTTAGAAAAGCCTTTTTCAGAAACTCTTGTTACAAAAAATGAAGATAAAGATAGTACAAATGCTACTATTTTATGTATTTTAGGTAAAGAGATATTTGTATCTTAGGATTTATTGCATCTTAACATTCATATTTATTAGTCATCTTTTACTCATTAAATTGTATTATACATTAAATTATATTATATGTTTTTCTTTTTAATTTTCAGAAAGAATTAAATTATTGAAAAATCATTTTCCATATAGTTTAACGACTAGTGTCCTACTAGCCAATATTTGTTGGGAATTTGCAATGTCATGGAATAAAGATATTTCACAATTGAAGTCTCTTGAAGCTGCATTATCTGTTTTACAACTGATACCAATGAAACGTATGAGGCACGGTAAGAGAGGATTCTGAAAATTATTAATATTAAATTAAATATTGTGTATTTTTTTTTATTTTGTAATGTGTGAAATATTATTACCTCATTAGGTGTATGTTGTTTATTATGGTCAGTTCATATAAAAAAGCGAATGGAAGCAATTGCAAAATTAATTAATAAGCTTGGCAAACTACCAAAAGAAAGATTGTGTACACAGGAAATCGGTTTATCTGATATTCAAGCAGTTGTATTTTTACAAAATAGTGTTACATTTTTAGAAATTTTCATTGATGTAAGTTTTCTATGGATCGATATTTTGTATAATATGAAGCTAATTCAAGCGATATAAATATATTTTATATCACTAGTCTGAAATACTCGAAGTAGGAGAGAATATTTTATTTAAGTCAGAAGAATTATGGGAAGGATGCACTTCTGGTCCACAACCATTTGCTGCATTAGCTATTTCTCAAGCACCCGCTTGGTATGATCTAATAATGTTACATTTACAATTAGCTAATGTCTTATACATGATGGCACATTTTAATTTGAAACTTGTAAAACCATTAAATAATTTATTTGACTCTGTGGTAAGTAAATAAAAAATTGTTTTAAAAAATTTAGATTCATATTTATAATCTTAAATATTATATATTCTAAATATATAGGTGCAGCCATATTTCTTTCAATCAATGGCAGACAAAGTAATGCTTACATGGTATAGAGACGATAAAAGAGATAATGTAAGAACCATATTTTTATGCCGAGTAATTAACGCATCGATGGATTTTATTCATCAAGAAACAACAGATGGTAAAATGAGTAGTTCGATGCAAGCTATTCAATGGATGAGCAAATGTCAAACATTAGCATCTATTTGGAAAATTAATAATGATGAATTAAGGATACATCAAGTTTGTCAATTATACGTGATTGGTTTTGATCGCTTAGCAGAAGAAGTAAGTATAAACGAAATTACAATTTAATATATTTAATTTTGCAAAGTAAGAAATATATATTTGATATTGTAACACAGGTTGTTACTGCCGTAAATGATGTTGAAAAATTAGCAGAAAATCTTTTGCCAATTGCTGGAAGAAGAATGATGGCATATCTTTCAAAATCGCCTGATGTCTTAGAGGAAGTTTCTCGGATAAGTCCTGCTCTTACTAAATATTTAGAAAGTCTCGTAAGTTTTACATATTATAAAATTTATTTCGAATGTTTTATTTTTATTTTTAGTATCAAATGAGATTACTATTTTTAGGATGTGCCGGATATAATTTATACAAATTGTTCAAATGATGACACTATTGAATTGATACGACGAATTTCAAGACATTTGCCTGAAACACATTCTAATTATCATCTCGCGCAATTGTTGTTAGACGCGGTCTTTATTTACGAAGGAACAACATGATATTCAGACATTTAAGTAAAACTAAATTGTTATAGGGAATAAGTTTAATAAATTTATTTGTGCTTTCTGTTTTTAATTCATTGTATTGAATCTGAATATAAAATATATTTGACATATATCATTAAAATCCATCATATCAGAGATACTTGAAACAGTTGATCACAACGAACTGTGACATAAATGTGTGTGTATGTTTATATGTCACATATAATGAATTAAAGAAAAAATATTCTATAACTCTATATTTTGTTACTTACTTCGCTTTTCATTAAAAATGAAATATTAAGATGTTCAATTTCCTTATTTATTACATTTTACGATTATTTAAATTAATAATTTGTAATTTACATATACTATTGCTTATAGAAATCATTTAACTGTTCAAAAAAGTATACTGGTATTATTTGTCGTGTCTTTAAGACAAATCTTATCGATTTTCGAAGAAATCAATAACATTAAAGTTCAATTAAAAACGTATAGCAAATCCTTTATATTGCAGCCTAGTAATGCCTTCCCAATTTGAAAATTCACAGCGATCAATCTTACTACCTGGACTTCCAACATTTGTTAGCCATTGTGTCCTGAAATAAAAAAAATTGGCTTAGTCTTGAAATAAAAAAAATATAGATTTAATTATAAGTTATTATTTAAGTTATTAATAGGAAGTTTTTTCGCTTACGTGACAATTTTGCATGCACTATAACTTATTTACAAGTAGATGATAGATAAATGATTGTATTTGTATTTCTGTTTTTATTGTCTATTACTAATTTTACGATGTTTACGTAGTTTATGATGATATTATGATTTTATTACTATGAAATTCTTATTGTCAAAATGAAATGTTTCTTTTACTATTTTCTAAGCAAAAGTTATTTGTTTGTGTAAACTTGAACTTTAAAACAGCTGAAAATTAGAAACTAAATTATACTAAACTTGTTTAAACAATTGAATTTTATTTCTACAGTTATTGTATCAATAAGTCTTTAGATCGCTTATTAATGAAGCTATAAAATCATCCGTTCTCTACAGGCATTGAAATCACTGTAGTGATTCCGCATGTTTTACATAGAATTTGCAAAATTCCGTCAAGCTCTTAATTCGATAGAAAGGTAGAGCAAATTCCTTGTAAATGTTGTCTCTCTGCCGATTAACGATCATTTAAAATTTGTCGATAAATTAACCGCAAAATAACAATCGATTAAGTATGTAAATTGTCCGCGCACCTATCTTCTATAGTGACGAGTGTAGTTTTACACGCTTCGCAATTATAATTAGCGGCTAATCAGACCGAGTCCAGATATTTTAAGCGGCTCTATCGAAGTAGGATCTTTAAAGTCGATCATCTGTCTCACAATAACAACAAAGATGAGCTATAGATCCGATCTATCATCGATATTTCGAATTCGCAATCTCGATCGAGATTATACGTGACAAATTTATCCGAATCGTCGAACTTATCTTTAAACTGTATAAAAATTTGTTTTATTTTAAATTTCGCTTAAGTTTTTGTTCTCTCCGTCAAAATATGATTTGTAAGACAATGACAATTTAAAGTTTCACAGGTTCACTGATATTTTATTATTCTTAAATATTTTATTATTTATTCTACCTAGCAGAAAGAAAAGAAGTGCAGAAATTTTGTGAGAATTTCGACGGAAATTGAAACAAAATTGAAGCTGAAGAATGATCTCCTTTTGGGGAGAAGCCAGAAACCGATGTTTCGTCCTCGACCGAGCTATTTTCTTTGACTTCAGGTTCACGAGCAGCGGAAATTCGGCCGCGAAATTTGTCTCGTGAGATGTCTCTTACGGTATATAAGTACCGAATGTCTACGTTCAAGTATATTTGTTCGCACGGCAGCGATCTTGTTCCATTCGGGAGAAATAATTTATCTTTCTAGCGTCGTTTCTTCTCTCTGTAACGCAATTGGCAAAATATATGGATCAGTAGATCTGGCTCACTTCTCTAAATAACGATTACATCCTTCTCATCTTATTCTTTCTCTGGCGTTCCGCGCGAAGAATTCGTTCGTTCTTCTTTTATACTCTTCTTAAGAGAGATCGTTACTAGTGTAATTTCTTGTCATCGTTGGTTTAATTTGCAAGTCTCAGTCAGTTATGATTGTTTCGGCGAAATCAATAGAATCTAACGATTCTAACTCGTTCACTTAAATCTGAGTCAGCAACGCGTTTTCACGTTTTTTTATCATGTGCGTGATATCGAATGGAACGTGGGATGTCAATTAAGAATCACGAAAGTCTGATAAAGTAATTTTCAGGGTAATAAGAAAAAATGAGATGAGCACATAAAATTCTTCATCAAAGTTATAAATGCTTATTAATAAATATATATATATATATATATATATATATATATATATATATATATATATGTTTTACTTATCTAAGAACATTCAACGTTTGAAATATTTGAAAATATTTAAAATTTTTTAATGTTAAACTTGACCCGAAATTAATGATTTTCCTATTGATTTCACTTATTCTCAGGGTTCTTTATTTTCTTCTTGCCATCAGTCGTGATTGTCTAACATCCATCGTGATATACAGTCATACAGTATGAACGGTTTACATTGTATCGACTTGTTAACGCTTTGTCATCGCTTTTAATGCGAAGAGAACACATTATTTGCCGAAGAATCGTCTGCGATAGAAGCGACTGGTTGGTAATAGCTGTCGGAAAGTAACCAGCGCGATTCGGCGATAACTCGCGAAGGAAAGAGACAACGCGGTACGCGCTATTATTTCATTAGATCATTATTAAAGCCAGGCCCAACTACCTAATGACCGTTACTCGGCAATTTGCGGCTAAGGTCACGCGATTTTACGGGAGCACTGAATTCGTAGGCTTACGTTAGCGCGCGTGTGTCATTAATTCATAGAACGGAGAAGAAGAAGATTCGATGGTAGAAAGAAAGAAACAGACGAAGGCGAGGGAGATCTAGAGTTCCTCGCGTGATACACGAAAAGATTCGTGGAAAGAAATTTAACTTGGACGTTCCTAATAGTCTTTTCTTTTTTTCTTTCTTTCTTTCTTTCTCTCTCACAGAGTCTTGAGAAATTTAAGTTTAATATATCAGTGAAATTCCTGGATCTTGGTACCCTTTTTTGCTCACTATCCTCTAACCAAATCCAAATAATGTTAGTTAAAAATTAGAAAAATTATATTGCCATCATCGTCTTGGAAGCACGAATTTATTCAATTGTATTCGAATGACTTAACGAACAAACAGAAGGTATCAGGCACGGTTTTCCCTTCTTCCTATTTGTGCGCGGCAAAGAAAAAAAAAAAAGAAAAAAGTTAAGAGAGGAAAGATGTTCTCTGCAAATTTGCCTTATTTTATCTCTCTTTCTTGGCAACAGAAAGGAGGGACAGATAAATTACAATAAAAATGAACTTTCACGTTGTTTACCGATCGGCGCCACCGCAACCGTTTGTACAAAGCCATCGTGACAAGGAATCGCAACTCACATTTGATCGACGAGTGCACGTGGTCCCTGCATTTTTCCAAGTATCGTGCCGGACTTGGTGTTCTTCACCCAGCCGCAGATTCCCAGCTCCTGGCATATGTCCCTCACGTATTTTGGAAAGTAGACACCTGTGCAAAAAGATTGTGCGCAACTGCGATTAAATCTGCGATCGATGGCGACAATTGATCGACCGCGATCGAGACGATGGTTATCAAATTCATTGAATTGAACAGCACGACACGAAAGGAAGAAAATTAGATTACTTCAAAGCTTTATTATACCGTCGTTCCATTCATGCCTCTCGTGCTTTTCATTCGTCGATGTCTCGTCGACAATTATTCAATTCAAACCGAATTAAGCAGTGACGAGTGAAATTTTACAAGAACCTAGATACAGCCTTGAACTTCCTCGAGAACGTTAGCGACGGAATAACGAACCAAACTGTGTCACCTTTGTTTGTCAGTTGTCTGAATCCAACCGAAGGACACGAAGAAATTTCACCATTTTCTTCTCTCGCGGAGAGAGAGAGAGAGAGAGAGAATTATTCCATTTTCGGGTGTTTAATCACCCGTTGCTCCAGCGTTTGTCATCTTACAATTGACGTATTCACTGCGTGGAAGGCACATTTCTTTCGACCCTGACGTTCTAATTCTCAATCGCAAGCGACGGCGAAATCTCGCTTGCAATTCGTGGAAAGGCAACGCGAGGAACGCGTCCGCGACCGAAAGTCTGATCTTAACTAGAACGAGATTAATTGAATACTCGTCGACCTTCTGACCGACAAAACTGCACTCTTACCCTGCACCTTGCCAAAGACCTCGAATTCAACGGAAAGTAGAGGCTCATTGCGGAGGGGGTCGTCCGCTGCCATTCTACCAGGCGAAGGGAGAAACTTCCGGTCACCTTAACGCCACTCCTTCGATCCGTGAAAGCTCGAAGAAACGTTTCCAGTACGCGATCAGCATACAGAACAAGCTCGCTGCTTGGCCGAAGATTTCTTTTCGTTCTCTCTGACGATCGGCACTCTTTTCTTCACCTCTCGCCGTGATACGACCTACCGACTGATTCTGATCATTGCACCACGGCGTCGCGACGCCTCAAATAGACTCCCCCACCATGCCCAGCAGAATCCAATTGCAATCGATCGAGTATCGATCAACCGCGACCACTAGCTGTTGTTATTGCCGACGTGCATCGTTCTTCGACGGCCTGCATTTTTTTCTCGGGGACGCTTCTCTATATTTTTAATCGCCCTTCGTGCTCTTTCTCCTTCAATCGCTCATTCAATCGATCACTCGCTCACTCAGTCGTACTCTCAGTTATCTTCTTGGCAAATCGTCTCGCGACTAGCTGGCATTGTGATTCGGCTTGAAGACGGAGAGAGATGGAATTGTTTTATCAATCCTTTTCGTCGCGAAGGATATATGCACGCCACTTCTCGATATTCCGGAGAATATCAAAAGGAAATTAATTTTTTGAGCCTCGAGCTCAGGAATCTCTTATCCAAATGATCTTTTTAATTAAACAGAGGTGTGTAATCTATTCATTCGTCAGGAATTCGTTAAAATAATTTGTATATACGCCCTCAAATATCGATTATCGAGTATTTCCATCTATGTTTTATTACGCGCGAAGTAGAATAAAATTGTTTCTAGTTCCAAGGACGGATCGATGTTGCAATGGTATATATAAATAACACAGAGCCAAAGATTCGTAAGCTTAGTTTCTTCTTTTTTCTTTTTTTTTTTTTTTCTTTTTATTTCAACGAATGTCGCGGCAAAAGTCGCGTATTACGAGCGTATAAATATACACGTCTATCGTTGCTCCTTGTCGTATGAAACAGCTTGCAGGATCTTGCGCGTGTATTGGTGAAACGTTTCGTTCGAGCGACAATTCGAATATCTCGATTTTTTTTTTTTTTTTTTTTTTTTTTTTTGTTAAATCGATCGCGATCGATTCCGGTTTTCTGCGGGACGCGTCGGGAGGAAAACTTCCGGCGCGACGGCTGGCACATTGTGTTCATTGTGAAAATATTAAATGTAGGCCAGGAGGGCAGCCGCTTATCGTCGAACTAGCCACTTCCCATCGATGTGCCAGCCGCCCATTGTCCCGTCATTATTCCAGTTAATTAATTATTAGTACGCCATGACGTCGTAATTGATGTACAAGAGCAAAATCTGCGGGGTGTACAGGATGCGGAGGAGAAGGTTATAACCCATTTATAATGATCGTGTCCAGTCTATTACCATTGTCATCATCAAGGTCTCATCTAACGCTAGGATCGCGAGTGCACGAGCATTTGCTAATCAGCGTTCTGCGTTCTGACATAAAAAGGAGAAATTCGATAATGCTCGATCGTATCGGGTTCGATATCGACGACTGAAAGCGGCGACTAACGATGACTAGAAGATCCTATGGAATTGATGCATGAGGAACACTTTTCATCCTGTGTGATACTCTCTTGTGTCATTTATTTCGAACAATCACGAGTCCTTACTGACTAATCACCTCGCGAGGAATTAATCGGTCGAGTAAATTATAATATCGGGTCACGGATGAACGACAGCACATCGGTGTTGTTGAAACGCACATCCGTTTAATCGTCCATCGATCATTGATATTTCATTGCCAAATTATCATTATTGCACGACGAACCAACACTAGAGTCAAGGATCCATGGATTCGTTCCCCCTCACGGAATCGTTTTGAATTCCGAATTGAATCGTCGACCGTAGTAACCGTGACCTGCACGTGTCCCTTCATCTTGTGCAGAACTTGCGCACGCCTGTGTGCATATTTTTGTGAACGAAGCGAGTTCAGTTTTCGTCATTCGTCATCTCGTCGAATTCTCTCGGGATTGCACTCGCAGAGATTCGCGCTCGATGCATGCACGACGTCGCAGTTATATACATTCGGTGACTCGTACGCTTGCACATGCACACATGCACACGCAGTCCCTTATATACATACAATGGTCACTCGTTCACAGCCATTCACCGAACTCATCGTCGAACTTGTACGATTTCACTCATCCTCGTCCGCTCGATCTTTCCCTTCGTCCATTTATCATCTATAACCGACCAACTTAAATCGGTGTTCTAAGCAACTATCTGCGTGTCTATCTACATTTGTTACCTATACAGCTACCGCGCTATTTGCTGTACTTATTCCATCGTCTACCTGCATAACTGGTAACGTTGATACTTTACAAACTTCTCGACGACTTCGATGCGAAACCCGCGTATATATATATATATATATAACGTTCGTGTTCGTTGCACAAACAAAGTTTCCGTGACACCGACGCCTTATCATTTAATAAACGATCACTGGCCGTACGGGAATGTATTGATTCCTCTTGAAGCAGTTTCCTTCTATACCAGGAGGTCTCTCTTTCATCTGTTTCATTTCTTTCTTGACATTGCACAAGGACCGGTGATCAGAAAGGGAATTCAGTCGAATTCCTGGAGTCTTGTTAGACGAGAGATTCAGGATTCGTCGGTAGAATGGTTGCAGCGGTACTGTTTGGCAGAAGCGCGCCATTTTCCGTGTCTTTGGCGTTTCCGTCTGATCGGGGCCGGAAGTCCTTCGAGGCTACCAGCAGATTTCGTCGTCTCGCTTCCTTTTTCTCGCGTTCGACCTGAAAGCGAACCATCACCGATCGTTTACATTAATTTATTTATTCATTTATATATATATATATATATATATATATATATATATATTTTTATAATTGTATGTTCAATATAAATGTTTTATATGTAATTTTATATGTAATTGTACGTTTAATAAAGCTTATGATCTTACGTCTAAGTGAAAAATATTTTTACTGTATTTTATTTCCGATTATTATCATTATTATTAGACTCTATATTATTATTATTATTATTAGATATTATCTAATAATAATAATATCTCTATATTATTATTAGACCTCTATATAATAATAATAATAATATCTCTATATTATTATTATTAGACCTCTATATAATAATAATAATAATATCTCTATATTAGTTATTAGTTATTATTTATGAAGTTCAAAAAGATTGATATCGTGCATAAATATACTAATATTTGTATTATAAATCATGGAAATTCAGTCTCTAATTTATAGAAACGCGCTTATATATTCAAATATCTTACAAAAAAAAAAATCACTCACACTTACAAAACGCACTGTTATAAATTTGTAAAATTATTTTCTGTCGAACAATTGAATAAATTGTCACGTGATACTTAACATGCTGACTGACAACCGTGACTGTCATCAAAATAAATCGCGAATTTCTCAGAAATTTGATTAAGATAACGCCGCGCGTTCTTGTAAAATTCAAAATCTTAATCCTGCACAATCTGTCACAATCGATCGATACAATTGAAACGAACCTTGAAGAACAATCGAAGATAGTGGCAAGGAAATACGACGCATTTGCCGTCGTCCTCCTCGGCGTCGATGTAAACGCCGCGAACGAGGATGGAGTTGCTGCAGTTGAGAAGTACAAGGAACACGAAGCAGCCGATGTGAGTGATCCAGCAGGAGAGTTCCGGGTTGTTCGGGACCAGCCACAGGTCCAACACGTTCCAGATGCCACGCCAAACGTTCACCGTGCCCAGGAAGCTGAGCAGCAGGAAGCTATCGGCCGCGATCAAACGGGCCAAGCCTTGAAGGCGAGCACACGCGTATCGCATCAATGGTTGCAGGGAAAACGTCACCGTCACTATCACGTATCCGATGGCCTGCAATTGCACCCGACAATTGTTCAAATATATATAATAAACATCGAGCGAAACTATTGGCAATTGCGAATTATTCATTTTAGGCGGTCCAATTTGACAATATTCCTTGATCGACGTGACACACAGAGATTATTCTGAGACGAAACAATTGTCGAACGTTGCGTTTTATACCTTTTGTCCGTTCTCTCCTCTGTGTTACTTCTATGCTTCTTTTTCTTTTTTTTTTTTAACCCTAAAACTTTCGTTTACAAACAGCTGATGATAATTCTAACAATTGCTATAAATAAACTACCGTCGATGTAGAATAGTACAGTAACGAGAGAGTGAAATATTTTACCTAGTTTCCGAGGAAAAGGGACGCAATTTATTAGTTAAAAAATGTTAAAACGATAGATTTTTCACCGATGTGCCCAGTCGACGTGATCAAGAAAAAGGTGCTCGTCGATGACGTTTCCGTTCTCGTTCGTCAAACAGATCCCAGCGAATCATCACCGACGACAGATAGTCCGTCGCTGGTTTCACGGTTTCGAAGCGGCATTGCGAGCGAGTAAATGCGTGAATTGGATGACCCTCGCGCAATCATCGACCCTCTTGAGGATTTACGTTATCGCGAATCACCATGCAAATCGTATCGTAGTAAATTTCTCGTAAGGATCTCGAGCACGAGTCCCCCCCGTGGCACGACCGCGTCGTTGCCTTCGTAATCTTCGTAACAACGCTCAGCACCTGCCCTCCCAGAATTTTCATCCGATCCGAATCGTTCGGAAGGTTCATTGAATCAAAAACCGACTGGATCAAACGTCGTCGTGGAGTAAATACCGATCGTTGCGTTATCAACGATCGTTTAAGCGTTTTTAAAACAACGAGCCGCTCTTATTATCGCGTGTCAAGCCGACAGATCAATCCTCGATAAGCGTAAACGCAACGATTTGTCTTCCTATTACAAATTTCTTCTCCAAACTTCCTAAGAAACAGGTTCGTCGAATCTTAGACGAACGTCGATCGGATCAACGAGTGACTGATCTCGCTGATGGCGCGAGTTCTCCGTGTAATTTGAAGTGAGTAGCAGGTCGATAAATAAAAAAAGAAGTCGCGTCGAATAGCGTCGGGGGAGGATAAAACGGCTGCGACTGGCGCCGTGAAATTTGTTTACTTTCCTTTGTGTTGGGCTTCCCGCGCGAAATTGCGATCATCGAGATCGGCAAATCTTGATAAACGGTCCGAGGCAATTTCGATTGGACGATTGTTATTTGTTCATTTGTTAATTTCGCTAGATCCTCCCTGGATCGACGACTGATTGGAATTCGTTTACTACGATTACCTGGTTTCTAGACAAATCTTATCGTTCGCATCGGCCAGACGCTCGTCGCGTCAGATTTCTTTCGATCGTACTTTTTTTCTTTTTTTTATTCCCCGCCAATCATCCAGCGGGGAGAAAGTTGCAGCGGCTGTATAGGTTGAACGTTATTGTTGTTGCGGAGGATACGACGGCGCCAACTGAATATCGTTTTGCAATTGAATAACTTCATGGATGGATAGCGAGCTTCTGTCAAAACACGTTCACGTGTTTGTCAACGTTGTGCAAAGTGTTTACGATCGCGTCGGTGTGTAGGAATGCCGCGAAGAAACCTTAACGAATAATTGTCAAAACGTTCGTGATAAACTGATCGTCTAATGTCACGTTCTACGGAGACTGTGCATTATAATGTACAACATGTCATGATTTCAAAAGGAAATATTTTACGTAACGTTGAAATTTTTATGAATTAATATTCAAAGATCAAAGTTACAATTACGATATTCCTGTTTCTCAGCAAAGAAATTTCTTTCGTCCCAAAGGGACGCTCCCCTAAACTTTTTAATGATAGCACACCGTGTCATGTAATTGTTATTTACCGATATAGATCTTTAGACCTTTCCAGTTTGGTGAACACGCGATCCATCGTGACCACAGTCGAAGAGAGGACGCCTTCGACGGGGAATTTCGATGGGATTTTCGATGGGAACAGGACGGTTTAATCGCATCATATATAGGATCTCCGGCTCAGGAGATCAACGATCGTCATTATTGAAAAATTAAACAAATCCTCTCGTTGACCGCGTTCTCTCCGCAACGTATTCAGACAAGTAAACGCAGCCCGGGCAATAAAGTGTCTTTGCGCACGCATACATACGTGAACGGTTTTGTCATGTGCCCTCGCAATCATACAATTGGCGAATATTCAATTATACAATCGGACCAACGGCGTGCTCTGCGTAGGTGGCACGTTTCAAAATGTCGTTCAACACGTGATTGCTAATGACACCCGACGACACGCGTTCGTTCGATAGGATGCTGCTTCATCGAATGTTTAGACGCACAACGCGTTTCCGCGGATTCGCGCGATCTCGGAATGAACGAATCGATCGAGGGCAACGAACAGAGTACCAAGACACTCCACGCTGGATGAAATCTCGAATTTCCTTTCGATTTCCTTCCCTTTCCAGTCTTTAACCACGAAGAATTCGTTCATCGCTATTCGAGTTACGAGTACATCGATTTGTTTCTTTATATTCCGCAAATTGCAAAGTCTACGGAGGAACAAATCTTTGGGGTTCATGGTCGTTCATGGTCGAAATGTTAGAAAAATAGAATTTGAGTGAACTTTGGCTCTTGACGAGTTAACAGACGAACGCGTTGAAATTAGTGTTTCGTGTTGAACGATCACTAATGTGATTGATTTTCAAGAGAAGCTTCGAAAATGATTCAAATGCCAAACATTATTGCCAAACATCCGTCGATTTTCTGTTGTTGAAAAATGTAAAAATATCGTTTATCCTATATAAATCTCATTTCTTTTTTTTTTTTTTTTCAAATGAAAATTCAGAGGCCACAGACTTTAGATCTCGAGTGATGTCCGGTGCACTTGATGTTCATTGTTAAAGCAAAAAGAGAGGAGAAATAAGGAGGCACTCACGAGGGATCCGATCGCGGAATATTCTCGATCTTTCGGGAAAAGGTAGAGATCGAAGAGTATCCAAACACCTCTCCAAACGAACACGACCAATGTACCGACCACTCCGACGCTGAAGGCACAATCCAGTAAGTACAACGACCAGTCCCTCGTGTTCTGCAATCAAACAACATAAATAATAGATAAACATCGTCATCGCAGCCGAGAAATCGGGAGATGTTTGAAGAGCGCGGGAAACTATGATAAATAACGCGCTGGTATTGTCAGACGCGTATCGCTTGCGTCAAAGATTATTTACGACAAATATAGAGTTCGTAGTTTATCCTACGATAGGTGTTAACATCCCGATGGAACTTCGCGAAAATACTCCACTTAAGATTGAACCTGTTTCTTTTTTTTTTTTCTTTTTTAAACAATGAATTGTACAATCTTCATTTTCGAACGAATTGTACGATTTTGACTTGTGATTTCTCAAAACTAAAACGAAGTCGTTTATTAAAAAGTTAGATGAGATAAGTTTTAGCTCTCGAGAGAGAAAAAAAAAATTGTAATTTTTGTAAGTTATCTCTTGGAATGTATTGTAAATCTCGTAAAGTATTGCAATTCCGTTTCTATTGATAGTAGAAATATTGTTTGATGAAAGTTTCTCTGATCTATTCTTGGATTTTTGTGAATCTTTCAAAATATATATTCGAAATTCTGTTACTCGCGAAATGACCCGAAAACGAACATGAGCAGGCGGTTCTCCGTTGTATCGTTCTTACAGTGTGATTTTCTTCACGTGAATCGCCAACTCACGCTTCCCTAAATTCACTGATTCATTGAACACTAAATTGCTGGCACGGGATGGGGATATTGCTGTGACATTACGGTATTACGAGAAGTGAAAATTGTGGAAGAAGACGATTAAAAAAATCCAGAACGCCAAGCAGAAGATGTATGGATTGTTTTTCATCTACTCGAAAACTTTCAACTCGATTTTTTAACGCGTGATACACGTACGTAGATAAAATTCAACAAAAATATTCTTTACTTTGCAGTTGGTTTTCGGGATCTCAAAGATTTTGACAAATCAAAGTGGAAGGATCTTCCGGTCGACGAACCATTTGTGAGGTAAACTTTCATCGGAGTGTATTATCGCCCGTCGACTTTCCGCGACACCCTTCTGTCCTCGATTTTTAAGTGACGGAGAGGACTCAACTGCGCGGTAATTAATTCAAGATCATTCCACCGTTTCTCTCCTTCGTTGTCATCTTCGATAAATCGTTTCGAAACGACAACAAGAAAAAAAAAAGACATAACAACAACAACAACAATCGATTAAAAAGCAAATCTAAAAGCAATCGATGTGTTTTAAAAAAAAATTATTCTCAAATCTTGAGAACATCTACATAACGTCCAAGCTTTGCTATTAATTTAGATTATTCGAATTATATCCCGTTCTTTCTTCTTCAGCCTTCCTGTTCCCTTTGATAATTCGGATTCAGATGAATTTGGACAATTGAAAGGCATGGAATACAGTGTGTCTGATCGTCTAACCGACCGTTCGATTTTCCGCGTTTCGTTCGATCGGAGAGAAAAACGGTTGAAACGTCGAAAATTGCGGTTACAGGCTGTGCTCGTGCGAGTGCAAACTGCACGGACGCGACGCTGTTCGACTATCGGGAGAGACAGCCGGAAACTGTGCTTATACCTTGCACATCGACGCCGTGCATCGCGTTGGCTCTAGCTTCACCGATGCGTCAAAACACGCTGTCTAGACCTCTTACGTTTCCTATTTAACATTTACCCCCCTTCCGATCGTTTTTTCAATGAAAAGCACCGCCTCTTCTACGACAATTTTTCATCGGTATCGAATGTATCGGTCGATCGTTTGCCGACTTCTCGTGAATTCTTTTGTTCGATCACGGGAGGAAATGATGTAAGATCGTAACGTGCATGCGGGAGATTGAAAGAGCAGCGAGACGATTCATCGCTATTTTTTTTACGAAACAATTTTTTTTCTCTGCATTTTTTATATTACTGTATTTTGCAGTTGCAACCAGACTGTGGATTTTCGTGCGTTCACAGAGAATTCAGAAGTTAATATATATAAAATGTCGAATAGCGTTCGCAATGTTTGCAATATTCAGTAAAGTGCCAACGATCTTCATAAGTCAGAATCTTACAAATCCAGTTGCTCTATTTCTGAAAGTTGAAACACACGATCGGCTCCAAATTTTCCAAAATTTCAATTTCACGCTGAATTTTCGCCTGTAAAAATTTCGCGTGTGTAAAAAATATCGACACGGTCGATTTATGCGTTTAAATTTACCGTTAATCACGATGAAAATGCAAACGAGAAATGAAAAACAAAACGCAAGAACTTGCGAATACGTCTAGTTTCTATTTCCGAGAGAACGGTTCACGAGGATTTCGTATAGCCTTGTGAGTAATTTCGTTCACACAGTCGCGTTACACGTCGCCCATAATAATCGTCGGTGAAACGGAATGGCAGAATACGAAGATAATCGAAGCGAAGATAGAAGGGCACACAGCGTTATCGTTTCCTGTCGCATGGACAGAAAATTTTCCGCGAGCCCGGTACTTCGAAATTAAACACTGCGAGACTCGATAATCCCTTTCCATAATCGACGATCGAGTTTGAATCATCATCAGGCTCGCGAAAAACAAAGTGAATCGAAAGACAGACAATCGACACACACGGGAAACGATGCCGACGGTTTACAGTAAATCGTAATCCGTTTGTTACGTAACTCGACATTGTTTATTGCACAAAGTATCGAGAGAAAAATAATCGTAAAAGATTACGATTGCTTCGTGGAAAGAACGCGAGATGGTCGATTTAGATTTCAGTTTCACGTGGTAAGATTTCCCACGTAGTATGCGAACGCCTCCTTACGTTACTTACATTCACGCGGAACATGGTCTGCACTTCGAAGTATCCGGGACACGTGTCCAAGCAAAGTGAGAACGGTGGCGCGGAAATGTTCCTCACGGCACGCATGATCGCCAGTGCCAGGAAGCTAACGGCGGTGGTGGCGAAAACGGTGCTTGCCGTGTGTTCGGTGTACAGGTCGAGGGCCTGCCAGGCGCCGCGCCATGCATTTACGCAGCAAAAGCCGAAAACCGCGGTGTAAAGTCTGGAGCCGACGTAATACGACAACCGGTGTTTGTCCGGGTGTAGAAGCTCGTTGAGAACGTTCTGCGAGACGTTGAACGCGTACAACCCAACGAAACCGATCACTATCGAGGTCAGGCTGCTGAGCACCCGGTCCTCCGGGTAGACGTAGACGTCGCTCAGGCCCCAGGTGCCACGCCAGTAGCCAACGACCGCCGGGGCGGCCACCGTTGCCGAGAACACAGTGTCCAAAATCGTGAGTATCGTGTAATGGAGACGACTCGATGACCGACCGTTCAACCCGCTCGTCATTCCGGTGCCACCGCGTAACTCGACCATTCTCATCCAATCCTGATCGAGCCTAGTCGCACCGCTCATCATGCATGATTCGAGGCTGTGGCGGTACGCTCTCTTTGGTGGTGCACGCCTTCTACGGGCCGAGCTTTCGACAAATTCCACCGAGAGCCGCTCATTATTAGCGAAAATGATGGGAAAACTGTTTGGCTGCCCTTTGGCCTTCCAATTAGAGGTCCTCGTTTCAAGTCGTCGGTGTCGCGTTGTCAAGTTCAATTGAAAGCGGCGCGGCTGCTTCGGAGACCAAGGCTTTTGCTCTCAAAACGGGCAAAACGATCGACCACGCGATCGCGGCTTTCGAGGATTTTTTCCGATTAAACCGGCCGACGTTCGAGTTGAATCTCGCTGTCGATCCTCCGTTTCGTCGTCTCTCCGGCGAGCATCTCAGCCATGATTCCACATCGTTGCTTCCGAACTGCACGGGAGAGTATTCGCGGAGCGAGTCGACAACAACAACAATAACAACACGGTTTAGAAATTCAAGCTTTACAGCGGATCTTCTTAAAGTAATATTGCCTCTGGATCGCAATGATCATCCTATCGACGAACGTTCGTTCGCTGCTCGCACGAGATTCTCCAGTGAACGATCTTTCTCGATAGAAACGGGATCGAGAAGACGGCTCTCGTCGCTTCCTCCCGACATTTTCAGACTTCTACGAACTTTGTCATGTCGCCAGAGAACACCAGAAACGCACCTGGATCTGATCTGCTTGTCGCAACTTGAGAAAAACAAAAAAAAAAAAAAAGAAAGAAAAAATACACGACGATCGTCTCGTGCGAAATTCTTCGTTTCTCGACGGTGTGATTCGCGGTGACGATGCGCGCTCGCTCACTCGCTCGCTCACTCGCTCGCTCTCCCCCGAAAAGCTTCCAAGTCTCGTCTCTGTCGTTCACTTTCTCGAGGTTCGGATCCGCAAGAGCGGAAAATATCGTGCGGTGGACGATGCGCCGATGCACACGGGGCGAGATACGTGAGACTCTGTCAACCGACAGGTCGGGCTGCGGGTGAGTACTGACATCTGTTCAGTCACCGCTATCTTTTATCAAGTGCTAAGCACAGACCAACACTATCGCATTATCATGAACAGCTTCGTCACACGGGCCATGGCATAGAGAATAGTACGTGGTGCTTCTCTGCTCTCTTCCCTTCCTTCCTCGATCTCTCTCTCACGAACCCCCACCCATAGGTCGGTAAAGCTACGTGCACGCTTGATGAACGAGCGCGGGGAACGAGCTTTCGAACCATCCACCAACTCGGCCAGTTTCTAAGAAAGTTCAAAGGCGTCGCTGCATCCTTCCGGTAGAAAAGAAAAGAAAAGAAAAGAGAAAAGACAAATGGAAATGCACGACACGGTAAAAATTAAATACATCATGTGATCGCAGATTTTATCTCGCGTTACGCGGCGATATCTCCATTTCCCTGAAACATCTCGTATTTAACATAAACAGATGTAATTATTAACCATAATTGTCTGTTTATTCATCCTCTGTCTATTTATCTGTTTAGTACCAAGATAGATCTTTGAAGCGGGTATAAATCATTCCTAGCATCGTGCTTGTGTACGTGCGTAATCCTGTTCTATGGTCAGGATACAAGAAAATGTTATAGATAGAGATTCTCGTTTTCATTGTTTCGAATGACGTGTAAAAGTGTTCGTTCATTCATTACGGCTTTAATCATCGTTCCGAGTTCAATTCAAGTACACGAGCTGCTTAACGATTCTCCCTACGCGAGTACACACCATTATGAGATAAATTATGAGATAAACGGCGGCTCGACCAGCCTCTTTCTCTTTTCCACATGTCATTCCAAGACTCTTTGTGATTTTCTCAATCGTAAACGGCGGCGCACGACTTGACACGACGTCGTCGTCTTATTTCGTATCGTGTTACTTCGTATTCTATACGATCTCTTCGCATTAATAAATCGCTTTATTGAAACATTTCGCATACACGCTTCTCCGCCTAGCGAAGTATATCTTGAATCCGGCAATTAGCGGCTGTTAGTGCCGTCAGACAGACGATATCGCGGACTGGCAGCAAGGAGGGAATTTTAATTGAACCTGAACCGGTGTGCTTTATCAGGCTGACAGTGGAGGCGACCGCGTAAATCGTGATCGACGTGTGCGCGACAGTCAGGCGCTAATTAACAAATCCGGGAAACCCGGTGTTAACTGATAAGAAACAAGATAGTGGCCGAGGAGAAGAGGACTGCCAGTGGCCTCGAGCCACCTTGAAGCCTCATTTTTCTGAGTGGCGTTTCCTGTCTATTAGTTTCGCCGGGCTTTTGTCGAACGCATCGCTAATCGGCACCTTTTTGTACGCCAATCAAGCTTGGATTACCGCGATCCTCTCACCTTGACCCGTCATTTTCTTTCTTCTTCTTCTTTTTTTCCCCTTTCTTTCTTTCGCGACAGTCTCTCGTTGAATGACAAGAGAGAGAGAGAGAGAGAGAGAGAGAGAGAGAGAATGATGTTCCAACGCCTCCACACGTGGACTTCTCGTGGTGCACGGCACCTGGTCTCGTGTTTCGACGTAAAGCTGACGCTGGCTGTCATTGTGAATCACATGAGGGTTCGTTTCAGCATTGTTCTTCACTTCCGATGATCGTCGATCGAATCGTAACAGATAAGGAGCTTATTCTTCAAGTTGTTGGTTCTTGCTCTTTTTATTTCATTTCTTTACTTCGTTAGATTTATATTTTTTTTTTTTTTTTCCCCGAAAACTCGAGGGGATGAAGAATTTTTTTAATAATCAAGCTTCTGTTTTACATTTTTCGCTAATTCGCCCTAAGCTACGTTTCGTGTTTAGTATAGATCGAATTAACATTGAAAATTCATCGATCATCTCCAACGTCGCTTTTGCGCGACTAACACAAGTCTTACGCATTGCAAATCCATGAAAATCCATGATACCTGTCATTTTTCCATTTTGCAAAGGTGCAGACGAGTTTCACGATTCATCAATGAACCGATAACGTGTCTTGTTCCAGATAACGTGATAACTGACGATAGCTCTCTTTCGCCGTTCGAAAGATTGTACTACAAAGTTTACTATAAATCCGATTTTTTTTTCTACAATAAACTTCATGTTGTTATGATTTGTTTCTTTGTGTTACGGTATGACCGATTAGTAGATAATCAAATCGCTTCAGATCACTTATCGATATTTCAAAAATAATCAAACATGTCTCACTGTGCTTGACAATCTTTTTCATATTCTCTCGTTATTAAAATGCTCATTTTTCGTTTCATTTTTTCGTAGTTTTTACGGTTCGTTTACTTCATGATATTTTGCAAAATATTTTCAATGAAAATTCAATTTTAGGACCATTTTTAAGTAAAACAACATCAATGATTTTGCTGGATAATTTTGCTAATTGATGAAACCTCTCGATGAGCATAGCCAACGAAAATTTTATGAACTTCGGAGAAGATGCAGTTTGATTTCCTTATATGGATCTTCATCTATTAAGATTTCTTTATTTTCCTTGCATTCATTAAAAATTGCTAAATCCTTCCTATATGCTAATAATATCCTAATAATTGAAGTATTTATTTTAAATTAACTTACTAGCTTGTATCTTGTTGGAAACCAAAAGACGAACGTGAGTGTATCGATATAGATCACCGACGGAATTGCTATGATATTTCGAATTGATCGGAAGATCGCTAAAATCATCACTGACATCAAAGTGGCGGCTCCGACCATCCTAAAAAAAAATTAATAACAAGAAATCATANAATATAAATATAAATATAAATATAAATATAAATATAAATATAAATATAAATATAAATATAAATATAAATATAAATATAAATTGAACGTGAAGAATGGGTTAAATGATTATGAATGTGATACGAAATGATTATGATATATAAATTGTCATTGGCAATTAGCTGTTTACGTGGCTATTATTAATTAAGTACATTTGGGAATAAATCGACATACTTAACCGTTAATGCTTTAAAACCTTGAGATAATATTTCTTAATAACGTGTTACTTGCGCGAGACATCTACTATCTTTAAAAGCGTTCACGATAAATTTAGAGATCAGCATAAGAAATGAAAGTATCAAAGACGATTAACAAACTATTCTCTTCAGCATACTTGCTAATGTCAAGGTTTATGTTTGTTTAAGATACAAATAAATTATCGTGTACTTTTTTTTAACAATTGCAAATTGTATGAAATCATCGAAGATGATTAAAACATTTTTTACTTTCTGAAAAAAATAATAAATTTTAAGTAATTTCTGAAGTTATTCTTCGAAAGAAGAACGAGTCAGGGAGCAAATAGTGAAAAAGATTGCTAATGATAAATTATTGTATTTACTCGCAAAAATGTAAAATTTGAGACCTAAAATCTTTATCTTCGTTATTGATATCTTTTATCAATGATTAATTTATTATATGATTAATTTATTTTTAGCTATTTAAGAACTTAACCTGTAGATCTTTCGATTTTTATTTTTTAAAACGCAAAACACGAGTTAATGATCTCACCAAATATTATGGAAGAAGAAGCGATCGAAAATAATCCAGGCGCCTCTCCAGTACATATTGCAGCTGACACCGAAGACGTACGTGTACAGAATTTGCATACACTTGCAAAGGATTTTACTCGCGTAGGTTTTCTTCTTCGACACGACGAGCACACGTTCGTGCAAGAAGTTTCTCAGAATAGCGAAACACACGTGCACTAGAAGACCCAGGACGAACGTGAACAATCCCGGGAACCTAGGAACATTTCAAAATTAATCATAATTTCTAGCACGTATTTTTATCACAGCTTTCCGACTTTAAAACGACTCGTTTTAATAAAACAAAAAATTAGTAACAATTCTTCCCTGTTATTTAAACATCTTTCGTATCGATTATCACTGCGGTAGTTGAAATTTTACTCTTCGCAACTTGCAAAGATCATTGGAACGACTCGTTTTAATAGAAAGAAAAAAAAATTAGTAACAATTCCTCTCTGCTATTTATAGATTTTTCGTATCGATTATCACTGCAGTAGTTAACGAACGCGTCTAGACAGTAGAGAAACTCACATGTCTGCGTGAATGTCCATGAAGGTCCACGTTCCTCTCCAAAAGCTGATGGTCATCGGTGTGATTACGACGAGCGAGAGAAAACTGTCGATCACCGAGAGGATTCTCTTCTGTTTCTTTACGTCGAAAAAATCGAGCTGATCGAGAAGAAACGAAAATAAGAAAAATCTGAACGGAGTCGGAAGATTTTGGAATTACCTTAAAGATGCGACTTTCTCTTGTCTTCTCAGCTTCTGCCTTCTTCAGCCCTTTTTCTTCCTCGTTCGCTTCGTCCTCGCTGTTACTTTGCTCGACATCTTCGAACTTTCGACCAGGAGCAATAAAAACGTCTTTTCGTTCCTCGCTCAGAACTTTAGATCGGCCGCTGGCCACGTTTTCCAATGGAACTTTCAACAAGATCTTCCACTCGTCGTGTCCGCGCCAATTAAACACTTCAGGGATATCGCTCAAGCTTTTCGTTTTCCTTCCATTCAGATTCGACATACTACTCGTACTTTTTAATCGTCGACTTAATTCTTTCTTCCAGCTGAGAACCGAAAGATGTCAAAGTCGCAACGATAGTGCGTCTTCTACTGAACTGTTAATAGCGATAAGTTAAATCTAGAAGTCTTCTAAATCCACAAGTCTACTAAGCTGTCGCTTTCGTTATCACCGGGTAGAATGAATGATACTGCCTGCGCGAAATATTGTTCGGTTTTTCTTGCATTTTTCTCTTTCTTCCTTTCTCCCTCTCATGGTCATTATTCGACGCAGCTGTGCATATTTTTGAGATATACATATGCAATCAGGGAGGTGTTACTTCAATCTCGTTTATAATTTGTCCCAACACGCAGGCGTATGGACGGTCATATGCAAACAGAAAAGTTAGAAGAATTAGCACTAAGTATGACGAGTTTAAAACAGTCGTAAAGATTTCAATTTATTTTAAAAGATATTTATACTTATTTCGTCAATCTTTTGTTACGTTACGAATTAATAAAACATAAGTGAAATGAATGAAAAATACAGAATCAAAGTTACAATAAGAATAAAAAAGAAAAGATTTGAGAATATTTTTCTTCGTAGCAAATGGAATCAAACTTTTGACCTCTTGAGCTCTTTCTCTTTCTTTCTTGCGGATATGTTAAAGTTTAAAAAAAAAAAAAAATCATTCGAGGAGTTTTTCTTTCTTTCTTTCTCTTACTCTTACTCTTACTGACGCCTGAACAAGGTGTCATTAACTTGAGAGACTGCAAATGATCGAGATATGCATGCATAAGACGGCTAATGAGATTAAAATCTATTATTGAAGATAATCTCAGCGGGGAAAATACGGAATAATATTTTCAGACGATAATTACTTTAAGCGAGTCTACACGCGCAAATGGAAACAAATAAACACATCGATTGTTTAATCTATGAGACGAATAAATACTCGATTCTCGAATTAAAACCGCCGCGCGAACGTGTAACTGAACTTAATTTGAAAAAAATTTTTTTTAAATAAATGAAATAAAAAATAAAATTAAATTAAAAAGAATAAAACGAAAAATTTTTTAAAATAAATAAAATAAAAAATAAAATTAAATAAAAATTAAATGAAAAATTTTTTTAAAATAAATAAAATAAATAAAATAAAAATCTTCCGAACATAATGAAAAATAAATGAATCCTTCAGTTGCGTATTTCGCTCGTTATTGGAGAGAAAAAAAAAAAAAAAAAAAAAAAGAAAAAAGTTAACATAAAATATCGCGAGACGTATGTACGTGCCATGTCTTGAGTATAATGAACCTCGTAGGTAGTACGCGAGGCTTAAATGGAATATGTATTCCGTTTATGCTTCTCTTAACAGCGCTTTCTCAGGCGCCACTGATAAAGTTTATTGTGGCGTCAGCGAGACTCGTGCTTTCTTTCAATCGTGATAATTGCATCCGGAAGATCACTGTTAATTACCGCGACGCTTTCATACGAATTAGACATAAATCCATGCGACGGATGCACGCGATTGGGTATATTTGCTGTATTACTTAGACTCGTTGGTGATTCAAGGTGATTCAGGTAGTGATTAGAGTATCAATATATATGTATGTATGTATACATGTTACAAGTATCGGGCAATTATTCACGAAGCACAAATCGTACGAATTTGTTGCTTTTTACGAGAATAAATTAAACAACGTAATGTAAAAATTCTTTACACGAAGAAAATAAAAAGTTTTCATCGTTGTTGTTTCCTCTGGAATTATTCATTTCGAATAAGCAATCGATGTTTACATCGTCTTTATCTGTGGACAATGGGATCCTTATGGTATTTACAGAGAATTCTTTGCAAGTTCGCGATGTTTTCGTTTCGATAGACTTTTAATTCATGTTAATTTGATGCACTCATCTGGCGAAGATAAAAATGTTAGATGCTCGGTTTTTTTTTTTTTTTTAATCGATCCATGCCACTGTATGACTTTCCTAGTCAGCTTTGTTCGCCAATGTATAGAATTGTAGAACGTACAGTGTTAGTAATATAGAATTCTTTCTATCGCGTTGAAAACAAGTGAACACAATCGGGAGGAAAATCGTGTTCGTAAGAGAAGAAGGGAATGAACAAATTCTGTATAGGTTTCAATTTATTATAATTATATTACATCGACAGATGTACACCGCCTTTCAGAAAGCTCTGTCCTTATAAAAATACATAACAAAGCTCGGTCGCGCAGCAAGCAAGATATCGATAAATTAGGAAGCGAAACTAGCGGGCCGTTAAATACAGTCGTTCTCGTATTTTTGTACCTCGAATAATGAACTCGTGATCCTTTTGTGCGTATCCAAAAGTGTGTCGTTCTCGTTCGAAAACAGGATTAAAAAAAAAAAGAAAAAAATAAGAGACAATACACCCCGTTCGAGGTGTCGTCGATAACTTCGTCATGCGATTTCGATTATTATGCGATACACGTCTTCTCTGTGTCTTCTCTTTTTTCCTTTTCTTCGTCACGTTCCTGTTTTTTTTTTTTTTTTTTGTTTTATGTTCCTTATGTTATTTCCTTCCAAGGAGTCGTGGAAAGAAAAAAAAATGGAGAGAAGAACAATTCAAAATCACCTCGATAATAATGTGATAGTAATAATGTACTCGTATTATAATTAATTATTATGCGTATTCTCTCTATGTCGTTCGAAACTAGCACCAATGACTATCGCGGTCTATCGCGATCACGCTCTGAAAATGATCGGTCAGTGGACGTTTCGTTCTCGATCTCGCGAAATCGAGCCTCGCTCTTACCCTTATTCACCCTCGAGTTTATAAATGCAACGTATAAAAAATAAAGTCGAACAGGTATGTTGTATGTAATATCACGCTCTATCATGGAACATATTCGTGTTAAGTAAGTAGTACTTCCAACGGATATCATCGATATCCAAACATGTTAAATAGCATTCAAACGCAACGTATTTATACCTCGATGTATGGCCTGTACAATTTGTTCAGAAACGAAGAGATAGAAATCAAGTTTAAAAAAAAAGAAGAAAGAGAAAGAAAAAGAATTAGAATTCGCTGTTAAAGTTCAACTACAAAAACGTCCAATTATATTACAAATTTTATACAAACGTAGATCTATACAAATTCGTACCATCTAAATACCCGAATACAACGAATAAACGAAAGGAAATCATCGAATTTCTCATTAGGAGCAAGTAAAAAAAGGTCCATTTCATGGTTCGTTCAATGTTTGAACAGAATCTGGTTGCTCGTACTGTGTCTGAACTTTAGTCTTTCATTGGGACGTGTGGCCAGATTAACGACGCCATGCCACTTTAATCCGGCAAGATTAGTCTATTACGTGTAAAATCATCGTCTACAGAAGGATGTATCTTTTTCTTCTTCTTTTCTTTTCTTTTCTTTTCTTTTATCTCGTCGAGACAGTTGAACGTCTTAGTTCTATCCAAAGTTGTTCGACCATCTCGAGTCGAAAGTTCTAACTGCGAGGATTCGTACGAAAAAGAACGGATGTTTTGCCGATCTTTCTCATCGTACGATTGCGTCGACGGAGAATTACCGTGCGACAGACTAGTTAAGTAGGTACGTGCGTACGCAGATCGCGCGCGATCTCGCGTTTCCGCTTGCCGCGACTTCTCTGGATATTTCGGTTGAACGTTCTTCTGGGCCCTACGAAATCGGCGCGAGATCCGAGACTGGGTTTTCTTATCGTTAAATCGGCGGCGGCCCGTTCGGATAGACGACCATTGGCGTGAAGCTTCTGGCGAGGTTGTTCGACAGCATGCAGTTGTAGTCTTCTTCGGCGGATGGTACCAACGAGGCGACGCCGAGGAATAACAGCATTAGCGCCTGAATCGGCAACGAGACTCGCAACACTCGGCCCAGGAAACGGTATCCCCGAGACAATACCGTGAGCTCGCCATCGTCACCACTGAAACACATATATTTCACGGTTGTTATGCGATTTCTGTTATTAGGTATCGTGGCTTTTAGGAGAGAAATTAAAGATCCATATTCTTAGTACACGTGTGCATTATACTGTGTCTTTCAGAGAAATTTAGAGCTTTGACTGTATTTAAATACACGTGAACATGTAAGTATAATAGAAATATACAGATAATATATTATAAAAATTATATATAATAGATACTAATATTATATATAATAGGCAATATATTATAAAAATTATACAGACTAAAATTCGAATTACTATGTATGTGTTTACATACACGCGAAACAGCGACCTTCTAGTTTCTATCGTGGGTTTGGAAAATGGTACTTTATTTAGAGAATGTATAGGTATCGTTCGTGGCTGGAAAGCTGCCTGGCAGAAGAAATGTACATTTCATTAATTTACAGTACAATCTTAAGGTCGTGACGAACTCACTTATAAATTTGTTTTACATATTAATCGGAGAGTGTAAGTCATCTTTCCAACCATATCTGCCTGAGCTTACGTTCTCCAACAATTCTGCTCGATATCGAAAATATGGTTTTACGCGCGTTCGTACATAGAAATGCATAGAAATCGCAGAATTGGAGAACGCAGCTTGGAACTTGAAACAGAAAATGAAGAAAACATACTTTGTGCCAGGTGCGTCGTGGGGCTGAACGGTTCCGGAGGCAGCTTCGTCGAGTAGCTACAATACAGTAAAAGAGAAAACACAAACAATAAGGTACTGTGCGTGTGAATGCTACTGCGACGAGGCACGGAAATAATAAAATTCCAGCCAGAAAGAAATTCTGTCGACTCTCGACGATATTCAAATTAGAAATTAAAAGTTAGATTTAGGATGCTCGTTTTAATTTGTCTTGTACATCTTACACGATAATTAACCATCCATTAACAATCTTCATCAAGGTAAAATGAAGTACGTATCCTAAAATTATTCTAAAAATAAAAAGGAAATCTGAAATCGTGTCGAATCCTCTCGTCAAAAGATACGAAAAACACGGTCAATAAAAGTATTTTTGTACTTTTGTATATTATACAGACGGTACACGAAACAGTTTCAAACGGTTCTGTCATTTCGCATTCGATATTCGTTGAATCTTTATTGCAGTCCGTGCCTCGTGTTTCAAGTGTCGATCAACGTGATCCTACGACGTAAGTGCACATAGATCTACACTGAAGCCTAACATTTAAAAAGCGAGTTTCAGCAAGTCGAGCCACAGAGCATCGACGGTCCCTGGAAACTTTCTGAAGAAGCTACTTCGTTCTTACGAAAATTAAATATCGAGAATCTTCTATGCTAGAACTTTGTTCCGTTTCGAGTATTTCGTCGAGTATGTGAAACAGATGCTTTCGAAGCTTACATCGTGAGAAAGGGAAGCAAGGGAGGAACTGGTGGCAGCGAGTCCAATATCTCGTGGGTCCATCCCTAACGCTGCCCCTAATTTCAAGGCGTATATTCCAGTCAGCCGACGAAGTGACAGTAACCTGAGTCGCAATTCCTGTAGGCGTGACCTGGTCTCGCCTTTTTCGTCCAGTAATTGATTGGCCGACTCTTGAAGCGACAAAACTCGGGGCTCGCATCGCTCCAAATCACTCCTCAGTTCCCTAAAAAGAAAAACAGACATCAGTTTTTCCACGAATGAAACACGTGAAATGATTAAATTTGTAAAACGCCAAGGATTTATGCTTATTAAAAAATATAAAATATAATTATTAAAAAATATAAAATATAATAAAATTATAGTATATAATAAAATTATATAATATAAAATATAATAAAATATAAAATATAATTATTAAAAAATATAAAATTTCCAAAGAAAAATTATTCGCCATTTTTTAATTTATCTATTATCTTTACACTGTGCATTATATTTATCTTTCATCCAAAACATTCTCGAAACATAGATACCTGAATTTATTGTACTTGGCGGTCATAATCTCCGGCGACTCGGTCAAGTCGACCGGTTCGCTGGCTCGTATGCTAACTTCCGTTTTCTCCAGCCAGGCAAGCAATTCCTCAATGATACGATGGAACTGCTGGTTCGACATCAGCGCAATTTGCAGCTGTCCCTGCCAGTGTGCAGCCACATTGCACACCTTGTCCCACCTGGTGTTGGCGACGGTCAATCTGTCTCTGAGCTGCATCGCCCGGCACAGATCCTCCGTGTGGTCGGCCAGGTGAGCGCCGACGGTGTTCAAACTGACTAGAATACTTTTGTGACTGTCTAGATCGAGCGCGAATTCCCTGTGATCTTGTATAACGTCTTCCAACTCTTCTATGTTGCTTGGTGGTGAATGTTGCTCGCTTTGGGTGCCTTCGGCGAATTCCAGCCATTTCTCTAGCCTCCAGAGATCGTTCTCCAGCTGAGCCCAATTACGACGCGAGCACACGGGACAGGTTAATCTGCCAGTGTCGCTGCAATATATAAAATTTCATGTTTCTCTTTGTTATATATATATATATATATATATATATATATATATATATATTTTTTATTTCAAACGAAACTTTTGGAATGTGAATTTTTGCGGCGTGTTAATGGTCAGAGTTTGCCACGGGAAAAACAGGTATGGAATGAGCGGAGATCGTTAACGACTGTTAATGAGAAATTGGAGCGAAAGGGGAGCACTCGGTGACCGCAGGGGAAGGTGTAAACGGAGTTAGGTGACCTGAGCGCGAAAAAATTTCTGATTTAACGTTGACTCAGTGATTTTCGTTGAGCAGATAAAATAATGTGTAACGACAGTACGTCATTGGATAATTATACTTTTTAAAATAGAAGGCCTTACCTGAGTTCTCTGATCTGTTGTTCCCGCGTTCTTGCTAAGATTAGAAGATTTTCATATCTGTTCGTCAACGCCGCCACCTCGTTAGCCTTGGCAGCCTGCGCGCTTAATTTTCCATCCTCTATGAGCAAACTATGCAAGTGACGAACCAGCTCGATCGACGATTGACAGCTTCCGATTAGTTTACTCTGTTCAATAAAAGACGTTTTGAACTTGCGAGTATTCAATCAGAAAAATCTCTAAATCTATTATTTACTTTTTTATTTATTGTAATTGTATTTTGTGCATTGTACAGGCTATAATGTTCAAGTTGATTCTGATAGTTAATTAAAAGATGTTTCAAATAAAAATGAAGTGTAGAATATATCTTTCATAAAAAAAAAAAAAAAAACTGGAGTCACTTTATATCTTTTGAATGGTAATAATTTTATATTGACTAATGTCCAATATATTTTTCAACGAACATTCATTTGAAATGCTTTATAATCATTGAAAAATATTTATTATACTATTTGTCGAGACATTATTTTCTAACAATACGACATTCTTAGTCAAACTCACGATATTCTTAGCAGTGGCGTTCAGCCCAGGACCAGCGACAGGATCCGGTGTAATTGCTATTTCAAGCGTGTCCAGAGCGTCGTTACACTCGATCAGAGCAGCCTCCAACTCCATCAGATACGCGTCGCTCGACGTCATTCTCAACAACTTGGGCAACGTGTCCACTTGAACGGCGCTGTCCTGTTCGAACTTCAACGTCTCCACCTGCACGGCCTCGTCAATCTCCAGCTTCTCCTGTCCCTCGATTTCCGCTCTCAACGAGGCAACTCTCTTCTTGATGTCCTTCCATAAAAGCTGATACTCGTCCACCAACTCTTGGATAGTCGCCACGTCATCCGGATGACATTCCTGCATAACCTTCAACGCCAACTCGTCGGCTTTTTGCAACGTGAGGTTCTGCGTGCGAAGCTCTTCCTCGATCTCGTTCAACTGTTGCAGCCGTCGACGCGACGAGGACTTCTGTTCGAGCGTGGACAAATGTTGCGTGGTGGTCAGTCGAACGTCGACTTGCGTCAATCCGACAACCGCAGCGCCGTGCACCGTGATGAAGTCCCGGTAATTCTTCTGTCCCTGTTGCAGCGCCAGTAGAACGGCGTTCGCTCTAGGTTTCAACGTTTGCCATTTATCGATAAGCCGCCGTGTCTCGCTGATAAGCGACTTCAGGTTATCTGGCTCCAGGCCTGTCCTAGCTAAACGACCAAAGTTCTGCTCGATTATCTTCATCGCCGGCTCGTGCACCTCTATATCGTCGAGAATGCTTCTGGCTTTCTCGATGGTTCTCTTCGACTCCTCCTTGGAAAGCTCGTCTAGGCTGTTCTCCAGTTCCGATAGAGCCTCGTCGGTCTCCCCGAGCCAGCCTCCGTGCTCCGACCTGATCCTCCCCAATTCCTGAAGGATCTTCCACGCGAGGATGATCTTCCCTTTCCTCTCGGCCGATTTCACGCAGGTTGCTGTCCACCTACGCTCCAACCCTTCCATCCCGTTCTTAATGGCGTCCGTGTTGAAGGAAGCTTTCCAGGCGTCGCAGTCGCTTAAGAGAATCTCGCAGAGATTCAACACCTCGCCGATGTTACCGCTCTCTGCCTCGATGGTCTTCTGAAGGTGTTCGTGATCCTCGAGTTTCTTGTCGATGCAGCTCTGAGCGATCTCCTCGATCACAAACGTCTCCGACAGCTGGCTCTCCACGCTGGCCAGCCAGACCCTCAGCTCGTTTATCCTCTTCTCCAAATTGTTCATGGTTCTCATGAGATCGACCAATTTACTGGCTCTGGATTTGCCCGTAGCCAGCAACCGTTCCCATCTCTCGTTCACCTCGTCCAAGGTTCGTTGCAGCCTCTCGCTCTCGTCTTCCTCGGCCACCTCTATCAGATCTTGACCGGTATTCTGTATCCACAACAGTTCCGGCTGTTTCAACGCGATATCCGCCTGCAGATCACACTCCAGTCTCTTCAATGTCTCTTCAGGTTCGTTCGGCGCCATCGAGTCGCAATCTTGAATACGGGTCTCGGTCTCGTCTATCCACGTGAGCAACCTGGCCGACCTGTCCTTCCAACGATCATAAAGATCGCAACGCTCGTCCAACCTGCAAATAAGCAACGCTGCCTGGTGCTCGAGGTCCCCGTGCTGCAACCGAAGAAGCGCCCGCTGTTGATTCAACGATTTCATGTCGATGGGACTCAGACACTCCCTCAGTTGCTCCGTGATCACGCTCAGCGACTCCAACTCCGTGCTCATGCCAGCCAATCTGTTTTGCAGCTGTTGAATCGATTCCAGCTGTTGCTTCGTCTTCGACAAGCTGGCAGGTCTCGCGCGGAACACCCTGCTCAGTGTCTGGCTCATCTCGTAGAACGTCGACGTGATGTCCTTTGTCTGTTCTTCGTACTCTGCGTACAACTTCTGTATTCTCGGGATGTAGTCTCGCCAGATCTCCAGGCTGGAGCTCAGGTTGGCTATTCTCTGAGCGTGAGCCGCCAGCTCCATGCGGATGGACATGGCCAGCGTCTGGTCGCAGTTGACCAGCAAGGTCTCCTGTTGCTCCTGCAGAGACTCCAGTTGAGCTTTGCCCTGTTCTATCTTGTCCAGCAGCGCCTGTATCCTCTGAAGGACTTCGTCCAGCCTTTGCAACTGGATGAATCGAAGATGCAGCTGCCCTCGTTCTCTTTCTACCTCCTTCAGCCAGGATAACAGTTTACTCTGGTCCGACTTGTACCTGTCCCACGCGGCCAATCTGTCGCGCACCGCCGCGTGTCTCTCCATGATCGTGGCCAGCGTTTCATTGTGGAGATTCGTCAGGATGTTGAACTGCTCCGTCGTCGACAAGTTGCTGCCCTCTTCCGCTCGAACGGTGAGTATGAGATTCTGTTGGTCGGTCAAGAGGTTCCGATGAACCTCGCAGAGATTCCGATGTTTCGACAGGCCATTGTAGTCGCCGGATACATCGTTGGACAGGAAGTCCTGCACGTCGGCCAGATACTCCTGCCAGAGTTTCAAGGCAGTCGCGCCGTCCTGGGTTTTGACTAGATGAGCCGACAAACGATGATATTGCTGGAAGGTTTCTCTAAAGACGTTCTGCCATCGTTGCAGCACCTCCACTACCGACAGCTCCTGCGTCGACACCTCCAGCGTGCGTTCTTTGATCGACTGCAACTGTGGCTCTGTGCACGTTAGCGCGAGAAGATGATTACGAAGGAGCTTCAGCTGTTCCTTTGACTCGCCTTGGTTCACCGAGGTCAGGCTCTACGGAAAGAGGATAGATTTCGTTAACTTCCTTCTTGTCAGAATCAGAATATATCCAGAATGTAAACATATTATTGATTAATTAAATTCTAAAAAATTCTCAGTTTTATAGATTTTCTTAGTTATAGAATTTTTAGTTATATAGATCGGATATACGATAAGGAAAAATTTTAAGAACGTGTCACTTTCAAGCTGCACGAGACGTTACAGAGAGTTAACCATTCACGAGCCTCTTATCTCAAACAAAAGACAGCTACTCTACGAGAGAGTGAATCCACTTTTCCGATACGTGCAACTTCCGCGGACTTCAGCGAAAGAAGAATCTTCCCTGATATAAGACGAAGTCGCTCCCCGTCTTATCTCGAGTGCGCTTCACTCGGTCGCTCGCTCGCCATTTTCCGATATCCTTTTGCCCCCGAAGCTTGAAAAGCGTTGGTCGAGAAACGTCCTTGGGAATTTCCATCGACAAACGACTGCGAATCATCGTCGAGGGCCTATCCCAGCGGCGAACGTTCGATCGGAAACACGATGCGCAATATCGAAGTCGCACATTCCTTCGTAAAGTTTCGAGTCGAGAGAGGGTGCACGGCCGGATTCAGCTGTTGCGGATTTCGTGACTGATGTAATTGCCAGCCCGGGCTCAAGCCCTTCGGCCTTGACACAACAAAGTGTTTCGGAACTACCGCGATTAAAATATAAACGCGCGTGCGAGGTGTATAATGATCGAGGCCTGTGCCAAGCACCCGATAGCACGCCGGAAACTGACGGACGCGTACACAACGATATACACGTTTGACGCAGCCGGATGGAATCACCTTGACAGACGAGCCGCAGTCGCGCAGGTTCGTGGATTCCTTTCGAGGATTAAAAGAATTCCAAGTCAGTTTGGAAATTATTCACGACGGCTCTCTTTCACGCGAGAAATCTCGTAGACTCGTTAGTTTCATTGCCACCCTTAGAAAGCCAAGTCCGAAGCTCAGTCAGTCCGACGACTAGCAGCTAAATAAATTCCACGCTCAATTCGTTAATCAATTTTCGTTTGCACTAGTTACATATGTATACACAAGGTGGGTCACAGCACATATTACCATCTAGATTTACGTCATTATTATTACGGCTAGCGAAAAATGTTTTTCGGATGAAGTTGAATAGTTTCGAGAGGGGCACATTTTTTGATGATACTAGTTTTCTTGTAGGTGAACGTGCAGAGGACGTATGAAGGTCATTAACGTTTTTTTTAAATGGAATCATATATATTTTTTACTGCATCAGTCGATGCACCTTGATATTAACCCATTTATGTTAAAAAATCATTAGTTTAAGGGATATTTTAATTTTAACTTTATAAGATTACCGTATGAAAGACATGGAAGACGAAGGATAGTATTCTTATATTTATACTGTCTTTGTCTTTCACGCATAGATTTTACAAAATTAAAATTAAAATATCTCCTAAACTAATGATTTCTTAACATAAGTAGGTTGATATTTTTTTTTTTGTAAAGAATATCAAGGTGCATCGACTGATGGAATAAAAAATATATAATGATATATATTTCGCTACGCGTAATAATAATGACGTAAATCTAGATGGCAATATGTAGTAACCCACCCTGTATATCTGTTTCCTAATTGCCATCTTTGTTAAAGTTAACTGTCATTTTTAAACTGACGAACAAACAATTTTCAATTAATTCGTTTAACCGCTTGCCACGCACGTCAACAATTTTTTGTTCCAAAATTGTAATATCTTCTCAGTATATTTAAGAGAAACAAAATTATTATTTAATAATAAATTTATTACTTCTCAATAATTTCTAGCCAATGATATCATAGAGTTCAAAGAAGAAAACGACGAATTATTACATACGGTTTGGTCACTCGTTATGGTCCGCAATCGGTTGCCAGCGCAAGTGGTTAATCCGAAACAATTCGAGACATAGAGCAGAATCTCTGGGCCAAGGTTCTTCCGTTCGTTTGAAGATTCTCTTTCTCTATTAGGTTAGCCTTGCGCGATAATAAAAATAGCCAACGGTAGATATTTTGTAACCAGCGTGATCTCGAGCCACTCGAAACATCGACTGCCGTAAAATGCGACGTCAGAGAATTTAAGAAAAAGAAAAATCGACATTCGTAATCTTCCTTTTCAATGGTTCGGTGTTTTACCACGTGGCAAATAGTTTTACCGCGCGTGGGAGAAAATAGAATTTACAGGGCTTCATACGCGCCATGGTAGATCCCAAGAGCCTCCAGACGAATCTTCGAACATCAGAATAAGAAGATGTACACGCCGTTCTTCAACGGAGTGTAAGTCTTACTACTTTAGGACCCTCCGTTTCTCAGAAACGCGTCGTATGGAATTCAAATAGCGCGAGACGAGACGAGCTGAGCCGAGCTATTTCGCGTTCTGCGCGATTCATTGATCCCGAGTTCACTATTTTCGGATTCACTAATTCATCGTTCGCTGTTCGATCATCGGCTTCACTTTTAAATTGTTTTAAATTTTATAATTCAACCTTACTCTCATTTCAGGAAGTATCACGAATCTATAATATTCCGAGAAGAGAGACGTTTTTTCAACCAAAAACTTTAATCGAGAAATTGTGTATAATAAAGAACTTTCTTGTAGTTTATTCGAAGTTGATAAAAGTGAAAAAGCGGATCTGAAAGAATAATTAAATATTATAATTATTCAAATTTAAATTAATTGCTACAAATCGCAAAATTCTATGGATCTTTTAAATTTAAAATTCTGCCAGATAAACTGGCAATCTTTATTTTAACATTCTTCTTGAAGATTCGAGAAATTGATTTTTCGATCCCAAACTTTACGATGGTGATTGGAAAGAGAGAGAAAAAAAAAGAAAAGGTCCAGAGGTTAAAAGCGAAATGTTTGTATACTTCATTTTCCGATACGAGGGTCAAATCGATTTCTGTTCGAATTCTAATATTGTACCGAACAGTGACCTCAGTTGAGGAAGAGTAGTTATGTCACCACCAGCGTTTAAATTAATTAAATTTAAATAAACACGTGCGATTCGCCCGCCATACGCTAAGCAGACGTGCAACACGTTTTACACAGATAACCATAGCACGAGCCCAAAATATTTACGAAACTCGGTTACCGTTTGAATCCTCCAAAAAACGCGCTTTCCACCGCACAATCTAGATTTATAGTTTAATTTATATTTATTCGTTTGTTTAGATCTGTTTTGCAGATGCGTTTGAAGCGTCCGATACTTCATGAATTATTTAACAGAGGTATATAATAATGCTTGCTCTAATCTGTCATCGTTACACCATTTATAGTTACGCAGCAGCAAATATTAAAATGTACCAGAGAAGTCTCATTTATCTATAGTTTCTTGAAAGATAAAATTAATATAATATTTGAAAAAAAATTCGTATAATATTAAAAATAAATTCATCTAACAAAATTCGTGTAATATTAAAGTCTATAAAAGTTCATGTAATTAGAATTCGTATAATAAGAACAAACTTTTTCAATTTTATCTATTTACTAATTTTGTATTCAATGGATTTTCACACTTTAATTCACATTTAGTTGAAACAAGTGGTTTAATTGAAAATTAATTAACACGTCGTTGCAATAAATAAAATTCGTCGATCGACTACCCGATCATTTGGACGCAACAATTTCTTGATTTATAGATATCTGATTTCTAATACGTCGGATCATCTCTATTAATAACAAATTGTACCACGTTTATACCAACAGACGATCTAAAATCGTCCTTAACTGAAATCAATGCATCTCCATCGATATTTAATTTTATAATTACACAAGCTGCCAGTTAAATGACCTGGTTAACAGGTCAAGGCATTTTCCATGCAAAGGGAAGCTTACAAATTTCCCTCGGGAAATCGCCGTATATTGTAAAATTAAAACACTCGTCATACTCTATCGATCGCGTTATGTAATCAAAGCGAGATCTTCCATTTTGAAGATTGCCAAGTGAAAGAAAGGAATAGAGAGCGCAGAATAGTTCAGTTAGAGAGCAGGAAGTTCATATCTGTGGGAAAAAAAATAAACAATTTACGAAATGGTTACGTAATTACTTGCCTGTTGGACCGAGTCCAGGAAATTTTTCGTCTGACATAAATCGCCACGTGCGAGCTCCTGGTTGAGGGCACGGGCATCAGCGGCATCCGCGAGGCACGACAACGTTTCACGAATGTCCTCCAGACGTTGACCGAGTGCCTCCACTTCGCAGTGCAACGGTCCACTAGCGTCCAGACCGACGTTCGACGCGATCTGAGCCACCAGCCCCTGAAGCTCCGCCAACCTCTCCTTGTGCTCCGCCATCGTCTCCTCGCAAATCTGTCAGAAAGCGAAATACATTTCTCAATTTAACAGCATTCTCAAGATCTTACGACAGACAGATCAGCAAAAGATCATTAATTAAAGTCAAGGTTTTCCCCCCCGGAGGTTATCGACCTCTTTTTATCTGCCAACGGGAAGATTTCGCGACGTTTGTTCAATGTTATCGGTGAGATATCGTGAGATAGCTGTGTTTGTTCTGTGCATTTTTTGAAAAATTTAGAAAAACCAAAAATCCACGTGCAATTAAACTATGGTGAAAAATTGTCGATATTTTATGCTGTTGTAACAGCGTGAAAAGTAATCATACAGCGATCAATTTGATTTTATTTTAAAGCGTGAAACCTGTAACTTCAACAGTCCCAAGTTTGTGTTTTCACATTGTGAAATTGTCACAGAATGAGAAAATAAGAATGCTTTTATTCTCGGAAATTATCAAAATTCAAAGATCTTTAAAAACATTGAAAAATCTTTTTCATGGCAATATTTCTACGGTAAATCAATCAGATTTTGAAAATTTTAAAGTCTCTTTTTTACAACCTTCCCTTAAAGTTTACTATATGATTCTTTTTCCGCTGTAAACTTTAGATAATGAAACGACAAAAATACAAAAAACAAGTTATCAAGAGAAAATTTCAATCTTCAAGAATAACAACTTTTTCAATATTTAGAATTTTCCTCGCATACCCAAATCAAGCAGCGTAACATCTCACGTTTGACATTCACAATCAATGCGTAGTCACAGTGATTTTTGGTATAAATCATCAAACGTATGAACAGTAAAAAAAAGAATTGTGAATAGTCGATGCTCTTGTTCTAATTGGAAATAATTTTTCATACTTTTCACGTGGTAGAAAGAAACGTTCAAAACAAATTGACACTTTCGTAATTGCTTTGTCAAAGCTCGACTTGTTACTCGGAGTTAACAGTAATTAGTAATTAGTAATACGGCGATTGAAGCGTTTCAGTTTCGAGCTGTTATCAGAGTTTCGTGGTTGGGGCAGGATTCCAGAAATTCTTGTTAAATACGCGTCAAAGATAGGGGAGTTGACTCCGCGCGCCACAAATAGGCGTGTGTGTTATTGTTTGAAAAATGGAGCCGGAGGTGGCCGACTCTTTTTTGAAATTCGAAATAATTTACGGCAGCCGTGAATTGTCTACATATGTAGACAAATAAGCAGATATCACGATACGTGAATGACATTGGCGATACGAAATGAAGCGATACGAACGAATAAATGAGAATGAGAGAGGAGAAAAGCATCGTAGAAGAATGAGAGATGCGTGAAACAGTAGGAGGTTTCGATCGAACCTCTCTCGCGTTCGCAATGAAAATTGCGCTCAGTTTCGTTTGTTACCTTTCTAAAATCGTGCGAAATTATGGAAACACATTTTATTTACGCGTCATTCGCGTCTAGACCGTCAAGTAAGAGTAACGGTACACGATCACTCCGCGATAAGAACCATACAACTGCATCTTCTGATAAGAAGCAGTCGTTCGCGCTACGAACGTCGAATGCAAACTACAATTTACTAGATTAGTGCACGGTGTCATGCACAAAGACTCTGCAGAAATTCTATTCCAGTTCGTTGCATCACACGTGCGACGGATTACACAGTTCCAACACAAAATTATCCCACGCCTCGAACGTCATGTATCGGTATAGAGTACAGACTGTATAATATCATCGAATCACGCTGAGCTTAAGTATAAATTCGAATGTTACGCCTGTTAAAACAACGCACCATCACCATCGTCAAAATTTCTGTGTACGTAACAAAAATTAACACACCATCACCAAGATAAGTTTCTCTCATCAAACAAGAACAACTAAATCCTACGTGTAAACTCAATTAACACACAGTCACTAATTGTAAGTAAATTCTGATCAAACAAGAGCGACTAAAAGTACTGTAAACAAATTCGAGTAGACGTTTAACAGAAAATTAATAATACACTTTGTCGTCGAGTAAATTCCAATCGAACGGAGGATACGACGACTGAAACGAACGTGTAAGATAAATTTAATTAATAAAAATCACCCTTGTCACTACGTGAATTCTGCGTGAACATGGTTGCGAGAAGAGGTAAAAAAAAAAAAAAAGAAAAAGAAAATCGATAACCCGCACAGATTCATAGACGAGAAAAGGACGGGACGCGCCTTTGGCGATAACCGAGCGCACCGGATATACGTATATCGCAGAATCCCGGTTCAGCCTGTACCTTTATCTCCTCGGGCGTGCACATGCTTCTTAATTTAGGTCACTGTTCATCGTTCCTATTTTTCACAGCGCGTCACGTACGGTCCACCAGTGAGGGAACGGGCCGACGTGTAGACGAAACAGCGAATCGGGCACGTGTCCGTCGCGACATCGGCTGTACGCTTCGAATTTTCGATTAACCGGAAACTGGCCACGGTCCTCGGCCGTCGTGGTCATTCGGACGCGCATAATCGCCCGTTTACTGGTTACGCTCGCCGAGACATGTTTACGAGCGACGATGTACACGTTTATCGGTCGATCGCTCGAAGAAATGTACAATGATAATAATATATACACACGAAGAAACGCGAAGACGAATAAGGGGAATACACAGTCGACGATTACAGAATGTATATATATGTATATATGTGTGTGTACGTGTGCGTGACTTGTTACAAGAGCAGAGAAACAAGCGTCTCGACGCTCTGGACCAGACTGGCGTCCTCGTCTCTTCGGGGATCGATGCGCATAACCCGAGACTCGAGTGGGGAGGGAGACTCTGTTGCCCCGTATTTCAACGACCTACCCTCGCAGCCACGTTTCGGCGCACTTGCGTAGGGTGAATCGTGCCTTCTACGTGCCGCACTAGGCGTGGTGGGGACGATGACACTACCCCGAGGCTCCCATTCAAGGGACGATGACGTTTCGGCCGCACCACCACTTTTACCTCAAGATTCACTTTGTCCATGGGCGGTGTACAGCCGTGTACAGCCGTGTTTTCACCGTATTGAAAGGATGACGACTCTGTCTACAGTGGGAAGATGCTTCTCCTTTTTCTATGATCTTGAATTAATGGTTTATTGATTTTGTATTTAACGAGAATGGACACTCGATTGGAGAGTAATAGGTAACAGATTTTATTTAGAGATGTTTCTTTCACGGTTAAAATATATGCGATTAAATATGCTAATGATTAATGATTGTTAAAAAAAAAAAAAAAAATGGAATGATAAATGAAAATATGGTATTTGAATGATTCTAAATTATGCTTGTTTCTTATTTAAATTCCACGTATCGTGATTAAGAAATGCATAAGAACTGAACGTAAATTAAATCTATTCGTTACATCGAACCTTTCTGCTTAATGTGTTTGTGTCCATTTAATGCCAAGAAATTAGTTAGAACGATGAGAAATGGCTGAGGATTCATTTAGGTATAGAAAAAAAAAAAAAGGAAAAGTGTAGAATAGATTTTCGATAACAGATAAATTTTCGTAGTTGCAAAATTCACAGCTTATCTACACCTCACAGATAGCCTTCGACAATGTGTACAAATGGTACCGTGTTTTGATAATGAACAATGTCATCGATGTACGGCACGATAACGTTAATAGCCGCTGCTGGCATAAATTGTCAAGGTTTTAAAGTAATAATAACATACAAAGTAAATTGAGAATCCTGCTGTTTAACTTACGAACGTTTAAAGAAAAAAGAAAGCCGTTCGAAGACGTCCAAACATTTGCTCGGCTTTGTCTCTTTATCTTTGTCTAACCTATTAGGTTACAACAAATATGCCTAATTTGACTACGTTTGATCAGCCTTCTCCTCGTAGTTACTTTCATTACCGTTTAAGATTCATCATTTGTCATTCAACATTCACCAATGAATCATACAGATGAGTCAATCTTTTTCGACAAATAATAGAATCTTCAATTTGGGAAACGTAGCAAAATTTCGGTGATATCCGTCTCAGTTACAAGTGAGTTACGCTTTCAAATTCAATGACACGTACCCTAAATATAGATTCACAGAAACTTTCCACTTCCATCCGCATATATTCTCTTTCCTTTTTCTCTCTTTTAATCTCTCTTTCAATTCGTTCCAATTCTTTTTTTTTGTTTTTTAATTTTTTAATTTTTACGATAACGCTGTGTTCCCTGTTGCTCACCTCGATAAAACTCGATGTATCGGTACGAAGCTCGAAAGAGTTTCGAGCCGTTATGCCGGCCGTATATAAACCGGCCAATCGATCGGCTAACCAACTAACTAACCAGGTGTGCAAATTTCGAGGATAAAGAGGTGTTCACGCGTACCTTGATGTGTTTGACGGCCTCTTCTGGCGGCAGGTTAGCAACGTTGTCCATCTGCGTGTCCACCCAGGCTTTCACCGCGGCGCTCGAGTCTTTGTACTGTTGCCACAGTCTGCACGCGTGCTGATACTTGGTGCAAAGGGCATCTAATTCGGCCCTGGTGTCCTCCCAGGCTTGTACGGCCTCATTTACCGCCGCTTCGACCTTCTCGCGGACCTCTGCAGCGCAACCCTCCCGCAGAGGTTCGGCAGCCTCTCGCAATTCGCCAATAAGAACTTCTCGCGCGCCCAAATCACCGCTCAGACCCTGCAACAAGACAAAATATCTCTGTTTCGTATGCACAAACGTTCTTTTGTCGCTCTTTTTTTCTTCCTTCGCCTCCTGATCTCGTCTCGAAGACAATTCGAACGTTGTCGAACGTATTTGGATCGTGAAAAGTCGATGGAAGATTTGGGAGAATTGTTCGGTAGAAACAATTCGACGGAAATTTAAAGAAACACAGCGAACAGCCGGTCATCGTGTGACATTCATTTTTCAATAAACAATGTCATGTTTATACTTCTTCGAAATAAATTCAGAAAGTTTAAATTCATGATGTGCAGACATAACTAGCGATGAAGCACACGCGTAGAAGCACGAAGCGAGAAATTAAAAATTTGTTAAGATTAACTTTCTCTCTGATCATTCGAGTAAAATATTTTAACAATTTTTAACAATTTTCAACAATTATCAAATTCGTTCGAACATCAATACGAATCGTGGTGTGAAAGAGGATGAAAAGAATTGGAAATATCTTCTTTCCCTGACAGATAATTTATCTTCTATTGGAGATCAATTTCCAGGATTGTTAGACCCTTATGTTCTCCGTTTGTGCGATACACATGGCAATTAAGCATATTTGGTTCGAGTTCGTTTAATCGGTACTGATCAAAGAAACGAACTCGCGTAGAAAGGCTTCTTTTATCGAGACTCCAAGGTTCAACGAAACTTTAATTAGCTTGGCACAAATGATTAACTGCTTCTTCATCGTTGAAGACTCTTATTATTTATTCTACTTAGCCTTTATTTTCAATTTCCATATGTTAACACGCCGGGAACGAAACGAGGATAACCGCATTCGACCAGTGATTTCATCGTATATGGATTCGCAATGCAAACGTTCTAACCGAGAGAAAATATACTTTGCACGCGTTTCATACATATTACTAATGAATAAAATTATCTGTGACGTACGTTCTGCGATATTTTACATCGATACGAGAAGGTTCAGCTTTATTCCTTTCGATCACGTGGAATCGCGAAGTCATTACATAACCTCACGAGCACAGGAAGAAAGAAAATCTTCGGATATTGTTCCATTGTTTTCTTGGAACGATTAATCGAACGATGTATTGCTCGGCGATCTCTCTCGATTAATTGCGACCGTCGTTGCTATTAATCCGAGAGGCCTTCAAACAGATTTCCTAATTCTCTTTGGTAGTTACCTGCGTTAGCATATTCTAGTCTCTTGTGCAAACAGTTGGAACATTACTCAACTTACTGCGTACGAAATATTCTGTTCTCTTTAATTAAAATATCCTATTACTTCGAAATTGAAGATTTTGTTTTTCTAATTTTTTTTTATTCTGTTTAAGTGTTTTTTAATACCGTAAATTCGAAAAGAAAGGAAAAGAAATCATTTAAATGGTATCATTGGGAATTGGACATTTTATATTGCTCAATTGGAATTTTTAATTCAACTTTATTACTAAAAACTCTATCCTAAAATGCAAAATAAAATTAAATACCTTACATTTTTTGTAATATAACACATACTATTATATTCATCTGTAGTCTTTAAGATATTACTTGAGGATCGATACGAATTCTTAGAAAATGAAGAAATGCTAGACAGGATATTTTCAGTTAATTCGATTGAAATTTCAACCTATTAGAAAATTCTCATTCCCCAGGCGCTCGTATTTCTCGAACGAATTCAACTGAGATACCGGGCGATATTCGCACGATCGTGGGATATTGTTGAAATCGTAGCAACAACTCGAGCACACTCTAATCAGCTATGTGTGCACTCGGTGTTACTCAAAGAATGCACATACCGGTTTCCCTTAAATACGTCCTATAAATAATTTTGAGTCACGAGACTAGAAGCTCGCTGCTCGAATTCGGTCAGAACGTGGTTGGACTAATTTTGCGTCGTGTACTCGAGTTCGTTCACCTGGCTGACGGTTTTCCGGTGAAACCTTTTGGCGGAAATCGAATTGCCGCCAGTGCGTTTCTAACGAAATCCCGTTTTACACCGCGGCGAGTCTTTTTCCACGACTTCGTTCGTACTGATTCTGTGATCTTTGTTAAAAATTCATTTCAAATTGACACTCGAAATTCTCGTAAGTTTTTTGTTTATTCAAGAACTGAGTGATGAGTCTTGACTGATGAGTAGAACGAAGGGAATTTATCTCAATTTAATGCTCGTAAAGTTTTACGACAGAATGTCTTCTCTTGGAATGGTTTTGACCCTAAATGGCATTAAATTCGCAGGTAGTAATTGTAACCGTAGTAATTGTAACCATAGTAATTGTAAAATTTAAATTATTTAACAACCCCGGTCGTTTACACTCTGAGCGAAATTTTACTCGTGAATTTCTTTCGAACAAATTTCTATTTATTGTTGGAAAAGATTTTACTTAAAAAATTGATGGTACAATATAGAGTAAAGATTTCATCATGTGACATAAGATTTTTTTCACATTCTTCGAAAGGCTAGACCATGAGTTATGCTTTGCATTTTAAATTCTCTGCAGATAGACATCAATAATAAACTAATAATAAACGAAAATTTTCAAAGTCAAATAATTTAGTTCTACAATTAAAGAGCCCAAGAACTGACATACATGTCTGTTTCTTATTACAAAATAAAGCGGAGAAGCTCTCGTAACGAGAAGCTAGTATCCCAAAACTTTTGTAACGCGCGATTAATTCGGATAATCGAGGCCCGCCTCGCGTCTATTTCAAGCCGGCGAGTGCCAGGCGACGTTGTTCACTTGTCAATTTTAAACAAAGCCGATCCGTTGATTTTTCACGAACCGAAAGTTACTAAAATGCACGCGGAGCCAGCGGTCGGAATAGTGGGCGCGGTATCGCGATAAATAACGGAACAGGAAGTTGCGACTCGCCTGGAGCTTCCGCCTTATATGATACAGTCACCAAGACTAAAATTCCACGAGTGTTCCATGACTCGTGTTATCAGCCGAGCGTTAAAAATAAGCCCAATTAAAAGAATTATTACACGAGAGGAACTATTGCATAAGTTGTGTTGAAACACGAAGAAAGTGTTTGATAAGAAATGAAACGAATATATATTCTATAAGAATCTTCATTCATGAAAAACTCTAATTTATAATATTTCTTTTTTTTTTTTGTCAAAAATCTTCTTTTGTGAAGCACACGTTCTCGACATACTTTTTTATCCTTTGGAGCAAGTATCTAGAAATTAATTAACGTGTAAATAATCAGCAAACAATGAATCGTATTACTGTAAAAATTTTCTGCACATCTGTGGAACTTTGCGTTAAAAATGAATAAAATATGTAGAAGTGTGTAGAAAGGTACAGAATTTAAATACAATATCTCTCAATCTAACAGTACTACTATTATACAGTCATTGCAAAGATATCCGCTTTTCTAATTAAAGAATTATAATAAAAGAGAAATATATCATATCTAAAACGATCAATCTGTATCAAACGCAAACAAAGATACGGATTGCACGCGGAACAATAACGAGGATAAAAATGCACTACTGCGCAAAGCCGCGCGTTGTCATCAGATTCCAATGCGCGGATTCATCGGTTGAAAATTTTGGAGAATGCAATTTGATAGATAAAAGGGAAATCGGTTGCTTCTCAGGCTAGATAAACCCGTCCTTTTCCACGTGGTATAGTTATTTACATACCGTATCGTTGCGTCATATACCCCGTCTGTCTCATCCATCGTACATAATTAGATCAATGGATTAGCGAGCATCTGCTACATACTCGTTTCCTTCATTTTTACTTTGGTGTGTATCGTGTTCATTGCTGTGCCACGGAAACATTATTCTGCTCTCCTCTTTCACATTAATATTGTCAGTGTGTACTTTAATTCAGCAATATTAAAGCGTAAAAGAAAATAGAGAAGGATTATTGAGTCGAGTTTTCTTGTTAAATATTTCTCCTCTCTTTGGTAAATATTTTCTCTCAGAAAATATTTCACGGTTATCCAGATTGTTTCAATTTGACAATTTTAGTGGGGAGAACTTTTTGCTTGGATTTATTACTTATTTCCTGAATTACTCTCTTTCATTCGTGATAACTAAACAATAACGTGCCATGTGAAATCGATGAACCGGCTCATGAAAATTGTAAATGAGAAATTACTCGCGATGACTCGATATTTGTCGTTTCATCAAGGACAAGTTTCACTTGGCCCGACTCGTTGCCGATTACGATTGTTACATTTACTCCGCCATAGATAGCCATGGCATTCTGATTTGACGCTCTTTAAACACGATTAATTATGAGTCTTTCCTTCAATTCAAACACGAAACTCACAAACCGCTCCTTTCATCGAAACTAAAAATGGCTATCTCGGACGCAGCTGTTGATTGTGTTTCTTTTAAAGTAAGACATCTGTTTTTGCATATTTGTATGTATACCTATGTCGACCTAACTCTAACTTGTTTATACAGAAGACTACGGGACATACGGGACATTGCGAAGAAACAAAACTTGACGACTTTGCTTTTATCATTCCATCGTTACTCTTATTTTTCTAAATGATTCAATGCTGAGAAATCCATCTCCGAGGAATCGAATAACCAAAAACAAAAAGGAAGAAGTGACCTGAGAAAGAAATTCAAAAATAATATTCAACCTCAAACGTTACACATTCTAACGTAACAATGAAACGAACTCTGCGTCGTCGAGCTTCGATTGTTGGAACGGATCTGCATTTATGAATATTCAGTGCTTACTTCCGATCAGCCAATTCGATGCGTCGAGCGCAAATACACCATCCATCTATCGATCGTTTCATCAATTTTTCACGGCGATCACGTTGCCGCATTTTCAATGTTTCTCAATCTCCCGTTTCACGAACGCCAACGAGATCGCGGTGCTCGACGTTTCAAGATTGTCATAACGAGGGAAATTTAATACGAAACGACGATGTACACTCGCGTGTGTCACTTATCACTGGACGAAGAGGCGAGATGGTTCAAATGCGCGCGCTCGACCCGTTCGCGGCGACGGGACTCATGTCACTGATACACGACCTCCGATAACACCGATCCGAGACTCGTACGCGCCTGCGCGCTACGCGAACCGCGCTGCTTCCCTCGCACGTGGCGAAGGTTATCGCTGAGGAAAGTGCGTCTTCCGGTGAGAGGACCGATCGATCAGCGATCTGCGTGCTGTACAAGAAGTGTGCATCCGCGCGCCAGTTTATTTTTATTCATACACTTTGAGACACACTTGGAATATGATTTGTAAAAGATTATGTCAATTTTTCCGATACTACTAATTCTTGCGTTACCTTACAACTGTTCATCACTTAAGACAGTTCGTGATTCATTGCATATTCTCTGAAATACACTTTATTTCCCCCTATTCTTTACTTTTATTATTAATTTTTGTTATCTTATTTTCAATTAATGAAAGTTGCCCCTTGAACGGACCGAGGCTTCCACTATCAGGTTCTCAGAATCCCATTAGTCTCCCGTTAGTTGTGAAGCTTATTTTGGAATGTATATTCGTCTATAGAGTTACGTACTAGCTCCTTCAATTGCGAACGATTGGAAGCGTCGAAGGCGTGCCAGTTCATTTTTATTCTACTTTGAAACGCACTTGGAATATAATTTGTAAAAAGATTATGTCAACTTTTCCGAACTCTTGCGTTACCTTCCAACTGTTTATCACTTAAGACAGTTCGTAATTCATTGTATATTCTCTGAAATACACTTTATTTCCCCCTATTCTTTACTTTTATTATTAATTTTTGTTGTCTTATTTTCAATTAATGAAAGTTGTCCCTTGAACGGACCGAGGCTTCCACTATCAGGTTCTCAGAATCCCATTAGTCTCCCGTTAGTTGTGAAGCTTATTTTGGAATGTATATTCGTCTATAGAGTTACGTACTAGCTCCTTCAATTGCGAACGATTGGAAGCGTCGAAGGCGTGCCAGTTCATTTTTATTCTACTTTGAAACACACTTGGAATATAATTTGTAAAAAGATTATGTCAACTTTTCCGAATTCTTGCGTTACTTTTCAACTGTTCATCACTTAAGACAGTTCCTAATTTATTGTATATTCTCTGAAATACACTTTATTTCCCCCTATTCTTTACTTTTATTATTAATTTTTGTTGTCTTATTTTCAATTAATGAAAGTTGCCCCTTGAACGGACCGAAGCTTCCAATATCAGGTTCCCAGAATCCCAGTAGTCTCCCGTTAGCTGCGAAGCTTATTTTGGAATGTATATTCGTCTATAGAACCGAGTTACGTACTAGCTCCTTCAATTGCGAACGATTGGAAGTGTCGAGGGCGCGCGAAAGCAGGCCGGTCGATACCATTCGGTTAGTTATTCAAACTTCTGCAAGTTTTAACGCATTCCGAGGCCCGAGAGAGACTTTCAAGGAATGTTCGAGCAGTGTTATTACGAATCTCGGATGCCTCGAATCGTTTCATTGGCATCACGATGTTCGATCGCGATCCTTCCCTCGCGATTAACGAGAATTAGCTCGCGTGACGTAACCACCCAATCGAGAACAATGCAAGAGAACTGTACACCTTTGATTACCTGCCAAACGATCGATACAGAGATGAAAACTTACCTCTAGCCTTTCGGTAGCTTTCAGTAGCCTTTCGTAATCGACAGAGCCTTGTACGGTCAACAACTCCATCATGTAGTCAGCTTCCTGTACCGACTGTTGCACCATCTCCAGCTGTTTCTCAAATCTTCTCCATAAGGCGAGTCTGTTCTTCAACAGAGTTAACAATCGTGTACATCTAGCTTCTAAATTCGTATGAGTGTCCTGAAGGTTTGAAATGTCTCGTTCGACGCTGACCGGCGACACCGAGACCCTCATAACGGTGGGCAGAGTGTGCAATAATTGTCTGAGGCCCATGATATCCTGCCATAAAATAGCGAGCTCGTCAGCGACGGTTTGACATCGATCGACGGCAGCTGCGACCACGTCGCTTCCCTGTCGCTCGCTTCCCTCGCACTGATCCAATATAGACGATTGCCGTTGATGAGCTTTCCTAACGCGACTGAGGCCACGCTGGATCGCCTGAAGCCTCTCCCTCACCAACTGTGCCGCGTCCAACTCCTCGCTAATTTGACTTTCTATTCTTCGAGCTGAGGACAGTAGAACACCGACTTTCTCGCTCTCCGCCACTGGCAGCAGACCAAGGCGACCCAGCTCGTCTTGGATCAAGCAGATTCTGTCGAACAAAACGGTCAAACGTTCGATGTACAGATCTAGCTCCTCCTCCGTCTTTAGAACACCGTGGAAACTGTCGACGGTTATTCGCAGTTCGTTCAGTTCCCTTTCGAGGAGCTTCAGTTTCTCGTTGGACGAGATGTCCCCCGAAGAGATGTTCCGCGTTACTCGTTCGTGGATGTTGTTTATCTGCTGCGAGACGTCGTTCCAACGATCTTGCACCTCACGATGGAACTGCCTCTGCAGCATCTCGTCCGACAGCGGGATTATTCGCAGGGCTTGCTCAAAGCTGTTGCTAGCCTCTTCTCGAATGTTGTTGTGGACTTCGTACTGTGCCTTCAATTCCTATCGAGAGAGAAAAAAGAAAGAATGTCCGACGCGTGAAGGGATTTTAATGTTTGATTTTTTTTAATCGTCGGAACGATTCTCTCGATTCACTCACCCAGAATTGACGTATATGACCACCCGAGGGATCGCGAAGACTGACCAATTCCTTCTCCACCAACGTCATCCAGTTTTCCAACCGGTTCATCAGCATTTCCTGGTTGCACCAACTCTCTCTGAACGATAGCAACTTTCTCAACGACGACTCCACGTTGTCCTGAAGCTTCACGATAACGTCCAATGCCTCGCCGTAACGATCCTCGGGATCTTCGATGTTCACCAATTCCTGAAGATTACGTGCCACGTTCAGAAGCTGAATTAGTCGAGCGTGATGCGTCGCAACGTCCGTCGCCAGAGACTGAAAGAAAACGCACAATTAGTTGTATCCTCTGCTTTCAATGAAAATTGAAATACAGGTAATTGTATACTAAGTGTGTCGAATTTATTTGCATTTCTAAGAAAAAACTATTAATTTACCTGGTACAACGAGATGTACTGATCGTAATCGGACGACGTCACCGTCTGGAGGTCGGGAACTCGTTGATGAGCAACTTGGAGCCACCCCCGCTCCTCTTTCACACCCTGCTCCAAGAGAATCCATCTAGACGCAGCGAGTGCCATTTGCTGAGCCCTGGACGCAGCCTGGTCTAACAACGATATAGCTCTGCCGTGCAGCTCCTCGTGAAGATCTGCGTATTTAGTCCTGGTTTCTGGGTCCAGGTTCCCTTCCAACGATTCCAGAATCGCTCGACAGTGGTTCAAGTTGACGAAGAACTTCCTGTGCTTCTGCATCTCCTCTTGCAAATGTTCCAAACTCATCACGGAGATGGGACTTTCCAGCAAGTTCTCCGCGATTTCGGTGATCTGAGCGAATTCACGAAGAGTCTGCTCGTATTCCTCGGCTAGGGCCAACAGTTGGAGAAGACGTTCACGTTCGATGCATACTCCATGCTCGATTATTTTCGTCATCTCGTGGGCCGCGTACGTCTCTTCTGGAATATGTTTCCCGGGATAATCGCGTAGCAATTCGTGCGAGGCGGTGAGTAACGTCGCCGTCTTCCACATGTGACACTGGTTCATAGTTTCCAGTTTGTCCAGCTCCTCCAGCTTCCATTTCGTAGACGCCTCGAGTTCGATGAGCTCGTTCAGACGTCTTCTTTGTTCCTCGATTAACCTAACAACAATAATAAGAAAAAGTTGAAATTTATTCCGAAATTTATTGCTACAAATTTCAATAGAGACCGCACCTGTACATGTTGCTCACGCCATTCACGAATTCGTCCCACCTAGCGAGTTCACTCGTGAGATGTTTCTCTCCATCGTCGGTTGCGTCTTCGATCATCCTAACCTGATTCAGAAGAGCGTCCAAACACTCCTGCAAATTATTTCTATCTTCCCCTGGGTAATTCGCCTCCACCAATTTCCAAATATTATTCAACTCCTGAATATTCTCTTCCACGTTCTCCACTTCGTCCTTCAGCTCGACGTAAGTCTTGTCGTCGTGAGAGGGACCGCTGGGACACTCTTTGCTCAGGAAAATTCTATACTCGATCGTCTCCAGCCAAGTGGAGATCGTATCCACGACGACGACCAGAGTTTCTTCGACGGTGATCGCGTCTTTTTCCTGCGCGGCATCCCTCAAATGCGACAGCTCCTTCCTCACCTCGGCAGCTCGTTCCTCAGCTTGCTTCTCGTTCGCTATCTTATCAAGGTGAGCTATGCGAAGGATGTTCCCTAGATGACTCGGCTGTTTGGCGTTTCGAAGGTTCTGCATTCGATCGGAGATCGCTTTGGTCGTTTGGCTGCTCTGAGTGATTTGATGTTGAGGTTCGTACTCTGCAGCCTCAGCGAGTAAGAAAGCTTTCGAACTCGCGCTCTTCTGCGCACTCGGCGCAGCGTGGTGGGACAATTCCCACGAAGACTGATCCCTTTCTGGCTTCTTCGAAGACTCGCTGATAATATCCGCGTAGGTCTTAACCCTCGGTCGATCAGCTTCCTGTAACACTTCTATCGATTCCATAGGAGAAAGTGGTTCTTCGGTCGTGTCCATCGGTTCAGGCGAAGGCATGTGTGGAATAACTGGCGTCTGTTGTCCTTCCAATTGATCCTTGCCTAACGTCCATACATCTTGCGTCTCTTCAATTGCCACTGGTTTCGTCGTTGTAAACGGTACGTCAACACTTTGTACAACATTTTCTTCAATTTCATGCGCCTTCTCCTCCGGCACGATCTTGACACCGTCTTCCTCGAAACCTCTGTTCGAACCAGCTTCACCAGGAGGAGACCTATCCTTGCCCACGTTCCTCTTAGCGACGTCGGAATAAGACAACCTCAGAGACACGTCTCGCGACTCTATCGGTTGTCCAAATATGGATTCCAGATCCTTTTCGCTCGTCGCGGAGATTTCGATGGTCTTGTGCCTCCTCTTTCGTTTCTGTCTCCTTCCAACGCTGTCGTCTATCTTCCCTCCGGAGCTAGTGTCCTCCGTAATGGTCGTGTCTTGCGAGCTATCATAGCTCAATTTGCTCGTGGTGTCAGCAGTGGTGTCGCTAGCAGGGAACTCTACAGTTGCCTGCAGACGTATTTCGAATCCAGCGTTCGCAGTTTCGGTATCCTCCTCCATCGAAGGCGCCGTCGATTCCTCCGTTTCTTCCGCTCTCTCGGAGAGACTCCGCAATCGTTCTGCAACCGTCGACTCCTCCTCTTTGACAGATTCTTCCACAACAGACGCCAGTTCTGTTACTTTCTCGATCTTCGTCGTATCCAAATGTTCCTTAGTTTCTTGTACTTGTACATCAGGTGCTACTGGAATTTCTGTAAGTTTCAGAGGCGTCTTCGCCTCCCCGTCCACCACGTCTATCACGTTACCTTCATCGTCTATCACGTTACCTTCATCGTCTTCAACCACCACTTTCTCCTCTTCGGCAGGAACTTGCAACACGCCGTTCGTCTGCTGCGAGACCGTCACCAGCAACGGTTTCTCTTCGTCGACGATCGTTTGCGCGTCACGTTCGCGAGTTTCGGGAATGATCTGCACATTCTCTTCAGCGTGCGGCACCAATTCGCTCGTCTTTATCTGCACCGAGCTGTCCGAGGTCTCTATCCTCTCTGGCGCGACAGTCTGAGACTGTTCGTCCATCAATTGCTTCCCCTCTTCCAAACTGGTCTGAGAAGACAGTTCGCACACTTCGACTTTTTCCGGAGCGAACGTAACCGGGCTTGTCTGTATCATAGTTTCCTGAGTCGGTTCGGGCAACATCGTCTGCGACTCGGTTTCTTGAGTGTCCACCTGTCGAGGACTTTCTTCCGGAGTCGTCTGCGTTTCCATCGCCTCGAGCGAAGGTTGCTCTGTCAGATCTGCTTGAACGTTGAAGTCCAGAGTGACTATCTCTGGGCTACTCGGTTTGCTAGTCTGTGCTTCCGTTTCCATGGTCCGAGGTGCTTCAGGTGTTACGGTTTGAGTGGCGATACCAGTTAGAATCTTCTCTTCGCTCGGTGGTGGAGTAGTCTGTTGTTCAACGGCGACCACCATTCTCTCCGCGGTTTGCGTTTCTATCTCCGTTGACGCCGGCATTGGCGATGTTTGCGCCTCGATGGAAACCACATCCGTCGCCACAGTTTGAACCTGAGTCTCTTCAGTTTCGATCGGGACGTTGGCTCCTTCAACGTCTTCGATCGGACTGGTTTGCACGGCGTACTCCTCCACTTTCTTCTCGGCAGTCTCCATCGTTTGAGTACTCGTTTCTTCTATTTCAGGCGGCTCCTCGGTGACAGCCTGAACGCCAAAGTCCAAAGCAGGTAACGGGCACGTTTGCATTTCGGAGTGATGTGTACTCGGTTTCTCAGGTTCCTCCTCCGGCACAGTTTGCATGCTGACGTCCAAAGTAGACAACGGTAACGTCTGCATCTCCGTGTGAACTTCCTCCGCTTTCGGTGATTCAACCTTCTCCTCCTCGAGCGAAATTGGAGGAGAAGTTTGCACTTGTTTGTGAACTTCATCGACCTGTGGTACCTCGGTCTGCTCCTCCAATAAATGCGGCGAGGTCTGAACATAAATTTCCGACACCTCTTGTTGCTTCGGTGACGTGGCAACGGAAACGTTGAACTCTTGAGGAACGGTCTGCGCGTCTGCCTCGCTTAACGCGACGGCTGGTGATCTTTCGACGTCGACGTCCGCCCGCTTCTTTTTCTTCTTTTTCTTCTTCGTTGCCTTCGCGTCCTCGCTTTCCACTCGTCGCTCCCCATCCGCCAGGTCGTCCGTGAACGCCTCGTCGTCGGAGGTGGTCTTTGGGAATTCGGTCTGCTCCTCGTCCTTGAGACTACGTATCCTCTGCTTCCTCTTCTTCTTCTTCTTCGTCTTGATCGTGTCCTCGTCGTCCGGCGTAGTCGTCGACACTATCGTTCTGTCCGCCTCGTAACCGTCTTCCCCTCCCGACGTTCCATCTTTCGAAGATAGCTCCAGCTCTTTAGATTCGAGCATCTTCGCGATGTCGGGCTGCGGTGCCTCGCTGACGTCGTGCTTCGAAGAATCGGACAACGCGACGTCGATCTCCGTAGAGTCTGCGATATTGGATGCCAGAGAGACGTCCACGCTCGATCTCGTCTCCACGAGCGACCTGACATCTTCTTTCGCCCCTTCCTCGAATTCGATCGCAGGCTCAGTCTGGCACTCGTCCTCTTTCTCCGACGTGATCACGTTGTCGGAAGTTTCTTCTTTCTCCGAAGTGACGGCAGACTTGTCGGTCTCTTCTTTCTCCGACGTGACGACAGACTTGTCCGAGGTGAGGACTCGTCTCTCCGAAACTCCGACAGACTTGTCCAAACTGACGATTTTCGGCTCGGATAACGGCGGAGAAGTTTGCACGATCTTGTCGTGGATAACCGATTTGCTCTCCTTGTCCGCCGGTAGACTGATGTCGACGTCCTCCTTCACCATGCGACGAGGAGCCCCTTCCGGCTCGGCCTGACTCTTCACCGACACCGTAGGCTGCATCTCCTCGCCGTCCTTCCTCACAGCCAGTGATATCTCCACTTTGTGGAAGATCGGTTTGTATTCCGGTTTCAGGGCTTCGTCCATGTAATCGTCGACCGAATAATCGATCTCCGGAACGAACGAGTTCTTCACTATCTGCTGTCTCACGTGGATAGGCAGAGCATCCGATTGTTTCTCGTGCGTTTCACTCTCCATCGGTGCTGGAATCGCTGAGGTTCCAGCCTCTTCGATCTGCGCGGGTCGCTCTTCTGAAACGTGAACTGTCTTTTGCCGATCCTCTATCGACGACTCTGATGCCTCTCTCGCCGACGTTTCGATCGAGACCTCTCTCGATGGTTTTCCCTCTAGTACATCTACGGTGCCTCTAGTGTCTTTATCGTGCTTTTCTACATCTAACGTGCGACCTTCTAGCTCGATACCGGGTGTTTCGTCACGTACTGGTGCATCGACAGACTTACAGGTCGCTTTAGTGACGCTCGCCACGTCCTCCGACACGATCGACTCGACCGAAGACTTTGCTAACTCTTCCTGTTCCTCGGTCTCGCGTATCTTGACCTCTTCGCCGATTGGACTCTGCAACGCAGCAGACGCTTCAGCATCGATGAACGCCTGGCTGATCGACGATAGGGGCTTTTTCTCTTTTACCTCGACCAGGAAGTGCTCGTGCTCGTATTTGTCCACTGGTTCCACTTTCTTTTCGACGGACTCTGGCTTCGAACTTTCGTCGTCCAGTTCTTGGATCTGCGACAATGATTCCTCGGGCGTTCGTTCAGGAGATTGTTCCTTTCGAATGTCTGTTATTGAAGGTGAGACTAGACTCTCCAAAATTTCCTCTGGCGAGGTAATTCTCTCTTCCTTCCTGTCGCGTTTCTCCCTGTCAGTCAAGGGTCTCGATTCTACGTAGGACGTGCTTGGATGCATGTCTTTAGCAAACGCTCCAAAGAACGGTCCTTGCATGGGCGCGTCATCGATTGTAACTTCTTCTATCTTCAAATCTCTGCCCTTATCTTCTTCGACTTCCTTCTCTTCTACCTTCAAACCTTCGTCTTTCTCCAGTTTGACTTCCTTCTCTTCCCTGTCAGTGACTTCTTCAACCAAAATACACTCCGGTGTTCTCCCTTCGCCTATTCCAGCATCTCTTCCAAACTGCCTCTGTTCTTCCTGTTTAACCACGTTGATGCTTATGTGCGGAATGTTTTTCTCGTCGATTTCCACTTCCTCTGGCTCCTCTATGATCTCCTCCGTGGCAGTCTCTTTGCCATCTATGATCGTCACTTTTCTGATGATTCTCCTAGTCTTTCTGACCACCCTACGGGTAACTTGCTGCACCACAGCGTGCACGCTCGACGTTTGTGCCCGATATTCTCCACCCTCCGTCAAGAGACCCTCCTCGAAAGGTTGCGGGCTGATGTCTCGAATGTGACCCTGGGTCACCATGTGCGTGTACTGCGGCGCTGATTCGTACTCCTCCACGTTGACGTCCTTGTACGGAGTACCGGTAGTCACCCTGCCGCCGTAGATCTGTCTCGTGGTAGTTTCTATCGTGCCGTTCGGCTTCGCGGTACTTACTGTCACCTGTTGATCCCTCATGGTAGCCTCGGAGAAAGCTTGCACCACGGACGGAGCGTCCCCGATCGCCGTGGACGTCGAAGACACGTGTTGCTGAGTAGTTTGTCTACTGGTCACGGTGGTTCGCCTCAATTTCCTAACGATTATCCTCTTCGAACCGTCCTCGTCCACTACCACTTCGGTGGTCACGTCGTCCGGCTCGACCAGGACAGTCTCGAACGATTGCGGTGCAGCGTGAACGATGTTCAACTCGCTGGTGGTGTTTTCGGTGTTCGTGGGATCTTGGTACTTCATGTCGACCACGATGTCCTCGGTTGTCGCTTCGGGATGACGTTCTTGGACGACTTCCTGAATGGAGGTGGAAGGTACGTTCTTCGTGGCTATCTCGATCACGTCGTGATCGCCTTCCGTGGTCTTCAGGATCTTTATCGTTTCCTGGGTCTGAACGTTCTCGACGTTGGGGCGTATCACGTCCACGGTTTGCGTGGTCAGTGAGTGACATTCCGTCGAAATTGGGATTCGATTGGTGGATGTCTGCTTGGTCAGCTGTTGCGGTTTCTCGACGACGTCGTCCGCTAGCAGACTTTGTCCTGTTTGCAGGGAAACGTCAGCTAAAGACGGCACGCTTGTTTCGAGGGACGAGTGAATGGAGGGCGCCTGATCGAGGGTAGCGTCGTCGCGGTCTGACGTTTCCTCCGCTTGCGCCTCTTCGTCGCAAAGCTCCTGGAAAATTGAAGAGAACGATTCTGGTTCAAGATCTACCTGTCTGACGATCCTGGATGCCGGTTCTTCGATTGTTGCAATGTGTCTTTCTTAATAACCTTTCGTCGCGCGTTTCTCTATATAAAAGCAGAACCTCAGCCGCTCTGCTGTTGCGCGTTGTATAAATATTTGTATAATTTTATTTTCGACAAATGAAAAAAAAGATGGAAACTTTCTAGCTTAACTTAATTTATCAGCTCGTATTAAAATTTTTTATTCTTCTAGCTAAATGTAACATATCTTTATCAATTGTGCAATTAAGAGTGAAACATAAGTTGAATATAGAGTGTAATTTATTTTTATGGATGATGAAACTGAAGCTCTAATGATGAAAAGCAATTAAATTTTGCCACTTGCATATTTCCCTCGTGTAAGTTTCAAATTCGAGGATGGCGGAAATTTTACTTCGTTCTATCATTCGAAAAATCTGTTGCATAATAGGATTTGACAGCAGTAGCGTATAGATTATGATAAATCCTTCCGTGTTATGGTAGCAAAATTCAATGCACCTTTGTTAATGACAGCACCACGTTAATCACTAGCTTGTTACGTTGATTGTTACATGATTTGGTCTTCAACTACTATATCTCGATCGGTACAGTTGTACCTGCATGGTGTCACGAAAATGGATGAATTATTCAGAAAACATGATCATCGAGGAGCAAGAACGAGATTACCCGCAAACAAGAACACTCCGCGTAACACTGTCGTATTTTTAACCCGAAATGAATGCTACGTTCGACTTTATTTTAATACGTTTATTTTAGGCACGCTAAATGATCCACGTATATTATATAAATGCAAAGAAAAATGGAACCAGCGATTTATCGATCGAGACCGTAACATTGAACGACTCAAGATTTTTACGACTGAGGATCTAATTACAAAAAAAAAAAAAAAAAAAATAACAACAAGAAGAAAGAAAATAAAAATAAAGAATAAGCAAATAAAGAATTACATTGAATGGAAAAAATGATTAAAAAATTTTTAAAAGACACTTATTTCAAATATTTGCGTAGTGAATTCCAAAAGTCGTCGTTATTTTACACATATACATATATACACGAGTACATATACATACAGTTCGAAGATTTTTCTTGGTAATATATATATATATATATCGAGGGGGATAAATAAAAAAGGGGGGAGATGGGGATTAATGAGAATACTTTAATTACAGCATGAAAAAAAAGTACAGAGTAATTGTATTAACATTCCATAAACAAATGCTGCACCTAATATAATTATATCCATTACCTTAAGCTAGAAGGAACATAAAGAGTGAGAATTCATACGTGTGTATAACTAAATACACCATGAAGTTGTAAGAAGAGAGTAAACGATGACAGTGCGATGAGTGTAAAATGACGGCGTAATGGCGGGCTAAACATCGCAGATAATCTTTCGTAAAATGAAACTTTGCGTTGTCATAAAAAAAAAATTAACGATCTCGAAGCTGTCGACTAACACTTGATATTTAACCCGTCATAGGTGTTGCATGTGATGAGAAGCCCAGGTGAAAACTAAACGCAATGGCACGATGAAAAGTACATAAAAATGTATATACCCTTGTCCCGTCATAATTTACCCATTAATAAATATCGTGCAAAATGATACGTGATAAACATAAATTACTACGTTGAGAAGCAGAAACAAGAAAAGAATGTTACATGCTTACATCTAACTATATATCACTCTATTACCATTGTTTTCTACAGGCTGTATCATATGTATATCATTTTCAAATATACATACTTCGTATACATCCTCGAGGATCTCTTGATTTTCAATCGACACGAGACTGAATAATCTATTTCATTTAATTTTCAATTTAAAAATAAATTAGAACTTGACTAGAAGTCGACTAGAAATGTCTCGACAAAAATTGTCTGCGTGTTTAAAATGAATCGATGATGCTATGCATGTACGTTTTATACAAATATTGTATGTACATATGTATGAACAAATGTGATCTTTTCCCATATTTCTCACTTCTGCGATTTTGTTACCACGGCGTACGAAGCATGATTAATTGAAAAACAAGTGTATATAATAAATATTTGCTGTTTCAATTTTAGTCTCTTTTTCTTTCTTGCCGTTTGAACTTTATTTCGTACGTGCTAAAATTCTCTGTTTCCGTGTCACCGTGATTATACTTCACGAGACTGTTGCGCGAAGACCAGCGAAGTTTGCGAAAGCCCCCGAGCATTGGAAAACGTTGGATACCTGCTGCCTTTGCTGCAGACGCGACATCACCTCCAACAGCGCATTCTTCAGGACCTTTGCCAGCGTGCTGATCTCTGGCAACGATTCAAGCTCCGATACCCGCTGCGCGTGACTGCTCAACTCGTCCTGCAAAGCCTGTCCCCGCACAGAGACACAGACAGACAGACGTTTTACGTGCGTGATCTGATCTCGCATTTCGTGGTTTCGTTTAAAAATAAATCGCGCACGCCGCCATGCTAAAACGGGGGATTACGAGATCCGCCAACACCGGGAACAGTGTCCAACGCGTTGCGAACAATCACGATCCGACGTTTGCGAGTATTTTTTTTTTTCTCTCTTTCTCGACAACGCGTATCAATACGAAGCGTTACGATATGAAAATTCCGAGGAGATGAAATGCAGGCGATTTCAGGAGGATCGAGAAATATTGGAACGACATCTGCATAATCGTTGGAATTCTTTCGATCATTCATACTTGAAATGGGAATTGAAAAATGTCTCAAAAAAAGCTCAAAGATAGTACGAAATTTTCACTTTAAAATACGATTATAAAATGATTATAAGCAGGGTCAAAGTAGCAATTGTAGCAATCACGTTGTATATTCTTCGATTCCCCGTGTAAAATTTGAAACGTACGCACACGGATGATGAAGAAAAAAATAAAGCGTTATGATGCGAAAGTTCCGAGGAACACGGATGAAATGCAAGCGATTTTGACTTGTGTTTTGACTTTAGAGACGAGTGCAGGAAATATTGGAACGATGTTTGATCGCTCATAAACACGCGTCGAATATCCTTCGATTCTCTGTGTGAAATTTGAAGTGTCACTGTACCATCTCCCATCACGAAGACTGAAACTACTAAAAAATGTTATTTCACGTGAACGCACCTTGTTCGTGGCGGTCGGCTGCTTGATACCGGCCACGATATTCTTTAACCAGCTGTCCGTTTCATCCAAGAATTTCTTGTACTCGTGGATATCGTGGCCGCGTTGCTCTTGTTCACCACGCGCGCCCTCGAGGGTGGCGCGTCCTTGTTCCGCCTGTGACAATAAGGTAGCGACGCGGGACTGAACTTCCCCTAGATTCGACAGAAGCTTCTGAGCTTCCAGATCGGCCGGAATTTTACGCAACTCTTCTTCCAGCTGGCGCACTTCTCGATCGTATCCTTGGAGCTCCGTCGATAAATTCTACAAATCATTTTCATCGTTTCAATGTCACCGAACAAATAAAAAAAAATCCGATAAAAAAGAAACGAAATTCTGAATATTCTGACCCGACGAAAGAAGAAACGAAAAGAAAAGAAACGTTTACAGGGCATAATCTCACCGTGAGCGCAGATAGCATAGAGTCTATGCTATCTCGTGGCAAGTAGGTCCCTTTCAGGTTCGAAACGCTCAGCTGTAAAACCATTAGGCGCTCCTGTATGATGTCCTGTAACACAGGCACGTATTAACGAAGCGTCGAGTTTGTTCACCGCGAAGAAAATATGCCGTGCACGTTCGATATCAGCCTGTTAATCTGATGGATTAGAGGAACTCGTCGAATTTGCAAATCGTAATACAAGGGCACAGGCAGAAACACATAAATGTTCAAGTATTAAGAGGATGCTGAAAATTGTTCTGATACTGACGATGAAATAAATTCGATGGATAGAATGATTCGTCCATGCAGGTTCGAGAAATGAATCAAGATTAAGATATATTGTTATATATAGGGTCTCTGTTATACTAGTCTCGTGTATATTCTATATTTTTCACAATTGGTAAAGCTTTAAAAAGTAAGAAAAAAAAGGTGTTTAAAAAATACAATGTATTACGTAGTAGTTCAAGAGGGATTTTTGTTGATCGTAATTACGTGGACGTAACGTGTCGTGTGACTACGAACAGCTTCCTTGAACAAGAATAACATTATTCGACGTTGAAAGAAAGTAAGAGGATCATTTTCTTGTCGATGATCTTCCTTTCGAAATCAAGTATATATCTCGCGCGACTTTTGAAATGTTCTCGTGAACCGCAACGCAAGCAGAAAATCAAGTAACGTTACGCTCGTGCATTAATGAAAACAAAACAAAAGCGGTGGGCATGCAGATCGTGGAAGGAAACAGAGAGCTGTAGTAACAGAGAGAAGCAGTAGCAATGTAGCAGCGCCAACGCGATGATTAGCGGTTATCAACTGTGAAAACGCGCACGGAGTAAGAAAGTCAGCGAGTAGAGAGAAGTATAATACACGTTCGATGTATATATATATATATATATATATATATACACATATATATACGCAAGTCGAGAGACAGGTGAGAAAAATGAAAAAAGAGAGAGAGAGAAAGAGAAAAAGAGACGTTATTAGAAAGTTGAAATAGAGTAAAACCAATAACGGACGAAGACGATGAGAAAACGGTAGAAAAAAAAAGATCAAATAATATAAATAAAAAAAACTATACCAAGCATACACTCTCACGCGCGAGCTCGCGAGTCATGTATATATAATACACGAGTCCGCACAACACAATCGTAACAACAACAACAGCAATAACAATCACAACAACAACAAGGATAATGAAACTCGTTCAAGCTCGATTGGGTAATGATCGAGCGCAGCTTGTGTCGTGATCGCACCTTGATCCCTCGTATCCTCTTTTCAGCCTCATCTTCAGCTACCCCCGTCTCTCTCTCCGTCTCCACGATTGGAGTGCGCCGCTGCATCGATCCTCTTTCTCTACCTAAATTCAGTTCCTTGGGATCTGGGCCGTGGTCAGGGATGCTTGGTGTCAGGGATAACTCACGTGGATCGGGACGTGTGGACTCTGATCGTCGATCCGGGCTCACGATCCTGCTCTGATCGAACTTTAAGGATACCTCGACAGTCGAGAACGACAACAACTTCGCCTCCTCGGAATTGCCCGGCGTCGTAGGAACGACAGGTTCATCGACGAATTTCGAAACAGACTGATCGTCGTTGGGACGAACAGAGGACAATTCGGAGGGACAGGACGGGTCTGACGTTGGATTCTCGATCTTTTCTGAAATCAACTCTGAAATCTGACCCGGTCTCTGCTCGTTCTCGCTCGACAAGTAAGTACTGTAATCGCTCCAGCTACCTATGCCGCCTGGCAGATCGGCGATCAAACGTTCGGTGTGCGGCCCACCCATGAAATAAGAATTCAAGGGGCCACCGTTCCCGCCGCGATCGTTCAAACCACCGCCGTTATCACCGTCGAAATCGTCTTTGTCGTTAGAATCGCGTTTCGCGTCGCCGGAAGGGCTTTCCTTCGAGTAGTTGGCCAAATTCTCGAACAGGTAGCGTTCAGCCTCGTGATACGGATGTTTGTCCGGCCAGAAGCCGCTATCGAGAGAGAGGAATTTCGATCTGCTGAGTTCGGACAGGGTTCTCAAAATTAGGGGCGTTTGCACGGGTTTCTTTTTCTCGGGACTCAGGACCAGAATCTCGTCAGCTATGTAGAATTGCACCTTCGGTTTCGCCGGCTCGATCACGATGTCGACCGTTTCTATCTCGGGCTCACTGGATATACACTTCTCGAATTCCTCCTCGGTTTCTAACTGAGATTGAATCGAATCTATGGTTATGGGTGACTCGATTTCGTCTAACAATTTCTCTATCGATATTTCCTGTCGCGGGACTTGATCGGTCCTTTGACTTATACTCTCGAGGTCCTTCACTGTTCCCGATTGTATCTCTACGATTTCTCCTGTCTCTTTCTTCTCTGTTATTTCTTCCTTGCCAGTTTCCTCCGTCAGCTTATCATTTACTATTATTCCAGCAGGTTCATCGATGGTTTCGTCGATCTCTTCGAGTGAAATGATTTCACCTTCTTTAATTTCGGCTTTAGTTTTGTCTGATATTTCTTCTATGGGATTTGATGGTTTCTCTTCGGATATCTTCTTTTCGTCGTCCTTGGATGTATCGTGTGTTTTATCTTTACCTTTCTTCTCTTCTTTCGTAGTTTCCTCTTCCGGAGGATGTACTTTTGGAATTTCTTCCGTTTCTTGTACACTAACGATCTCCTCTTGACTTTCAGCAAAGTCTTTTGTTTCTGTCATCTCTTCGATGACTGTTTCTTTGACAACAAATTCTTCCTCCGATACGTTCTTAACTTCTTTCTCATTTTTCTCAACCTCCTCAATTGTCGGTTTTTCATCAACCTCCAAGTTTTTCAATTCCACGTCTAATTCTATTTTCTCTTCAGTTATCGTCACATCTTCCCTTTCATCGACTATTTCTTTCGGAGTTTCTACAGTTGTCGAAACAATAGAATCTGTACTTAATATCTCTGTATCTTTCTCATCCTTTAATGACTGAGGTTCTTCGTCTGTAGACTTCGTTGCTGCTTCTTGTTCCTCGCGTTTAGTTTTCCTCGCATGTTTATTCTTACGTTTCAAAGTTGGTTCCTCCTGTTTTATATCTTTTCCAGTTTTATCTAACATTAGTTTAGATTCATCTGTCTCTGTTTCAGGTTTTCGAACTATATCTACCACTAATGTGTCATCTGCCATTGATTTAGGAGTTCCAGATTTATCTGCCACTGGTTTAGGTATCTCTATTTTTTCTTCGGCAAGATTTTCCACGTCCTCTGGAACTTTTTCTTTGCTGTCAGCAGATTTAGGTAGATTTGTTTCCTCTGGTGTTCTTGATCTTTCTTTTTCCTTGATTATTGGCTTAAGTGTAGTTTCTGGTACAAGCTTTATTTCATCAGGCAGTGACACTTCAGAGATGATTGTTGTTAATTTCTTAATCTCTTCTAACTTTCCCTTTGTTTCATTTTCATCGGGTGAAATAGGTATTATGTCTTTCGGTTTTACTTCTTCTGGTGTAACAACAATCGCGCTTGTTTCTTCCCTCTTTTCTGTGACGATCGTCTCTGACTCTTCCTTTTTCAATTTCTCTTCATTAGTTGCTCGTGTGGCTGACTTCTCTTTCTTCTTCTGCTTTCGTTTTTCCTTCTTTGAAAGTTTATACTTTTCTTCTGTCACAACTTGTTCTTGAGTATTTGAAGTCGTTTCTTCAACAGATGTTTGCGGAGACTTAATTGGTTCCTCTTTAATTTCTTCTTTCTCAACTAACTCCTTTTTCTCCTCCAGTTTAGAATCAATTTCATTCCTCTCACCTGTCACTTCTTCTTTGATTTCTTTCTTTTCTTCTTCTATCGATTCTTCTTTGATCTCGGATTCAAGTATTTTTTTCTCCTCGTCGATTCGTTCTGGTACCGTTTCCACTTTCTTTTCCTTAGACTTTCCTTTATGCTTCTGTGCAGGTGCTGGTTTTTCTTTTGTTTCTGCCTGCACCTCTTTAATCTCTTCAACTTCTGGTTCTTTTGCTGGTAATTCTGCTTTAAGTTCAGATTCAAATGCTTTCTCCTCCTCAATTGGTGTTTTGACAACTTGTTCCGGCACGGTTTCTATTTTCTTCTCCTTGGATTTTCCTCTGCGTTTTTCTGTTTTCGGCTTTCCTTCGGCAAGTTCAGATTTACTTTCAGTGTCTGATTTCGCGACTTCTTTCATTGGGATTTCCTTATCCTTGGCGTGTGGTTCTTTTGCTAATATTTCTTCTTTAATTTCAAATTCAGATACTTTCTTCTCTTCGACTGTCGTTTCACTAATTTGTTCTGCCACTGTTTCTGCTTTCTTTTCTTTAGATTTCCCTTTAGGTTTCCTTGCCGGCGTTGATTTTTCAGATTTAATTTCTTCGACGATCTCAGGTTTACTTGCTCCTGGTTCAATTTCCTTAACTTCGTCTTTCGACTTCGATTCTGTCTCTGTCATCTGAATGATATCCGGTTGTTTGACTGATTCTTTATTCTCAGTTTCCTCTTTGGGTTGCTCCTTATCAGATTTTCCTTTCTTCGATTTCTTGTTCTTCCTCGTAGCAGGTTGCTCTTTCATTTCTGTTTTCTTCCACTTGTCCGCGGGCTTCTTTTTGTCCATTTCGTTTGCTTTATCTACTTCTGGACTCTCAGGCTTTACAGCTTTTATTTCTTTTATTTCACCTTTTCCTACGGGTTTTTGTTCTGGAACTTCAGACTTTGCAATCTGCGCTTCTTCTTTCACCTCCTTTGCTTCAACTTTCTCCTCAACCTTTTCTGTTTCTGGAACTTCAGTCTCCTCTTTCTCTTTCATTTCCTTTACCTTCTCTTTTATCTTTTCCTGACTTAAATTAACCTCTTTTGTCTTTGAACTATCTTCTTCCTCCTTATTATTTTTAGTCTCTGGCAGTTTCTGTATCTTCTCTTCTGTGTCTCCTCTCTCCTCAAATTCACTCATTTTTTCTTTATCTTTTCCCTTCTCTTTACCCTTTCCCTGCTTATCTTTCGTCATCTGATTACGATCTGCGTTACTAGATTTCCCTTTACCTTTATCTTTCGATTTCCCTTCCTTTCCTTTACTTCCATTCTTTTTCTTCTGCTCCTCCACTCTCTGCGCACTCGTTTGCATCTGTTCATCTGCCAAAATTTCTTCAGGAACAATCGGCTTCTCACTCGACTGTCTCGAGCTCGTTTCTTCCCGTCTGGCACTTCTGGATCGCGATCTGGATCGTCTGGATCGCAGTTCTTTTCGGTTTACGAATTCCATGAAACCCTGTTCGTCTATCTGAACCACTTCTTCGATCGGTACTGGTTCCGGTGCTTCTTCCACGTGAATCTGTACTTGAGGATGCAAATGTTGTTCGACAATCTGCTCCTTTTTCGCTGTTACTTTCTCGCCGATCGGCGATGAAAGTGGTTCCAGTGGTTCCACGTGTTTGCTAACTATAGCAGCCCACGAATCTTTCGTTTTCTGCGATGTCTCAGTTTCTGTCACTTCGTTCGAAACTGGAGACAGAGGACTAGCCAAGTCATCCGCCATCGCTTCTTTCTCGATTTCTTCCACCCACGAGGTTGAATCCACTTTGAGAACGTTCTCTTCTGTAATTAATTCGTCAAAATTTCGATCCGTCACTGTTATTTCTTCAGATTTTGATGCTTCTTCGACATGTGGAATTTCTGTTACACCTGGCGATTCTTCAAGAGTGACTTCTCTGTTCTCGCTTTGATTAGGCATAAGAGGAATCGGTTTAAGTAACACGACCCCTTCCTCCTGACTCGTTTGCGGGGAAGTCCTTTTGCTGGAAGCTGCTACCTGTGCGTACGATTTGTTTGACTCTTTTGTAGTCGATTCCAATTCCTCGACTTTCTCGGCAACGGCTGACTTCACTTCATTTTCTTTTTCAGCTTTCGTCTCGGTGACAATCTTTTCTTGTCTGGCCTCTTTCTTCTTTTGATGTTTCTTGTGCTGCGTTTGTGGCTCCTCGGGCACTGTTTCCACCGTCTGTTCTATTTTCTCCAATTTCGGTGATTCGGTGATCGATTCTCGAGTAGTTGACTTCACGTCCGACGTTTGTGCATTTTCTGCAGGGAGATTGCTTGTATCGGTAGTTCCTTTCGTACCAACCACTGATGCCCATGATTTGCCGCAAACTGATTGAACTTCTTCCTTAGACATCTCTTTCGTTTCTGCTTGTGTTTCTTCCTGCTTAGTTTCTTCCGGAGAAATTTCAATCAAAGTTTCCTGAGGGACCGACGCTTGAGGAATTTCGCTTGTCCTTTTTGATTTTCCATCGCGTTTCTTCTTCGAATCTGGCGAACCGATCTCTTGTCTCTCGTGTTTCTTTGTTTCTTTCTCTGGCACAGACTTGGCTTTCACGTCAGGTTTATCTTTAGGCTGCTTCTGTTTGTTCGACTTGGTCTTTGCTTCCTCTTTCTTGGGTTTATCAGCAGGTTTGATTCTGTCCTCTTTCACTGGAGATTGAGGTGCATCTTTTATCTCTTTGTCAGTTGTTGTTGTCTCAGCTGCGACAGTAACAAATTCCTCCTCTGTTAACTTTTCTTCCTTCGTCATTTGTTTCACGTTCTCTTTCTTCTTAGATTCTTTAAAAGCCTTCTTCTTTTCAGAAACAGGCTTCTCCACTTTCTCAAGCTTCTTCTCAGCTAGTATCTCAGATTCTGGGATAATTTCTTTCCTTTCGCCTTGTTCCTCCTGTTCCTTCTTACCTTTTTTTAATTTCGTTTCTTCTTTTGCTTTTTCTGCTGTCAGCTTTACTTCTTCGTCGACGTTTGATTCTAATGTGATTAATGGCTCTTCTTTTGCGATACGCTTTTCTAGCTTATTTTCTTCTTTTTGATCGACTATTTCGTCTAGTTTTGTGACAAGTTGTTTCTGTGTCAACTCTATAGCTTCAACAATCGCGGCATCATCCTTCTGACATACGTCAAGCTCCTTAGTTTCTTTTTCCTCAGTTGTCGCTGTAGTTTTGTTTAATTCTTCAACATCCTTCTTCTCAATTATTTCAGACTCTTTGAGCGGCAACGACGTCTCCTTAATTTCTTCTTTCACAGTCGTAGTAGGTTCCACGACTTTGATTAATTCTTCATCCTTCTTCTCGACTACTTCAGGCTCTCCAGCTGGTAATTTTATCTCCCTCTTTTCTTCTTTCTTAGCCTTTGATTTCTCATCTTTTGCTTGCCTCTCTTTCTTCGATTTCTCTTTTGACTTTCCATCAGGCACCTGCTCCTTCTTCTTCTGAATCTCGGTTTCTCTTTCTTCTTTTTCTCCATCTTTGATTTCTTTCTCCGCCATATTCTGCTCCTTCTCCTTCTTCAGCATATCAAGTTCCTTATTCACGTTCTCGATAAGAGCTGCCGTTTGATCCAGAATGATATCCGTAGACTTTGTAATTTCCGTGGTAATTTCCGCGATAGTTTTCTCTTTCTTAACCTCCTCTTCTAATATTTCCCCAGCTTCTAATCTCTCCGGCTGTCTCTCCTCTCCTCGAGCCTGCATTTCTTCCTCTGCAACCTCAACGTTTGCGAGTTCCAAAGAAGTCGATGTAACTTCTTTCTCTTTAACTGTCTGCTTGGACTTTGCCCATTCGGACTCCAGTTCGTAAAATGTGCTAATTGGATACTTCAGAGTTTCCTTGAGAACGGAAAGTTTTCTACACTCGGCCTCAGATTGTTCCGCGTCTTCCAACTTTTCAGGCTTCCTCATAACCGATTCTTGAACTATTTTCTCAATGCTCTTCGATTCTGATACCGTGGAAGCAGGCACATTTTCCTCGATTACTCTTACCACCTTGAAACGACGATGGAAATCGATTTCTGCCTCGATGTACGGACGATAATCGAACCAGTACGGTTTGACCAAGTCTGTGAAGCAATACGGATGAACCTTCTTTTTTCCTTCAACCACACTCGCCTTGTCTTCAATCCTCCCCGTTTCATCAGACTGGGAAATATCGAATTTCGCAGAAATTTCGACCATTTCGTCGACACGTCCCCTGTCTTTTTTGTCCAAGCTCATTTCACGAGATTCTACCTCAAATTTCTCTCTTTGTTGAACGCCAGAAGAAGTTTCTTCCAATTCTTCGCTCATCTTCTGCTTCTCTTCTACAACGTTACCTTCACTCTCTAGTTTTAACTCACCCGAATCTTTCGATTCTGGCAGCTTCTCCGATGATCCTAACTCCTCCTTTTCTTCTACAATTTTACCCTCGCTCTCTAGTTTTAACTCACCCGACTCTTTCAATTCTGGCAGTTCCTCTGATAATGTTAAGCTCTCTTCCAGAATTGTACCTTCGCCTTTTAGCTTCAATTCACCCGAATCTTTCGACTCTGGCAGTTTCTCTAACGATTTTAAGCTCTCTTCCACAATTTTACCTTCGCTCTCTATCACGAACTCGCCCGAATCTTTCGATTCTGACAGTTTCTCTGATAATCTTGAGCTCTCTTCCGCAATTTTACCTTCGCTCTCTATCACTAATTCGCCCGAATTCTTCGATTCTGGCAGTTTCTCTGATAATTTTAAACTCTCTTCCGCAATTTTACCTTCGCTCTCTATCACTAACTCGCCCGAATTCTTCGATTCTGACAGTTTCTCTGACAATCTTAAACTCTCTTCCGCAATTTCACCTTCGCTCTCTACCACTCGAAGCTCGCTCGAATCTTTCAACTCTACGCTAGCAGTTTCTCCAATAATTTTAATTTCCTCCTGAACCATCGTCCCTGAACCATCACCCTCAGTCTTATCACTCTCAACCGATACGTCCTCAGATTTACTCTGGGAAACCTTCGCGTCCTGTTCTTTCTCTATAACATCCAACTCCCTCTCGTCTCTCGCGCTTTCTACAGATTTCGGTGTACCGGAACGACCCCTCCTCCTATCCTGAACGCTACCGAACAGAATCGGCTGATCGTCTTTAACAAGATCGTCGATATACGTCGCGTAATCGGAAATCGACTTGTCAACGTCAGCTAACAACGTGTTTAACACCTTCGACGGGATACCAACGGCTGAATCATTCGATACCCTAGCATGCTCGGTGGTTAGGCTAGTCTCTATTGTATCAGGACGCAGGGTGATTAATTCGGTGGATTTGGAGTCTACGACCACGAATGAGGGAATATTTTCTACGTTCTCTAACGATTTCGCGAATGGCTCAGTTTCGATGCTGGCCACCGTGGTTACCGTTTCCTCGACGATCGACGATTTCTCCGGCGAACATGATCGTTCGACCGACGAAACCGTATCCAAAACACTAGCATTTACAGCTTCCTCTTTCTTCGAAAGAGAAGAATCTTTCGTCGTGCTTGGTTTTCCAATTAAATCTCGCAGTTGAGATTCACATTCGTCAGACTTTGGAGTTTCTTCGACACGAATCACTTCTTTAAGCGTCTCTTCTTTGTCTTCAGGTTCTGTCAATGAAGTTACGAACGGTTCTACCGTTCCAGTGGATTTTTCAGGAGTTACTTCTTCAGATATTTTGATTCCAACAGATTGTTCGATCGACTTCACGTCTGCGCCAGGTTCCTCAGTGACTGTCTTTCGTTCTGGTTGTGGAGATTCGGCTGCAACTTTATCTCTGCTCTCCTGTTTCTTCTTCCTTTTCTTATCGGACTTTGGCGTGCTTGGTTGACTGGATTTTGATTCTCCTCTGGATTCGATAACAGGAACTGGACTTGTTTTTTCGATGACACATATTTCTTTTGATTTACTTGCTTTCTTGGACTTTGACGATGCTCTTGAAGATTCGGTTTTTCGCTCCGGTTCGTGGATATTGGGTTTATCTGCTTTTGATAGGGTTTCTTCTTCCTTCTTCACGTCACCTTCTTCAACCTTTTCAAGTTCTTTCGATTCCTTAGATTCTTGTATCCCCTTTTCTCCTGATATTTCGACGTTTTCTATAGGTTTTTCTTCAATAATTGTATCTTTAGTATCAAATTCTACTTCAATTTTCTCTATTACATCAACAACATTCTCTTCTCTCTGATTCTCTGTTTGAATCGCACCAATTTCTTCCTTAACCTCGGTAATAATTTCTTTTCTCATTTCCTCCGCAAATATTTGCTTGCCAGTATCGAGTTTACCACTCTCTTCTTCTAACTTGACTCCTTCTTCTTTCTCTTTAGATTTCTCGTTTCCTTCCACAAGCTTAGAACTTTCTTCTTTCCTTGCTTTCATCGGTGATTTAGACTTCCTATGCTTTTTCTTTCCAGATTGTTCTTTACTCGGCGTGGCGGCTTCAGGTTTCAAATATTCCTTTCTCGATTCTTCTGTAACCTTCTCCTCTTCAATTAACTTTTCTTCGACGATTTTTTCGTCTTTTTCAGTAAACTCTGTTACTTCAGCCGCAAGTTTCTGATTAACATCTTCTTCCTTCTTCGACTTCTTTCTCTTTGATTTCGCCTGTTTCTCCGATTCAGCCATTTTCTTCGGTTCTTCTTTTGGCACTCTCGAGTCTCTTTCCGAATCTATCTTCGAATCTTTGCCCTCCATAGTTTGCTCTTCGCCAGATTTATCCTGCTTCTCCTCTCCTTCAGTTATCTGCTTTTTCTCTACGTTTTCCTGCACCACCGTTTCCGACGTCGATTCATCAGCTTCGCCAATTCCCATCGTTGACTCTATGACGCGAATCAACGCGCTGATTATCGCCTTTTGTTCCTCCTTGTTATCTTCTGCCTTCGACGTTACTTCCGATTTCTGATCTTTCGTCTCACCTTTCTTTCCTTTCTCCTTTCCAGCTACTTTCTTATCTTTATCGTCTTTCGGAGTATTTACACGAACCTCTGCTTTAACCTCTCGCTTCTCCTCCGATTCTACGTCTTTCGTCACTTCTGATTTCTCAATTTCAGACTTTTTCTGTCTCGATTGGTCCTTGGACACTTCTTGTTCGTGTCCCTGTTTCTGTTTCTTAGTCCTCTTATTCGACTTCTCTTGCTCTTTGAGTCTCGTCGGTTCTTTCTCCTTCGACTCGCTTCGTGGTTTATCCTTGGATTCGACTTTCATTTCCGGGGTTGTCTTGGTTGGTTTCGCAGACTTCGTAACTTTTGTATCTTCTTTCTTCAGCCGTTCCAAATTTTGAACGCTCTCAGCTGTATCTAATTTCGCGTCTTTCTGCCTCTGAGTTTCTACTTTATCTTCACCAGCGGTTCTCTGAACTTGCTCCGAATCTACGTCGACTCTCGTGGGTTTAGTATCTTTGTTAGACTTGTCTCTCACTGCGGCAGGTTGCTCTTTACCCTTCTGTTTCTTCTTGGACGTAGGTTCCTTCTGAGATTTCTCTTCCCTCGCTTCAGATTTCTTTTCAGGTTCCTTCCTTCGATCTTCTTCAATCTTCGTTTCTCTGTCTTTATCGTCCTTTGCGTTTTTCTTCTCAGAATCTTTCTCCTCTTTGCTCACCTTCGCGTCGTCTTTCGATCTAACCTGTTCCTTTACGTTAAACTCCTTCTGATTTAGCGCGGTCTCTGGCTCGTCTTTAACCTTCTCCAGTCTCGACTTGTTCTGTTTCTTCCTCTCGCTGGATCTCACATTTTTCTTCTCGCTTTCTTCTTTAGCCTTCTCCGCCGTACTTTGAGCCGCATCTTTCTTAGCCTGTTCCCTCGACTTGTCTCTCCTTTTGTGCCTATCCATATCCTCGATCTCCTTCAGTGCCTTCTCTATCTCGTCGTCCTGTTTCTCCGTCGTCTTCTTCTTCTTCCCCTTTCGTTTCTTCTCCTGAGAAGTACTTCTCTGTTGAGCATCAGCCTCTGTTTCCTTGCGAGCATTCTTCTCGTCCTGCTTCTGAGCTTCGATCCTCCTCGGTTTCTCAACGTCCGTTTGCTTAATCTCTGGCTTAACCAAGTCATCCACCTTCTCCCTTTCAATCTGAACCTCGCTACTCTTTGGAATCACCTCAGATATCACCTTGGAGTCTTTCACAGGAATATCATCGTCTTTAATTTCGTGTACCTGCTTCTTTTGCTCGGTACTAGCCCTAGGTTTCTCTTTCTGGCCTCTTTGAGAACTCGGCGAGCTTCTCGGATGCGATCCTCTGCGAGCCTTCTTCTCAGGAATTCGCGTCTTCGGCGACTCTTGGTGAGTCTTCCTCGTCTCTCGTCTTCTCGACGTGTCCCACGCTCCTCCCTGCTTGCCTACCGACGACTCTCGAACCTGTCCAGTTTCCTGAGGGGGACTCGTCTCGTGCACGGAGGACGTCGTCGAGTTTGCCGGCGAATGCGAGTCTTCTTGTCTCGACGTAAACGACGTCGTCGTTGTCGGGGACTGGCCGCTAGCAGCCGATGACGTTGGTTTAGGATTGAGACCCTGCGACAAAATCTGAGCATAGGAGAACGTCTTGCTCTCGCTTGATACGGTGTTTTTCGTCTTAACGGGCGTGCTTTCTGATACTGGTTGCTGCACAGGTCGTTGTTGCACAGGTTGTTGCACAGGTTGTTGCACAGGTTGTTGCACAGGTTGTTGCACAGGTTGTTGCACAGACTGTTGTTCTGGCTCTACTGGTTTCTCTGCTGATTCTTCAGGGACTTCTTCCGCTTGAACCGGTTGAACGAGAGATGACTCGACGACCACAGGCTGTTGAATCCTACTAGGCAGACACTTCTCCTCGACGTTCTGCACAACGACAGGGGTGCTCTTCGGCGGAGCCTTGAATTTCGATTGATGCGGCTGCCTCTGCGAATGCTTCTGCAACTGACTTTGCTGGTAAATCTCTGGCTCGGAGATGTAGCTACCCTGCGTCACGTACGGTTCCGACGCGAAGGTTATCTGGCTCTCGGTGTAATGAGGAAGAGCGATCTGCTGGGGCGGTGCAGCTGGCATGTAAACGTAGGAACTTACTGGATAGGCGATCTGAGATCCGATGAACCCAACCAACTCGGTGATGGGCGGGTGAATGTAGTTGTAGACCTCGGGAACTTGCTGCGTTGTTGCAACCGGCTGCCTCGAAACGTTCTCGTAGCTCTTCTCGTTCAGTAGAACATACTCGTCCATAGTTTCGTCCCTCCAACCGGCTTCAGCGTCGCTCGGTTTCTCGATCGTTTTCACGGGAGACGCGACTTCTTCGCGTACAACTTCGGGCACAACTTCGGCAGGCTGTTGCTGGCTGCAACTCTCCATCAATGTTTCTTCAGCTGGTTGTTCCACGACTGAACACTCCTCCACAACTTCTTCCTCTACCTCGAGTCTAGGCACCTGGAATTCTATCTTCTGCTGGACAGTCTCAGATGATTCCTCGACCACGGTTTCTTCAATCTCTCTTCCAACTACGTGAGCATCTTTCCCAGTCTCTACCGAAGGACTGCGAGAACTCTGCCTGTTCCCGCGAAGAATATCCGCGTAGGAAGTAGATCCGGGCATCCAAATGGGACTAGCAGACCTTCCTCTCCTCTCGATCTTAGGCGCCAGCGTGTTCTTGATCGTCAAAGGCTCCTTCTTCTGTTCCACCACCGATTTAGGTGTCTCGTTGTCAGCCTCCGCGGACGAATTCCTCTCGCGAGATCCCTTGATCCGTTCTTGAACGTCTTTCTTCGCGGAGCCAGACCTTCTCGGCTGATTTCTCAATCGGTAGCTCACCGAATCGACTTTGGATACGTGTCTTCTTACCTCGGCTCTCGCGTCGGGCTCGCTCTGCTCTTCGAACTTCGTCGCCTGTTCCTCTTTCGTCTTCGTTTCGGTTCTGGCGACGTTCGTTAGAGCATCGTCGCGGATCGGCTCGACAGCTGGTTGTTTCTGGGCTTCGATCGTTCTGGACAGTTGCACGGTGGGTTTCAGCACCTGAATCGAGAGAGGGGTCGACGAAGCCTCGTCACGCGAGGTGTTTCTGAACGGGCTAGAACCCCTCGAGCTCGGGCTGGACCGGCCAGCGGCGATGTCCGCGTACGAGACCTGATTGACGAACCTTGTCTCGTTGCTCTGTACAAAGTACGGGTCCACGGCGTATATCTGATCCAACAGCGTCTTCGCCCGCTGCCTCCAATCGTCCATCCTTTGCTGCAGGCTCTGCTTTGTCCGCCACGGAGGGACAGCCAAGGCACAACAATGGAATACACATACGTCAATTTTTCTGGGTGATTTTCTCTAATTTTTTTTTTTTTTTTTTTTGGTTTGGTTTTGTTTTATTTTTTATTTTTTATTTTATTTTTTGGTTTGTTTGATTTTCGTGGCAAGGGTGAAAAAAAAAAGATCAGATGTTAAACTGGGGCGAGGATCGGGGTGGTTCTCTGGTTAGTACGACGTGGTCAGGAGTCACGATTAGTAATAGGTTGTTGAAAGAGCTTAGTATTCCCTTTAGTACAATATGTATGTGTGTATGCTAGATTAACGTTATGATCAGCGGTGGTGTAGCTCGCGGAAGAAATACACGATTCGCTTTGCGACAAAGAGGGCTCTTTATTCTCTCTTTTGAAACAGTGTACTGCTGATTGATTTCGTTTTCTTCCGTTGTACGAACGCAAGTCTGCTCTCTATGCCTGACGGAACAACAAATTCTAGGAAAAAAAACTTTGCTCGGTATGATAATGTAATATAGACAGTATACGTATACATACATACATTCATATATATATATATATATATATAATATAAAGTTCGCTAAAAAAAAGATCCTGAGGTATTAAAAATCGATCCGGTTTCCATTCCGTGAACGGAGAACGAACGTCTTCGCGCGACAGATCGGAAATCTCAGACATTTTCAAAAAACCTCGTCGCCATTTTCGCGTCGACGTTCCCTTCGTTCCGGATGGAGCGCGCGGAACTGACGGACCGAAGGGTGAGAAAAGAAACGAACGCGAGGAACGACGCCAACGATTCGCCGAGAACGCGAATCCACGTGGAATCGCGAGGTCACTCGACGATCTCGATCTCGATCTCCAAACGATCAACCTGCGGTCATGGATCCAACGGTTCTGGATCGGGCTTGCCGCGTTGCACGAGAATCTTCAACCTCTCTGTACGCGCCTGGATTTTGCTCTGCAACGACTTGATCCTCTCCCGGCAGATCTACGACGGGCGAGCAGAACGAACGAACAAGAAGGAAGAGCAACAACACGCCGAGCGATCGAGCAAGATGGACCGAGGAATGAACGATGTTCGATCCGTAGAGAGAAGAGAGACAGAGATCCGAGAAACCAAAGAGAAAATTGAAAGAAAGAGAAGAAGGTGGGCGAAATAGAGGGAGAGTAATTGACGATCGTGTGGAGGGGATCCCAGAAGACGACGATGGCGAAGCGGTAACGATGATCGATAAACGAAACGAAGAAGGGCGGGAACGTGAAACGGCGGACGGGATTTTTTTGTATTTTTTTCAAGGAGAGGCGGGAGAAGGTACAGCAAACAAAATGTTCGTAAATCAAATAGCCGATGCGACGGATTAAAGACAAGTTAAAACAGAAAGAAAAATTAAAAAAAAAAAAAAAAGAAAAGTAAAGCAACCACAAATGTGAAGTTAAATGAGAAAGAGATAGAACGAGAAGTGTGAAACGAACGAGAGAACGTAAGAGAAATTAATTAAAGTATTTGTAAGACCCGACTGGTCTTTCGGTGCGTCGACTTGTGCCCGCTGTGTTCTCACAAGTCTCAGCGCGCGTCTTGGAGGAGTCACTTGATTTTCTTGCGTGTTATCTTCCGTTTTATCGCGGTCGATCGTTCGCCATGCTATCTTCGTTGTGTTTCTTTCGGCACGATCGACGCGAACGAACGCTTTTCTGTTCATTTTCGTTTCAAAATTGCAACATATACGTGAGAGAACCAAAGAGTTTTGAGTTGAGCGCTGCTTTCGTGAACGACAGAAACTCGATGGAAAAAGCCTACGGTGAACAAGGTGTGTGAGACAGACACTTTTTGTGTGTGGTGAACGAAACGTTGCAAGACAATAAAACTCGTTTCGTTTCTCTTTTTTTTTTTTTTTTTTTTTTTTTACGCATACTGACACAACTTTTTACGTACGATTTGTGCGACTAATTTTTCATTGATACTTTATTTATTACTCTATGGATAGAAATATGCACATATATATAGAAAGAGAGAGAAAAAGAGTGCGATGCAACTCCAAAAATATATGGAACTGCGTTATTCTTGTAACATATTCGTTGATGATACATAAACAATATAGACAAGTGAGAAACGAAAAACTATAAATAAGATAGAAACACGTGACGTTATACAAAGAAAAGAAAAAAACAAGCAAAATCAAGTAAACCCCATCACGAGACAACATATATTATAATATATATATAGGTGTGTCGTTAAGAATAATGGTAGTGTAGAAACACGAATCATGAGACACGAATAGAAACTAGAGAAACAGACGAGTAAACGCAGAGACGTGCGTGAACAGTGACGTATGACCGATTGATCTCTCAGTTACAAAGAGAACAGGTGAGATAAAAACTTTAGTCAAGAGCATGATACCAACCAATACCGCGTACTTGATGTACCACCACGATGATTAAGCGTGCGAACGCGCGAATCTCGACGCGTGATCGTTGAATCGCCATATTGGCGAAAGAACGATCAATTTCATTTGAATACAAATTTCAAGGTGAAACGTTTTTGAAATAGTGGAAGCAGCGTGATTTTATTAGTAATCGGTATATACTTTTAGAGAAAGATGTAGAGAATGAATGGAAGGAGAGAGAGAGAGAAAGAGATATGTGTTGTTACAAATGTTTAGTATTATTAACAGATTAGCAGAGTTATTGGGCATTGGTGAATTTTATGAAAAGCTTAGGAGGAGGGGGAGGGAGAGAGGATCGAAAAAGATAATCGTATGAATAATGAGTATGAAACGAAGATCAATAAATAAGGATATGAAAGATGGATATGGACGATAATTTCAATGGAAACACTTTGACTGAAATTATAATAAGAAAAAGGCACGTCGACCTCTGTCTCCTCAGAATGGATCATCAAAATGTTTCCAGACTCTGATTCGTGCGTTGCAAATTTCTATTGGCCACTTCTATCCGATTTCAAACGAAATGACGAATATATATATATATATAGCCAATAAAAATTTCATTTCATCCTGACGCGGTTAAGGGATTAATGGCGGCTCGATCGACGGTTAATTGTTAGTCACTTGAGAGATTAATATTTCGAGAGCAGGCATGGAGTCTTGAGAGCAGATGCCGGAAAGAAATTCCCGATTTATCGATGAGAAACTACCCCCGACCACGAATTTAATATAGTACCAATTTGAAGAAAAAAAAAAAAAAAGAAACAATTCGATTCAAGGGAGTATTTGAAAAATATACGCGATTATTATCCTGGTGGTGGTCTTCAGTTGGTATCGAGCAAATGCAAAAAATCAACTTGCTGCTTTAGCGCACTTGTGCAGGTGGTAGAAAGGTGGGATCAAGACAAACCTACCTGTTGCTCCTGCAACGCCTTCTCCTTGTCGGTGGACAGATACGTCGGGCTCAGTATTGTCCTCAGTTGCTGCTCCACCTGCATAATCTGTTGCCTCAACTGCTGTATCTCCTAGAAACGACAAACAGGCGTCAGCCGTATTCTTTTGAACACCGTTGAAACGATTGCCAATCCATTTTAGTTCTAAGAAACAACGAAATGACTCTATACATCGTATGAAAGACTCAGTGTAAATCATTTTCTATAAAAAAACAACTCGCGCCATACTTGTCAGAATCTACAATCGATGGAACAATTACATTACAACGATCATGTTATAATTGTTGTAATGATCAAGTTGATTCAACGATTGACAATTTCATCAAAATGGCACAAATTGTTGGATAATGAGAAGCGACTTACATCGATTGATCTCTGAGCCTTCTATTTCATATTTTTATACAATCCTTTCATCCCTTTATTTATTTATTTGTTTCTAATTGGACCGGCAATCAAGTTTCAAAAGAATACAGCCGCAGTCTAGAGCGACGGAAGAGACAGTGGAACGATTCTAACCTGTTGATATTGGTCAATTTGAGCTAAACAAGCCTCCAACGCCGCGGTCTGTTCTTTCACGTTGGCGTGAAGGTTGTCTAGCTCGGCCAACAGCTCGTCAACGGTCTCGCCGATTCGACTATCGCCACCGATCCCGGACCGGAAGTGAACCTGAAGCTTCTCCATCGAAATACCGATTTTCGTTTTCTGTATCGCGACATCGCTCAGCATTTTCTCCCGTATAATATGCTGATCCCGTAACGGTTTCTTTTTGTTCTGCGGCGACTCGAGACTCAGTTTCGCTTTCTCGATCCACGTTTTCACCTCCTTCATCTTTCGCTCGCATTGCTCCCACTCCTCGCTAGTTTCTTGCAGCAACGCGTTCTGAAACGAACAGCACGAAACGAACAAGTTCATCTTACGCACGCAATTTCCCTCGCCCGGTTTACGAAATTGAAACTCGTCGAGATCGATCGAGAATAACCAACCCTTTCCAACAGTTGACCCTCCACTTGGACCTTCGCTTCCTCGGCCTCGAGCAGTTTCTCGGGCAGGTCGCCCACGCTGCAAACCTGACCGATACTCTCGAGCTCTTTACCCATGTCGCTGAGATTCTTGTTGATTTGTTTGCAGCTTTTCACGGCTATCTGCAAAGCCACCCCGAACCCGGATTAGGATTAATAAAACGCACGCGGAAATTACACTGAACCGCGATTCCTTCATTCGGGGAACTACAGAGGAACGTGTGTCTTCGAAGATCTCTAAGCTCAAGATCTCTAGCTGTAAATTCTCCGTGCAATTGAACTATCACTGCGAAAAGCATTGTTGCCTCTTTTTTCCAAGCGTTTTCTTTATTATATTCGACGTTTCATTTTTATAGTACCGAAATTTTTATATATACCGAAATTTTTGTAGTCGTAAACGATGACGAATTTTAGTGTTGAACCGGTTGACCCGATTAAATAATACCAATACTTTTTTGTAATTGAACCATCGAACGTATACAGAAGATAGAAAATTTAAGGGATGCTTCTCGATGCTATAACAAGACCAAGATCGACATCAAACAAAAATGAAGGACAAATTCTGCCACGTTCTCCCAGCTTCCTCCGTCACGTCGTCCGAAGAATCGCGGTTCAGTCGACAGGTTCCGAACGTACCGAATACTCGTGCAGCCTCTGCCTAGCCTGCACGAGGGTGCTGAGCTTCAGCGGCTCAACTAGGAACTGTCTCTTCTCCTCGATCCACGTCTTAATGGCCTCGTACAACGTCAAGAATCTCTGCCAAGCGTCGATGGTGTCAGCCACCACTTGCTTCCTCTCGTCTAGCCAATTCCTCACTTGGTTCAACTGTTCGGTGACACTGTGAACAGTGCTGTCGATCAACTGTTTCTCCGTGTCGTCCCTCGTGTTCTCCGCAATGGTACGGCCGTTTCTCGTTAGTCGTTCGAGCTTGTCGGTGACGGTGCCCAGCTCGTCTTGCACCTGTTTCAATTGTTCCTTCAGAGGGATGGGCTCGATGGATCTGTCCTGCACCTTCAGTTCGGCCTGTCTGATCCACGATTGAACCTCGTCGAGATCGGTCAGATAATCCGACCTGACGGTCCTCGCCCGTTTCTGCTCCCTCTGTTTCTCCTCCATCGTCTGCGCGGTTGCCTCGGCGCAGAGTTCAAGGGCTGTCAGGTGTTGAGCAAGATCGCTGGGTACCAGCTGCTGGCTAGCTTGGTACCGCGCCTTAGTGCTTCCTGAGAACGTTTTCGCGCTGTCGAGGAGCTGCTCGACAGACCAGCGTAGCTCGTCAAGCTCCTCCTCGGTCGCGTCCTGATCCGGACCGTACACGTAGAGGCTCGAGGCGCGTTCGCGCGCCTCGTTCAAACGCTTTCTCAGCTGCTCGATCTCACGCTCGGCGTCTTCGAACGTCTCCAAGTCCTCGTCCGCCTTCTTGGATTTCGTCTGCAGGGTGTCGACGAGCCTACAACGAGCACCGTGTTTCATTCCCCGTGTATCTGACGGTACGCGTAATTATTATTTATACGCAATGATGTGTGGGTGTCTCAAACGCGACGGGATCTTTCGCTGTTTTCCTTGGCTATTTCTTCGAGGTCGGTGATATTATACTCGCCGAAAGAAAATATTCGCGGAATGATTCGGTGAAATTAACTGAACTAACAGGACGATTCGAAACGAAAGAACTCGGGGCGGAGAATGATCCAAAGCGAAATGATTCGAAACAAAATAATCTCCAAACTGAGAGGTTCGAGGAATTTGAAATGGAACTAAAGACTTGGAGCTAAAATATTCACATTGATAATGATTTGAAAAGCGAAAAAAAAAAAGAAATTTAAAAATGGAATGATTTGAGGTATAAAATAACAAATAAATCCATCTCGCGAAGCTAAGATTCCAAACGAGATCGCGGAAGAATCGAGAGACGCGGACGTAAGTTCTGGCGCCAAAAAACGTTGGCGACAGTTCCCCGAAGATCAAAGCGCTCAGAGCCTTCACAATCTTCGGTAACTAGTTACGAAACGCAGTTGAAAATCGAAAGCATGAGAACGTAAACCACGAAAGAGCCTGGCGCCAAAGGAGTTTCTAACGACGATAGCTATACGTCCACTTTCCTTCATAGCTTCTAACATCACGTTACGCGAAGCGAAACGAAGTTGTGCGAAACCAAAGACTGAGAACAGAGTCACGAACTGAAGCCTGACGGTCAAAGTGAAGCATCGCGACGCGTGTAAGTAACGTAACTTACGCGTATTCTCCGCAAGAAACCGAACAACGTACTTGGGTAGACGACACAGTCGCAGGTTACAGGTGTTTACAGGGTCGAGAGAGGCCGATGCACCAACGTGATCGTCGGCAAGCCTGTGGTAGCTACCTTACTAAACGGAAAACGATTTTCCCCTTAGCGGCGTGCTTGCGCACGGAGGCCACGCGTAAAAATAGATTTTAGCATATTTCCCCGTGGGCTACGAGTCTCCGATAATGCGTGCCAACGCGCGGTCATCGAGCCCCTGTCTATCGTGCTTGTAGGCCATAGGTCAACGAAGCAGTCACGAGGTGGAAGAAAGAAGAAAAAAGAAGAAAAAGAAGAAAAGAAAAAGACGGATGATAACAGAGGATCGATCGGTCAGAAGGAATCGTCCGAGGCAGAGATGCGACGGAATTAGAATCGAAAATGCGTGTCGCTGGTTCGGCTGTGGCTGGCTTCATTCCAGCAAGAACGGAGGACGCTTTGGCTAAAAGTAGATGAACGACTCTACTATTCGCTCATGTGTATGAGAGAGGAGTCCATATTTGTTGGGATTTCTTGTTGAATTTTTTTTGAATTACTTTGTCTGTCGTTGCCGATATAACTCCCACGCGTGATAACGATTTCGATCATATTTTTAATTTGATATATCCAGAGAGGTATGTCGAAGTCGAACAGAGTGGATTCGGAGATTCGGTTATTTTATTTACGTGTAAGTATTGGCTAAATTTGCTTTCGTTCTCGGTAAAAGGGTCAAAGATCGTGATCGATGAAGAAAATCGAATAGAGGGAATTCGAGGATTCGGCTGCTTTATTTGATCGCGGTAAATTTGTACGAATTTGTTTGAATATGTTGAATTCTGAGTAAAAAGATCAAGGATTGTGCGGATGCCAAGTGTTTTTGTAAAAGATGACAACGTCGCCACAGATATATCGTGCCGTGAGATTAGAGGAATGTTACAATCAGTCATCGTTCCGTTTGAACTCGTCTTATGTTCGGCTACAAACCAGTTTTCGTGACGTTACACATCGATCAACAATAACGTCAACGTTAAAATTGCAATTTTGATCACTCACTGAGAATTCTCCGATTGCCGGATCGGACAAGAAAATAAAACTTTCGTTCGTTAAAAATCAATCAGAACTCATCTTGGAAATTTTGATTGAATGTTGATGTTACATGTTACAAATTATTGTCAATTACCAAATGATTCTTTGCCTCTTTTGTTAATGTCTCATATAGAAAAAAAAATCGTCTGAGAAGACCGTGACACGCACGAGTCAGCCCGTAAGTGGAATTTCAGGATACGTGGAGGGCTCACGATGTCAATGTCAAGTTTCGTACGCACGGCGCGTTTCTTTTCGCACCATGACATCATCGTAGCTAATAATGAACGATGTTTAACGTGAGGTGCAATCACCAGCCGACGGCCGTGGTATTTTCGAGACGGAACAGAAATTTACGAAACACGTTACGCTCTGTATCGTCGCTGACTAATAGCGAAAGAGAGGGATAATAGTCACGTTCGTTAAATTTTCCTCACTTTCGAATATATCTCTTTGGATTTGTGAAAATTTCTACCATACGATATTTTAAACAATCGATCGAAATTTCTATATGAATATTTGCAGAATGATTGTTACTGTCCTCGAGACGCCGTGAGAAATTATAATTTATACAAATTTAACCGTCATGTTAAATGGATACTGCAACTTGAAAATCTTTGCTAAATCGTGTCATTGCCCTTGGGACAAGACCGATCGACAGCGAGTTCCGGAAGTATCTTGTCCACGTGATGCAATCCTTATGCGGGCATGTGACTCGATCCAATGTGCTCCGGCACATCACCGCGGCAACATCGTTCCTCGAGGTATTTTCGTAACACTGATCGAATGATTCCCTTTTCAGAGGATCTACCCATCAAGAAACACTGAACATATGAACCAATAAACTATCTTACGTTCCAATGAAACACTATTCTCTTGAAATAATCTAACACCGAACCAATTTTCACCAATTTCGACACCACTTCGACTAATCAAATACAAGTCGCCTGTCTACATTATCTAACTTTCTTTTCTTTGTTAAAACGAAAATCAAAAAAAGAAAAAAAAACATAATCTCAATCCCCTAAGAAACAAGATGAAACAAGATTTATCGACGACGAGATTCAACAAGGAGAGAAGACGGTATATATACCAATCTCAGTGAAAGTGGTGGACCCTCGTGATCGAATCGATAAATTTGTCGATCTCTCGACAAATCTCGTTCTTCGGGCTCGTTGCTCTTCTTTAGTAACGACTTCTTTGAGATAAACGCGTTCGCGGATCGCGTGAGATACGATGTGAAAGTCCGCCGTGGTAAAGTAAAATTTCGGACAACAGTATGGCGCGGCACGATCAAGCTAAACAGCAGCGTTCGCGGTTCGAAACGTTATTAGAAGGGGCGTAATAGCATTAGCTTTGAATTTTCGTCTTGGCGAGGCGCCGCGACGCATGCGGCTTGCGTTTGAACGGCTCGCCAAGCCGGACAGGAACGAAAATCGACGAGAACCGAGAAGCGGCGCACGCCGCGTCGTTCCTAAGAATAATATTCGCCTGGCTTCTTCGTCGTCTTCGTCTGCCAGTTCGTCGTGCTCTTCTCTAAGGAGGAAAGGCGAGTTCATTGGCTCGAAGATCTTCGCTTGTTTCCCATTTATTTTATTTTATTTTATTTTATTTTTTTTTTTTTTTTTTTTGGCACGCCGAGTAGAGATATGATTGCAACGTAGAACCGAAAATGTTGCGTCGAATGTTGCAACACGCGAGGAAACTGAGATTTTAACCTCTTTTCGCGAACTACGTACTGCAGATTTTGATGAAATGTTCGTAGATTGAGAATATCGTGCAACGTATTGTACGAATATGCTCAGAAGTCAGATCGGCAAGCTTCATTTTGCACCGAGTTTTCAATTTCATTAAACGCACGATTCATACTTGAAATATTAGAGAAACAAAGGTACTTATTTGTTGAATATAAATGGCGTAGATAATTGCAAATTTCATGACAAATTCTCAGAAACAATTGTCATTTTTCTTTTACATTTCAAAGAAATTGGAAAGTGGCTCTTATTTGAATTCTGATTTGTTAATCGTTGTTATAAAAGTAAAAATTCGTCTATGCAATCTACTTACAATTCAGACTCTTGACTTGATTTGAATAAATTAAAATTAAGACGTTGTTCTGTATAAAATTGTAGTTCAACTATGTCGCTCCATTTCAATTGGATCAATAAATAAAGAATCCCGATCCTATTAAGATTTCGAAGGACTTCTATATTTTCATCTGTGAGGCACAACTTCGTTTGGCGATATGAAGCGAGCAACTAAGTAGAAGATTAAAGCGACTGGCGAGAGATAACGAATTTATCAACCCTTATTATCAACCCTCGAGGTCACGACTATCTACGATAAAAATACACTAAAAAATCGATTTTGTAGCATCTACGCTATCAAAGAAGCTTTTTATATCTAGCAACGAAAATCAAATAAACAAACTGTCACATCTACGTCCACGATAGAAACTTCACTTCTTATCTTGAAAGTCGTCGTACGAAGTTCAGCGACTTCATTTTTGGAAAAAGGAAAAAAGAAGAAAAGGGCGAACCGAACAATCCACGAACCGAACAATTTTCTACGGCACTCGATTCGAGGATGTGTTTCTTTTGTTACATTGCAGCGAGAGACACGTGCTGCAATGTACCGGAACACGTTTCGCCGTTCTGCTCCGGTATCGATTGCTGATAGAGAGGCCACAAGCGCTGACGGTCATAATATTTAAGCCAATAACCGCGTACAATCCCGCTAACCCAATAAGCGACCGTGAAAATTTCATTGCTACGTACTGTCAATCGACATGCCGTGCTCGTTCACCACCAAGGTGCGTATACGCACTTGCCGACTATTGCACAACTTGACAGACACTGTCACTGCTGCTCCACGCACACTTTGTCTCGCTATTATAATAAGCTTTCAATAAACACAATGAAAAAACAGAACGAAAGAGATTCACGTTGGATCGGCTAAGCTTCTACAACAATTAATCTACTGAAACCTCGGACGGGATTTAACAATTAATTCGACTAAATTATAACTGATTTATAATGTCACGAAGGAAGAACCTTTGAAATCACTGTCACGGATATGCACACTTTACTCCGTATTCTCCGTATGCGCGAGAAATTCTTGGAAAATCACGAGATCCTCTTTAACTCGATCGTACAATCCACGGAACGTCATCCAAGTTCACGTAAGAAACTCGGCGTAATAATTGACACGACAGCTTTAATAAACGGCTCGTGAGGACACGCGGACCAGCCTCCTCCGCTACTTAGCAACGACAAAGCTCTCGTCACGCTTTATTTCCAGTGTGCGGCGCCGCGTACGAATGGTGACTGACGTGTGGAAACCGGGCCGCTGATATTACGCCATGAAATTCAGAAGCGGGCCAACGTGCCACCGCCGACCCCGCGGTCGCTTCACTTTTCCTTGTCAAATCTATATTTAGTGCGAATTCGATCGACAACCAGGGAGTGAGTCTGACGGAGTGAGAGTCACGATTTGGCGAAGGGGTTGGCGAGCACAACCCCTTTACGAAACGAGAACGTGGAATCCGCGGTGGCGTGCAAGGTCTTCTGACTTGTCTCCCTCTCTTTCTCTCTCTCTCTCTCTCTCTCTCTCTCTCTCTCTCGCTTTCTCTCTCTTTCTCTTGCTTCCTTGCTTTCCCTCTTCCCTCCTCTCGTTTTGTTCTCCTCACGTGCGATCCTCGAATCGATGGGAATGCAGAGAGCCACGGATTACCTAATGTCGGCCGATTAATGACCCGACGGCGACGTCGTCGTGCGAATTACTCGGTGAAACGCAATCGGTTGCGCAATCTATTGAAACGTGTTTACAAACAGTATTGGTGGAAATAGATTTGCCGTGGGCGTGATGAGACTGTGGGTGGGTTTGATGCGACGGGAAATTGACACGTGTGAAAAGATTGTATGTGATTTATAGACTGCGGATTTATAGAAAATGGAAAGATACACGCGATATTTAATGTACGGAAATATATATAAAGTGTATAAAACAGAGTGTTTGTCACCGACATAGGTAAAGCAATTTAATTTACTTTGACATTTAATAATAGAGTATAACAAGTTATTTCTATTTAGATTCCATTTCGTTAATCATAATAATAGAGTAAAGTAATAATAGAGTATAACAAGTTATTTCTATTTAGATTCCATTTCGTTAATCATCTTCATAAATTTCATAAAAATTTTGCATTATTTGCACTATTTCTTTGATTAATTTTAATGAAATAATTATCAGAAATCTAATATTCTTAAGTCGATTCATACATGTATATATTGAGATTGGGAAAAATAATTCCTTTCCCTTAAATGTTTGTTTGTAGATATGGAGACGTTCAAAGTAGACTAGTCAATAAAATTTAATCAATATTCGAAGCAATTTAATTAATATTCTCAGGATGAAGCGAATATCTATTTGAAAAGATTTGGTAATGTTCACAAAACTTTGAATTTGCATATAGTGGTAGTTGTCTCGGATTTTCGAAATCTTCATCTTTCACATAAAAAAAGTTTTTTGTCAAACCTTAAATGAATTTACGTGTCAAAAATCTGCAGAAGATTTCATTCTTCAAATTTTATGAAGATAAGCTAACGAATGAAAATCAAGTGTAAGAATACTAATGAACAAAGTTGTCTGATTCAGATGATAAATAATCATGAATCACATTTTTCATTTTTAATCGAGATAACTAATAAAGTTTTCTTTCGAAAGTCTATGGACTTGGATGAAATATTATTCGGATTAAATCAACACTTTTGGCCAGCTTACTTTGTATTCGTTTTTGGATATTAATTTTGTGACGCAGTGCATATCGCGACACGCGATGTACAACTATTTACAAGGCTTAATTACGTCATGGGATTAATTTGGGTATGATGGAACGCAGTAGGACACGTAATGCATGCTAAATCGATGCATGTTGTAATCCATAAAGAATGTACTCCTATCGAAGAAACCACAATTCTTGTCCTTTCCATTTTTTCAACATCGTTTCTTTATTTATCTTGTTTTCGCGATATCGCGAAAAAGATTTCGACAGAAGTGTCTTTCTCGTTGAATCAATTAATTTTCGAGCTCGACTCCTCGATGTGCATATATTTTGAGAAAAACAGAACAGCGTGCGCAAGATGAACGAACTTTTAACGCAGAAACTCAAATTCACGACGAACAAATTAATATTAAATTAATAATAAATAGGTTCTAACGATTGGTGGCTACAAATAAGTTATCCTGAAAAGAATACGATATCAAAAAAGAATTGCAAAAGTATAACATGTTGTATGTACATGATTAAATAATATATCGATGTTCGATGCGAAGATTGCCTGAAACAAAATATATGGGATGGTGGGAAGCGAACATTACCTACCCCTTTCAAGGGGAGGGTAATATGCACAAGCAGGCATACACACATATACACGCATGCACATGCATCGAAATCGCACACAATCTCGCACCGCACGATATCCTCTGTTGATTCCGCAATTGGGCAGAATATTCAGACAATTCTCCTTTGAAAGAAAATTTAATGTTAACTTGAAGCTAAAACTAAGAAAGAAAAAAAAATAACAACTGAAAACTGAAATAAAGAATCTAAAATCATGTGAAACGTATGCAGATCTTTAACCAATCTTCTGCATATAAATCTTAAACTAAGAAAAGGAAAGTCATAAATTAACGAATGAACGATGGCTCTGGTATAAAACTATGTTCGAAATATAAATACGAAATAGTTAAAAATAAGACAACGAGAAACGAATGGAATGCGAAACGTCATCAGTCTTTATGAATTTTCAATTTCAAGAGAAACACGTTCGCGGAGAGAATATTCTTTGGCGACACCGACACAGTGTCTTTGGCAGTGCTTGTGGAACATCATAACGAAAAAGCAATTTTGACTCACGATTCGACGGAATTCTGCAGCTTATTCAACCTCTCTTCGAGAGCATGGGCTGGCGCCTCTGTGAAGGCTGCCAGGTACGCTAAAACAGGTCCTGACAAATCTTTCACCTCCGCTGTCATTGGTTTCAGCTTCTCGGCTTCCGCTACCAACTCCTGTACACATTAAAGATTATCGTCGTTACTTAGCTATTTAATTAACAGTTCAAGCACTTTTACAAAACAAATCGAATTTATACATGAAATATTATATGAATATATAAAAATTCCATGATACTGAGATAATTTCCCTTTTATCATTCTTCCTCAATTATTAGACAAATATTACACTTACGTGCAAAGCCTTGATGGTGTCTTTCAAGTGTTGCTTAGACCGAACTACGGTGTCTAGAAGTTTGCTCTTCTCTTCAATGGCATTTACACGGGTTTCAATCGCGGACCATTGCGCCTCCAGATCTTCCCAATGCTTGGAAAGCGCTTCGAGAGCGTCTCTGCGACCTTCTAGCCCAGAAATCAACTCTTTCCATTCCGTGCTGATTTCAGAGATTTGTGCTTCTATCGTCGTCTTGTTATTATTGTCAGCCAATCGAAGCACCTCGCGACTACGTTCGTTCAAAAGGTCTAATTCGAACTGCTGATTCTGTAATAGTCAAGGAATAAAAATTAATTTCTTTCCTATTTACGCGAAGGAATAATAATTTTGTCATTTGTCAAGAAATAACTATATTAACTAGCAATGTAATTGTAAATTACCACGACGAATAAATATCACAATTATCGACTAACCTGTATGTCATTGAGCGCGTGCGTGATCTTCTGGATGTTAAATTGCAATCCAGCCAGAGTCGTGACAGGCTCGTCAGTGAATCTGCTCCTCGCGATAACAGCTCGAACTCGCTCGAGGGTTTGCGTGTAGTCCCTCCAGGTTTCAGCGCCTTGTTCCAATCTGGCGCGTTGGGATTTCGCGGTATTCAACGTGTTCTTCAATAATTGAGTGTGCTGCTGTTGTTCCGCGCTCAGTTCTTCCTGCTCGGACGTGGTCAGCGATGGCCAAATTTTGTCACCTGCCTGTTGTATCTGCTGAGAAACCAGCTCGCGAATTGTTGGCTCGCTGCTGAAGTAAATCTGTGGAAATAATTCGTAAAATACGATATTATTTTATTGTTTCGCTCTGGATTTATTTAGAATCATCTTGAATACAATTCGATATTAATTTCATTTATTTAAGCTTATTAGTGAAAATTCTATTTTGTTAATTCTGATGTATCTCGAATCGTGAGTTCCAAGATCTATCTAAAATCTTCAAGACTCGAAAAAAGTTTCGAAAATTTAGTAAAAAAATTTAGCAACTCGGTAAAAAGTAATTTGGTAAAATTTAGTAAAAATTTTCGAAACTTGCAGAACTTTCACGACCTTGCTATTAAATTTTCAAGCCTCAATCAACCCCTGTGATGTACAAACCTTGTGCTCCTCGAGATCGCTCAGAATATTCTCGAAATCGAGTCCATCTTTGTCGCTCTCAAGCCGAACCTCCGCTTCGCGAACCCAATTTTGAAGCTTCTCAGTGAGAGCGGCGTACTCTTGCCTGAGTTTCATGTTACTCTCCAAATAATTTCCACGTTCCTCCATTTCTCTTGGCAAGGAGGTCAGCAGCGACACCGCCTCGCTGAGCATTTCTTTCAACGACCCAGGCATCCCCTCCTCGTGAGGCACGGAGTTCTTCAAGTTTCTGATTCTCTCGAGATGTTCGTTGACAGCCTCGCATAATTCGTTGTGATTCTTTAACTCGGCCTCCACACTGGTTGGATCTCTTTCTAAAAGAGGCCTGGATTTCACTTCTTTTTCTTTATCCTCCAACCAATCGAGAATCTCAGCCAATTCGTTCGCCAGTCTCTTATGTTCCGCCGCAGCTAACTCATGTTGCTCCCTCTGCGTTTCCACGGCTCTTCTCAGACCTTGCAGTTGTTGTTTCAGCGATTGTAACTGTTCCGTTATGTTGTTTCTATCTGCGGTCGAACCCTCTGCAGCGATCTGCTGGCCCTTGTCCGTGGCGCTTGCGAGGGTAGCTTCGCATTCTTGGATCTTTAGAATGGCGTCGTCGTATCTGAATGAAAATCGAGGAGGTGTTCAAGTATGAAGAATTTAATTTATATGTTAATTAAAACATTTAAATAAGAGTTAGTTATAAAACATAATGTCCAGTGTTACACACACATCTAAATGTTAAATGAAATATCTAAATATTGGAAACAGCTTAATAAAATACTTAAAAAAATACTAAAACACTTAAAAAATAAAATACTTAATATATAGATGTTTGAATAAATATATACTAAAAATAAATATTTAATACTCGAAAACACTTAAGAAAAAGCTTGATTAATTTACGATTTAAGCTATATTTAATACAATATAATAGAACCAAAAATGGTGAATCCCAATAGATCAATAAATAATACGAAGTAAAAGTACCTCTTAATCTTTTCCTCCGTAGTCTGGCCAGAGTTTTCGATGTCTCGAACAATCTCCGTATACTTAGCGATAAAAGTCGTAATTTCAGTGATCAAAGCGATGAATTGTTGTCGTAACAGAAGTAACTGGCGAAGTTTCGCTATTTGCGATTCTATAGCTTTTATGAGATCGTCCTGCTGAGTCAATACCCCATGAAGATCGGCTACGTTGACCGATTGGAGATCGGACAGTTTCGCCTTGTTTGCTTTCAGGTCGTTTAGGATCCTCTCGTAGGAATCTAACATAGCTTCCACGTCTTCGACGCGGGCACCGATCGGTTTATTAAGCTCGTGAAGTTCCTTCTGCACGTCTGTCATGTATTGAACCGCTTCGGCGACTCTGGCCAATGATTCCTCGGCTTCGTCGATGCTCTTTTGAAGTGCCAAAGCTCTTTCACTTATGATACCAGCCACTCTGCCGTGAGCCTCTTTCATGTTTTGTAACTGCTCGTTTAGCTCCAGTTTGTCAGCGTCGCTCACGGTCGGCAGAATCGATTTTCCTTGCTGTATTAGCTTCTCAATGTCGTCCGCGTACTCCTTTGCCTCCTTCTTTAGACGATCGTACTGAAGGAATTATTGTGAGAAATGGATATTAATTGGTGACGAAAAGTTAGATAAAGAATATAAGATTACAATCTGTTAATAAGTAATGTAACGAATTTAAATTAGAATAATATAGAAATTGTAATAGCTGAAGCATATTAAACATGTTGAACAATAAAAATTCAAAAAATCTTAACATTTCGTTGCTCAACTCTAATTTATTGATAGAGTGATAAAAAAAAAAAAGAATAGTACAGCAAGTTTTAGAACCTATTTGTATTAATCATCAAGACTATGCATCTAATCATGAAAAAAAGTTTTTACTGTGTCTGTTGTAATACATTTAAATACATAAACCTGTGTCATACCTTAGCCAACTGTTCTCTTAAAATGTCGATGCTAGAAGTCCTCAGATCCGAAGACGTGGCCACTTCAGCCTCATTGATCCATCTCTGACACTTGTCTATTTCACTTTCGAACGCTCTTCGTCCTTGAAGAAGATCTGCAAGCGCCGCCTGCTTCTCTTGCGCTTCGCTCTTCAGTTCTTCGTAATCCTTGTTCAATTCGTCCAAGATCTTTTCCAATTTCGCACGATCCTCCTCGTTACATTCCTTCAATAAGTTATGCCCTTGCTTCAAGATGTCGTTCAAGTCCTTCTCACTGAATGAATCAATGTCAGCTTCCAGCTCTCCATGCTGAATGATATCCTGTTCCACTTTCGATGCCTTCAGAGGCAAATAACCGCTTAGCTTCTTCAAATTATTGCTTTTCGACTTGATCCAGGCTCGTGCTCGTTCTAAATCACCCTCGAACTTGCGACGAGCGTCGGCTGCAGCCGTTGCACTAGAAATCCCTTCGGTCAAGATCGTGCAAAGCTGAGATTGTTCCCCACGCAAAGCTTTCGTTTCGTTTTCCAATTGTTGTTGTTCGTTGGTCTCTAATTCATTCTGCATATTACCGACTCGTTTCTCCAAGGTATCGATCACCATTTGTTTTCCTTCTGCTTCCTTCAGCATCGCCTGAAATTCATCAAAAATGTACGATTATATTTTTTGAAATAAGTACTTTAACGAGAGATTATACATGGGAGGAGAAATTATTTATTTGATAAAGTTGAAACGACAAGTTTGGAAAGAGCATAATGAAACAAAACGATAAATTTTTATATTTATAAAATAAACTTTTCTAATCTGAATTCTTTCAAGTATTAAATAAATTCCAAAGATCTCGACATTCAGATTGAATTACCTTCAAAGCAAGAAGCTTTTCCTCCACCTGCTTGCTATCAAAACCAACCGGATCAGAGATCTGTGCTTGCTGTTTCTTCTGCTGAATCCAGTCACGATTCTCTTCAATCTCTTGCCTGGTTGCCTCGATACCTTGAGCAGTCATGTCCAACACTTGCGCCTTCCTTTGCAGTTTCTTTGCTATATCAGCGTATCGTCTTTCCACGGACTTGATCTGCTCTTCTATCTGCTGTGAATCCAAGTTGCTCACAGAGTCCATCACTTGATCGCTCAAAGTTTTCACCTCGTTCAACTTTCCAGGTCCCTGAGACTCAAACTCCGTTGTGATCTCTTTCACACTGGCGATCTTCTGTCCGATTGTTTGCCCATTTCCCTTCTCGATAACGTCAACCTTCTTCGACAGAGCATCCAACCAGGATTGAATACTCTGCACCTGCGTTCTGTATTTTTGTATCAAGTCCTGGGCAGCTTGTTTGCCGGCGATAGCGTCCGTCAACTCTGCCTCCAGTTTGTTCAATCCTTCTTCGATATCTTGGTCGTCCTCGTGAAGCGACAGTTCGGTTAATGCGTGAGTTCGACGTTCTCCAACATTTGCAAGCAGATCGTTCATTGCTTGTAACTCGCCATGCGCGGCCTCGGATCTTAATTTCGCTGGCCGAGACTTCCACTCGGCACACAGAGCTCTTTGTTGATTTATCCAAGCTCGGAGGGTGTTTTTCTGACGGGTTTGTTCCTCCAATTCATTCAATGCTTTGGTCACATTCATCAAGTGTCCCTGGGCCTGTCGATGATATGAAATTTGATTTTTTCAGTGAAAGTTGCTACGTAATTTGATTAGTTTGCCTGTGATCTATCCTTACAATTAGACGCGGAGCACAAATTAAAAATTACAAAAACTGGAAAAAAAATTTCTGTAAGTTTTACAGTGACTGTAAAATGTTATTTAATTTTATTTGAACGAATAACAAGAACTTTTTATAGAAAATCCATTTAAAACTTAAATAGATAGATACTCGTAACTTTTAATTCCGAAAAGTTTTTCTACGATATGTAAACAACAAAACTTTCCAAGCGCAAAGACATAGATGATAAAATACCTGATCGATCAATTCCTCCAGTTTATTCCTAACTTCCACTTCCCTCGCCGGAATTTGCACAGGCGGCGCATCCAGAGGACTTCCGGGCCTGGAGACGCAAGCTACCGCAGCTTCGCAAGCTTCGACAGCCAAAGCAAGCCTCGTTTTCTCACCTTGTAATTTATTGTGTAATGTGCGAGCATTCTCGAATCTCTGTTTCGCTACATCAAGATTGTCCAGAGGTGCCTCCATTTCTTGCGCTATTTCCGGCTCATACGCATCCAAATTCTTCATAATGCTCTCCAAGGTGTTCTCATACTCCTGGAACTTGACCAACGACTCCGCCAATCGTTTTTTAATCTGCAACGCGGTGTTCAACAAAGAATTGTAACTCTCCTGAACATTTTGCAGCTGCGTTTCGATGACTGTTTTTATCTCAGGATTTACAGTCACGTATCGGCCAATCTGTCCGTTTCCTTTCACCTTCAAATCGTCTAGCACGCTCGTGTAATTCTCGATTTCAGCCAGAAGAATCTCGTGCTGCTTGATCTGCGACACTGTTTGCTCCTTATTGGTAATGTACAGTGAATTGTGCGCCATTAATTGGAAGGAGATTTGCAACAGCCATTTCTCGGTCTCTTGCAAGGCGGCGTGGTAAGCGTTGTACTCTTGGATTTCGTTTTCTATCAATTTCTTCCTCTCGTCAACGTTCTCGCTTAGATTTTCCCAACGTTTCAACAGTTCTCTCGTTCGTTCCAACGGCGTGTTCTTCTTCGCCAGTTTCGATAACTCGCCAGCTTCTTCCATCAGATGGTCCAACTCGGTCTTTTTGCCACGGACTTCCTCTTGGATATGCTTGTAACGTTCGAGCATCGTTTTCATATCACCAAACTCTCCCTTGGTGTCCGGAAGTTCCTGTGTAGCGTTCTCGGTCTCTTCCAACCAATGTTTCATCTTCCCATGAGCTTCTGTGTGATCGTCCCAACGATGTAACAGCGACTTAAGCTGTGCTTGAACAGTGTTCAAGTCAATGCTCAATTGTTCCCAGCTGGAAAGAAGTTCTGCCATGTCTGATCTTAGTTGATCCTGTTGCTCTGGCACTGCCGTGTCTATGGCTTTCGTGAAGGCGTTTTGTAACGTTGAAAGCAGATGTTGACCCTCCGTTATTCTAGTTGCGACAATCTGCAGATAACATGCAGGATGAAAGGAATGGTTAATTTAAGACTACGCTCGTCTTTTGGTGAGCCCCCATACAATCAATATAAAATAAAACTAATGTAACTTAAAAGGTCATATTTATTCATTGCAACGTGTTAATCGAAATCGGTAATAGCTTTGTCAATAATAAAACTGAGTTTTCACGTAGATTCTATACTTAATTGAACGAAGAAATTTAACTTGTGTAAAGATATAAAAATTTCTTAATTTATATAAATGTTTGTCTATTAGAAATTATTATATACAATCTACCTTGGATATTATACGCATTTGCAATTTACATTTTTGTAGAAACGTATAAAAATTGAAAATCATACAACATACCTTAATGGTTTCTAATTTATCCTTAGCCCATTCAGCATCCCCAACGCCCATGCAATCCTGCACAGAACCTCGAGCGATGCGCAGCCAATCTTCCATTTCCTTCTTCGCCTTCAAAAATTCGGTGTGATCCGATAAATTCTTCTCCACTCTTGAAACCAGACCTTGCATGTCTGTCAACAAGGACGTATAAGCTGACTGCAGTTGTACGGTCTTGTCACGAGCCCAGCTGCAAGCACTCATTTCCAACAATGCTTCGCATTTGTCGTTCAAATCTTCTAATACAGGCTTCTGTTGAATAGCTTCCTCCACGAGACTTTTGCACCGGATCAAATCCTCCGGGGTTTTGTTCTCCTTTGACTGCTCGTCGTTCACCTTCTTCTGGAAATGATCTATCCATCTTTTCATACTGTCCAACGCAGCCGTAAATTGAGACCAGCTGGAAATACAATTGGACAGAGTCTTCTGGGACTCGTGACACTGCGCCTGCAAGGATTTCCAATTCGCTTGTAGCTGTTTCTCATCCTGTTTGATAGCTTCTTGACCTTCAGGACCCGTGCTGGCAATCACCGCGTCGCTTAATTGAATAACATTTGAGATCAAGGTCTCCCCTTTGGGCAACGAGGCGATAATTTGATTCACTTTGTTCTCTCGTTCGATGATACGTTCTTTCTCGCCGTGGGTGTCGCAGTTTTGCTGAAGCTCCAATTTCGTGCGACGTACCCAGTCCGCGGCTTCGTTGTAAGCTTGTTGGAACTTCTCGTGATCGTTCACTTGCTCCTCCAAATTCTAGACGTGGAAATTTTTTAAAATATTAAAATATATATAGATACAGAGGTAATTCTTTCACATCGATTCAAGATAATTTTGTCTTCTTATAGAGGAAAGAAAAATATTACTTCTTACTCGGAAACAAAATAATAATAATAAAAGAAAACATTTTTCCTAGAATGTTAGAAATATTTGGTCCTAAAATAATTAATTAAAAGAATGATAGTAAAATACGTACTCGAATTTTTTCAGCAATCAGCTTGGTCAATTCATCGTATTTTGCAATGGTAGATTGATAAGGGCCGACGGGTATACTAGAATCCTCGGCTAGGCGAGCCTTCAATCGATCAACAGTCTCACCGTGGCCTTGGATATCCCTCTGAACCGTCCTGTACTTTTCCAACACCGCTCGTTTTTCACTGAGATCGTTCTTATACATTTCACCCGGCTGAATTTTGCCCTCGATCTCCTCGATCCAGTCTGTAGTGAGTCGATGAATTTTGTTCAATTCCTCCAACGCGCTTGCTCTCGCGGAAAGCTTCTGCCTTATGTCTTCGACATTGACCAACAATTTCTCGAATTCCGTCTTGAGGTTCTCCGTGTCCTCTTGAATTTTCGCGGCGCCATTCTGCTCCGTGTTCATAATTACCTTCTCCTTCAGCTCGAGAGCGTAGCGTAGCTTGTTTTGGCCTTGTTCCAAGGTTTGTCTAATAGCTTTGCAAGTATGCAGCTTGTTGTTCACCTCGGTCAGAGTGCTTGGGATCTCCTTGCACTCGCTCAGTTTGTCACGTGTTCGTTCTATCCAGTCCTGACACTCTTGATACAACGTATTGTGCTGCTGGTGTTCCTGAAGATGAATTTAAGTACTCGAGTTTCGTTTTTTATTAAAAAAAGTGAAATATTTTATTGATTAGCTTAAAAATCTATTGGATATCGAGGAATAAATGTCGATAAGTAATCCTGAATTTTTTCAGAATTTTTTAAACTCTGAAGAAAAAATTTTATTTTTATTTTATGTTCCCAAGCACGCTATGGGATCTGATATTAAAAATGATTTTTAAATACACAGTTCAAGACAAACTAGTATAATGTACCTGATAATGTAGTTCCAGACGTCTCATTATTTCTTTGGCCAGAGATAGAAGCGCGTTATACTTGGTTGTCAATTGGGTAATGGCGTTTGAGATTCTAGTGTCTGCACAAGTTTCCAACAGCATCTGAGCCTTCATGTTCAGTCGGTCGAGTTCTTTTTGCCAGTCGAACAACGTCTGCAAGTGGATTTGGAATTGTTCAAGAACATTCTTCTTTTCTTCTAAACTGTCTTGAAGTTTGTTGAATGATTGTACAAGCTGCTCGGTCTGTGTAAGCCATTCAGTAGCTTCTGAAAATTGGTCCTCGTACTCTGTCCATTTTACTATTCCTACTTCTAATAAACTCTTCGTATTGTTCAGTGAGTCCCTGTTAAAACATGCAGATTATCAGTATCTACTTCCAAATAATTAATCCTGCACTGAAGATATAATTAATAAAAATTTTCTATCTTTAATTTTTAATTATTATGCTTGTGTAAAACGCAATAAAAAATATACTAAGAAAACTAACAAAAAACAGTTAAAACGTACTGTTATAAAATTAAATATTATTCGAATTTTTGCGGCTCACTTCGAAAGTACAATATTTTATAAAAAAAAAAAAGAAAACTTACACATAGCTGTCGTACTCTTCCTGCAATAACGCCACTTCTTCCTCGATTATCTCCTTATCTTCCTCGTCGGCGATCTGACACGCAGCGTTCCCTTGTTCCAAAGCGTGTTGCAACTTCTTCTGCCCCTCTGGTAGCTCACTTTGCAGTACCTTCAACTGTGTAATCTTATTCGCCAGTGACTCCTTATCCCCAGTAGGCTCTGAACATTTTCCGAGTCTCTCCTTGGCTGCTCTTATCCACTGAATAAACTCATTGCCACTATCAATAAACGCTTGATGTTGCTCAACGGTCTCCTTTTGTTTCGCGTACAACTCCTGGGCCTGTTTGCTCAATGTTTCGTATTTTATCGAGATTTCGGTGGCCGGTGTGGCCTGTCGAAGATCCTCAGCCTTCGTGGTGACCGACTGAATCATCGGTTCGAACGCCACTATGTCTTGAACAATACTGTTCGTCTGTCTGAGGTTCGCCTTTCTTTCTCCGATAGCTAAAGAACTCAGGCCGGCCAGACCTTTCCTAGCTTTCGACACTTTCTGCTCGCAGACCTGTTGCAATTTAGCTTCTCTGTCGTTGATCCACTGTTGCAGTTGCAAGTAGGACGAACTGTAATCCGCCCATTGAAGGAGACTCGTCTCTAAATGGACTTTGGTCGTTGATATCTTCTTCACGAGTCGCTCCCAATCGTTCTGAATCTCCTTCAACTGAGCATTGATCTCTTCGCGGCCGTCTGATCGAGTATTTCTCATTACTTTCTCTCCACAGTTCACCGTCAGGTGTACCAGATTCTGACCTTCTTCGCGTTTTCTTAATAACTCTTGAATGTTGTCCAATCTGCTCTGTAACTCTTCTCGGCTGCTAGTGGACGCTGCTTCAGTCCCCTTGCGGATAATTTGCTTCGCGTTTTCGATCCAAGCACGGGTCTTGGCCAAGTTAGCTTCATACTCTTTGTGCTGAGCTAGATTAGTTTCAACTTTGTTCAAGACATCCTTGGCAAGGTTCACCTGTACCTGGTAACGCGAATTTAAGTGACGAAGTTGGTTGTTAATGTAAGTGTCCAGATGAGATGAAAGGAGGCCGGAGGCTGTTTTGTTGAATCTATCGATTTGTTCTTGTCCTTTTAGCAGGTTCTCCAGTATTTCTTTTACTTCTTGCACTTGTTTCTCTTTCTCCGCCACGTTCGGCAGAAGAGAATTCTTCTGTGCTTTTATCAGGATGTCGAACTGTTGTAACCAATCGCTCAGTCGTTCGTACTCATCCTTATAGTCACGCCATTGGCTCACCGTTTGCTCCAATTGATCTTTTTGTTGTTTAATTTCTGAAAATGAAATGAAAAAAAAATAAAGCAACAAATTACCTACGGTGAGAAAAACAGGTGTTTTCAGAATTCGGAATTCAGATATACGATAACTTTTTATACCTTGATCTCGCTTTATTTTCAATCAGACTTTATTTAATTTACAAGAAATTAATTTAATCAAATTAACTGAAAAGATTGTTACTTACCTCTAAACAGTTCCTCAAAGCTTTGTGTTAAAGCTTTCACCTCGTTCCTTATAATTTCCTGACCCTGAGGACTCGTGCTCGCGCAGACGACTTTCCCAGTATGCTGAAGATGTTCTACCAACAGTTCACCCTGAGCCTTCTTATTCAACAAACTCTCCAATGGGGCCACTGCATTTTCAATAGCCAATTTATCGCTCAGCGGTCTCTGTTTCATCGACGGGATCTTCTCGCGAGCTCGACTCAACCAATTAATAATATCATCATGCGCTTCTTTGTACAATCTATGATCTTTGTACTGTTCTTCGCGTTCGGTTAACAACGATTTAATCTTTTCGAACAACGTGTCGAATCTGTTCAAGATACTCTGTGCCTGCGATGCGGCCAAACCTTGAGGACCACTGGCGATCATTTCGGCGACCTTGATCTTCAGACTGTCAACTTCAATGTTCTCGCATCGAACCTTCTCTTCCAGGGCTTTGATACGTTCCAACTGGCATCTCTTCTCAGACATTGTCGTCCGGAATGGCAAGAACTCGTTCAAAGCCGACCGCATGTAATCAACAGTTTTATTTATCGATTGTATCTGTTCTAAAAGACCGGCCCATTTATTGATAGAATCGTCCAAATTGGTTTTAGTCTCCAACATCTTTGATGCCAGAGCGCTCCACTGTTCCTGTAGCTTACCAACAGCGTCGTTGATAGCCTTGTGTCCAGTGGGTGCTGTGTTTGCTAAGACAGCTTGGGCTAATTCTACGATTCCTTGAACCTTGGCGAATCCATCTTCCTTGTACAGTAATAGATCTTGAACTATCTCCATCTTGTTCTCCAGATCTTTCTGCGAAGACGCGCCTAGGTCAGAGCAATATGCCAGCTTCTTTCTAATGTCGTCCAACCATCTGGTACACTCTGCTACTTGATTGTCGAATTCTTGATGAGTGGTCACGTATTGATGCCAACGACCGTTAAGATCTTTCACTTTGTTCGATATCTGTTGATACTTGATGCTCAATTCCGATATATGCGTGGTGCGGGACGTGATGTTCTTGTGAAGCTGTTGAGCCTTCTCAGTCACAGCGTCGATTTCCAATTCTTTCGCGCGGACTTGCCCCTGGAGAGTTCGCAGAAGCTCCAACTGGTTTTTCTTCTCTTGCAACGTAGCCTTCAAGTCCACCGCGTGAAGCTTGGTATCGGTCTCTCTCATCCAGGCGAGGCACCGTTCCTTCGATGTTTCGAACTCGTTCCACTGTTGCAGCTTGTTCTCCAGAGTCTCGATGGTTGACTTGACCGCGGCGACCAAGCCTTCCCATTCTTGCTGAGACGAATCTATCTGGGAACGAATGTTAACCTGACCGGATTCCAAAGTTCCTGGAATCACCTTCTCTCCCAGAATCCTTATCTGCTGAACTCTTGGCTTGTCCTCTGGCAAACTCTGTAATAAATTCCTCAGTCGGTCCAGATTAGTGTGAAGGGACACTCGTTCCAATTCCGTGTCACCCCAAAGGATAACCGCATTGTGCGTCGCGTCTAACCACTCGTGAGTGTCGAGAACAGCCTTGCTGTACTGCTGATGGTCGCTGACTATACCCTCGTATCTCTCGACAAACGCGGCAGCACGTTTCAACACTGTAGCGTGTCTTTCGTTTAATCTCTTCAACGTCTGATGCACCTTGTCAGTGGAATCTGGCAAATTGTCAGCCTTGTCACGAAGATCGAGCAAATCTTGCTGATGAGATTGTATGTCGTGCAAGAACGAACGGTAGATCTGTAACTGAGCTCGTTTCTCATCCAATGTCGTTTTCAATTCAATTTCCGGCTTCAATTGACTCTCGACGGTCTTTAACCATCTGTCGAACAATTCGTTCGACTCGTCGAATCCGGACCAACGTGAAATCTTCGATTGTAACTCTCGTTCGGTCGATGCGATGCTATCGTAGAGTTCCTCGAAGGCTTGTTGAAGATCTAACAACTGTTGACGGACGATCTCTCTGCCCTCCGTGCCTGTGGTGGGGTACAAACGTTCTCCAGCTTCTACGGTGTTGTTTATTAAAAGGGTTGCCGAAGACTGACGAGCAAGAAGGTCTTTCAATGTTGCAACGTTCGAAGTTAACTCTTGACGAGTGCCACTGAGATCGTCTTTGATGGATTGGTAGGTAGTTCGGGTGTTTGCTAGCCATTCTGAGCACTGTTTGTAGCGCTCCAGATAGGCTACATGGTCTGCTACTGCTTGTTCGCATTTCTTTACCAATTCCTGTAATTGAATAAAAAAAAATGGCTAGCTTTAGTTTTAAATAATACACAATGTAGTAGATAACATAATTAAACAAATAATGATATTTTAAACTGTTGTAAGTTCGTGAAAGAAAAGATCATGTGACTCTAGAAAAGTTTTTTGATAGATTTTTAGAGACGTTTGAATTTTTGCAATTTTCGAAAATAAAAATATCCTCACTTTCCCACGTGCTGTATTATATAAAAATATTTTTAAAGAAAAACTATCATAGTAATTTTTTACACGGTTATAACGGTTTAAAATCGCTTTAAAGTCTTCGTTGTGATTGTCGTAGAAGTACCAAAATATTGATAAAAAGGTGAGAAGTTTGCAAACTTGTAATAAAATATTTTTGAAAAAAACTTATAAGAGACTTGGATTATTACGTTTAATATAATTTTCGATACTCACCTTAGCAGTCGCTTGAATAGATTGGAAACGCGAGGTGATCTGCTGAACATTGGCCGAAAACCTCGTTTCTCCGCTAATTTGCATCAACTCGGAAGATTCGTCGCTCATTTTATCGAACTCTGTCTCGTTTTGTCGAAGATTCACGATCAGCATCTACGAAACAGAAATCTCATTGAAGTACCAAGATATTTCGTATAGAAAGCTTTTGTATCTTTAAGTCTCGTTTATTTTATCATACGAAACTGAGATCAGAAGTACTGATTAAGTAGCTTTCCGTCGTTCTGAAGCTACCATAAATTCACAGACGTAACACGCATGTTCGTTTGTGTGTTTCGCGTGTGTTCTTGTACAAATGGTTAATGTGAATTCAATCAACTTGTCATGGATTTTTTCGCGTGCCATGACAACGCGACGTACGGGCTTGGTAACATGATTCTTCGATCAAGCGTGCTCGAAACAACACGTTCATGCATCGAAGTAAAACAAAAAGTAAAAAAAAAAAAAAAGAAAACAGAAGACACTCATACAAAATCTGTGTGTGTTAAAGTATTCGTAAAATGTTCAAGAAAGGACAAGTGTAAGTATCATAGTGTGAGCGGGTAGTGTATTGAGTTTTTCCAAACTTACCCCGACAATCTTAAAACAATTACTTTTCAATATGCACATACATATATGTATATATCATCGATCTAAATCACACTAAATCGTTGAGGAAAGAAGAGAAGAGAAGGAAAGAGAGAAAAAGAGCAGAAAAAAAGAACAAGTAGAATATAGAGACAAAGAAAAGAAAGTGAAGGAGATAGTAATGAGAGATCAATTGACAGAAAAGCGTTCACAACCCTGGTTGAACAAATTTTTTCGATGTTTCTCTTACTTGGTCCAGGTGGTCTCCTAGGGCCACCAGTTCCGTCACTTCCGTGTCCCACGATAAGGCGGTTTTTTGTAGTGCCTAAGAAAGTTTTCCAAAATACAATGCCTGATCTTGTATATACCACTTCTTATCTCTCTCGTATCTTTTCCTCTTCTTGATTAAAAATTAAAAAAAAAAAAAAGGAAAGTACTTCGCGTCGTTCGCGTCGTTACTCGTAAAAAAGAAAATAATCACGTTAGTAGCGTGACTTTGTTACGACAAGTTAATTTTTCAACGAAACGTCGAATTAATTTACCAATTAAAGGAACGTAACCTACACAGGTGTACACATAAATTGCAACGTTATGTCACGTTAGTCCTTTTTTTAAATAAATATTACCTGATACTTCTCCAGTTGTTCTTGTTTCTCTTCGAGAGTGTTCTTTAGGGAGTAATTTTTCAGAGATGACTCCGCATCAGCCAACCAAGCTAATAAACGTTCCAAAGAATTCTCGTACTCGCTCCATTGTTGGATTCTCTCCTCGATGCATCGAATAATATCATTTACTGCAGTGGCGAATTTCTTGTGCTCGAATCTGTAACATAAATCGAGTTTATTAAGAGAAAGTTTATCTAAGCTGGAATTCGAATAAAAGAAGTCTTACCTCAACGTAGCCAGGTCTCTTTCCATAGATTCTAGCGATCTGGGTGATAAATTATGTGCACTCTGAGCTACGTGTTCACTGAGGATATCTAATTTTAATTCTCCTTCTCTTTGGCCATCTTGAAGTTCCATAATCTTGGCCAACTGGGCTTGAAGGGCAGCTTTATTGCCCGTGTAGTCGCTGTAATTGGTCAATTGCTCCCATTGTTGCTTCTGGTAATCTTGATAGGATTTTTGAAGATCGTGAAACTGTTGGAACGTGTCGAGAAGTGTCTCCAAGTTGGCTATATTCTTCTGTGACATTTCGACCAAGTCCTCGTATCTTCCAGAAACCGAAGCAGCTTTCTGTCGAGCGTCCGATGGCGCTTGGACTGCATATGTTAATGCATTTGCCTTCTCTGAGACGCCCTCGATGATACGTTTGTATGCCAGAATTTCTTGGTGCATTCCCTATGAAAGACAGTAATATGTATTTTGATAAAAGATTTCCCATACTTTATAAAAAAATATAACATTTCCATTCAATTCCAAAATTAAGAAAAAAAATAAATAAATAAGAAAGAACTAAAACAAACAAAATAAATAAAATATGATAATGGAATAAATAAAAATAGAAAAGAACATTTCGTTATTAACAACAAAGTTTCTATTTCTCACTTCGACGAAAGAAGAAAATGTCTAAAAATACCTTGCTCTTCAGCAATTTGGACTTAATTTCCTGAAGAGAAGACCACGTGATCGTCGAATCCTGCTTTATAGATCTCTCCATAGTGTCCAACCAGGCCAAAATTTGTTGTAAAGTTTCCTGATAGTTGGTCCATTGCAAAGACTGAGCGTCTTGTTTCTTTTGCTGTTCGGCTATGCTTTCCACAAGTTTGTCCCATCGTTCTCGAGCCTGTCGTAACTCGTGACGAATCAGTTCCCTTCCTTGGGCAGATGTGTCAGCTAGAATTCTCTCTCCAAACGATATCAGACTTCCCAGTCGATGTTCACCCTGCTCTTTCTCAGCCAATAGTATCTGTAGACGAGAAACTTTTTCTTCCAAATTTCCACCAGTCTCGTCTTTCTTCAGACCGGCTAAACTTTGTTCCAACTGAGTCAACCAAGCGTCGATGACCTTTAGTTTCTCTTCATAAGCTCGATGGTCGTCTACGATACTCTGACACCTAGTCACTACTTCTTTGCTGAGCACGTGCAACAGTTGGTACCTGAGATTTTCATTTAAAGAATTTTATTTAAAACAAATGTAATATTTATATAGAGCAGACTCTTGTTTGAATTGATTTTACCTGTTGCTAATTTGAGAGATCATGGGTTTGATACGTTCAACACCACTCGCGTGAAGCAGACTATGAGACTTGTCAATGAACTCGTCTACATTCGATTCTTCCTTCAATATAGCGTCACGCTTCTCTTTCAACGCTTTCAAACGAGCCTCCTTATCCTGCAAAGTAGGCTGTAATTGTTGGTCCCTGAATGCGGCTTCCATCGTGGAGAACCATTTCGTGTGTGCTTCCAATTTGTCCTCGAAGTCTTGCCATTTCTGAAGAGCTGCCTTCTGCTTTTCTTCGACTGACTCTGCATGACGAGAAAAAGGACATAAAAAAAATTTCAATATTACATAAATTATAAAACTATATATGTTATAAATACAGGAAACGTAAGTTACACTTTTCGATGAAGCAATTTTTTTCTAAATATAGTAAAGTGAAACAATTAATTTTTTGTTGAATTTGTAAATACCTATTTCGGCTAAATATTGACGAAGATTGCCTTCCAAAACGGTGATCTCTTTATTAATGGCGTCCCATCCTTTCGGCGCGGTTCTTTTAATAACCGTGTCGCTAAGTTCCTTCAACTTTCCAAGCTGTTCCGCTCCCTGCATCTGATCGTCCCTCAACATCGCCAGAGTGGCTAATCTTCTGCAAATATCTGTTCTTTCTCCGGTAACGTCGTTACATTCCGCAAGCTTGTCTCTTTCACCGTTCAACCAGTCAGAGAAGCTCTTCACTTGCAAATTAAATCTATGATGTTTCTCTACGCAGTCTTCCAGATTTTCCAACAAATCTTTCGATTTTGCCACGATATTGTGGAACAGTTGTTTGATAGAGGGCAGGAAGACGTTCAGGGAAGTGTCCTTGGTCTGGTCCACCAATTGCTGAGCTTTGTCACAAACAGATTCTACCAAAGACTGATGAGACATGATCTCCTGATGCATGATCTTATGATTCTGCAATTGTGCTCGTTTCTCTTCCAATGTACACTTCAATTCCGTATGCTGATGCATAGCACGTTCCACGTCCCGAAGCCAGGCAGTCAGTTGCTCGTGGGACAAGGAGAATTCGGCGAATTGCATCAGACATTGGTCCAGCTTCTGCGTGGTATTCTGCAAATCTTCAGTAAATCCATCCCACAGAGTTCTCAAGTTTCTCAACTGTTGCCTGATAATCTCTCTACCGTCGGGAGATGTGTGAACGTATAATTTCTCTCCAAGATCTACGACCGACTCAAATCTAGCGTTCTCTTTCGTTCTAGTGTCAGCAAGATCGCGGATCAACTTCTGTCTGCTTTGCAGCACAGACAAATCGCCCACGATCTCGCTGTGCTTCTTCAGTTCCGACTGAATGTCCGTTATCCATTGCAGTAACTGATTATACTTCACATTGAAGGTGTTATGCTCCTTCACGAACTGCTCGTACCGCATCACGGCCTCCTTTATTTGATTTCTGATAGCTTGATACTTGGTGGTTTGTCTAGAAACTCTCGTAGCTAAGTCTGCTTCAGCCTCAATACTTTGACTCCTCTCGATGGTAGCGTTGAATTCCGCTCCTTTCGCGATGATGCTCTCTTCCAAGGACTTGAGCTTTTGTAAATGAGCCCTCTTCACTTCCTCGGTACTCTTCAAACTTTGATCTTTCAGTTGTGCCTCCATCTGTTTGATCCAGGCCTCCAACCCTTCCACGATCTTCTCGAACTCGGACCACTGATCGAACATGCGTTTCAACTTGTTTCTGGCAGCCTCGCATCGCTTCAGGAAGTCCTCCCATATCTTTTTCTGCTGTCCGAAGCTTGATACCAAAGCCGGATGGCCTTGCAGCGAGGTTTGTTCAAGAACGATGTTCAATTGCTCGTTACAGTCAGCCAGAGTTCGATCCCCTTCCGCCCTCTGTTGAAGAAGATTCTCGATAGCAGTGATTTTCGTCTGTGCGGTGTCACGTTCCACGGAAAAGTCTTCGATTATCGGTGTACCTTCGTTGATCACCGTGTTGATCCAGTCTCGAGTCTTCTCGAACGTCTGAAGATACGCTTCGTGGTTAGAGACGTGTTTCTCTGCTATGTTAATTCGCCCTTCGACCTCGTTAGACAGCTTCTCGTAAGCTTCGATCACGTTCGCCAGCATTTCGCTAGCATCGTCGTCCGGCGTTGTGCTTAGCCGATCTTGAAGCTGTTGAAGGATATTCTTGTGCACGCTGACGTCTTGCGCCACGGCCCTGTAGAGATGAAGAGTTAGCTTCTTCTCCTGTAACGTTGGCAACAACTCCTGTTTCTCTCCCAATTTATTCTGCGCGTCCACCAGCCACTGTTTCACTTGAGAGAACTTGTCTTCGAACGAGGATCTGTGCATCATGTCGCTCTCTATCCTCTTGTAAATCACGTTGGCATGGTCGGCCATCGCGTCCACGCGGTTACGGAAGTTTCTCAACTCGGTTCTGATTATCTCTCTCTGATCCGGTGTAATCCTGGCGAACAAAGCTTCGCCAGCCTCTGCAGTTTTGTTCAATATAGCCTGTCCGGTCTCTCGTTCCTCGGCAAAGGCCTTCAATTCCTTCAAACGCGACTGATAAAAGGTTATAGGCTTCGGTCCGGTGATCTCGTCGAACGCTTTCAACACTTTCTCAGCATTTTCGATCCAAGCTTCCAATTTCTTCTTATTAGCCACGTATTGATCCCTGTTCTCCTTTAATCCTTTCAGCCTGTCCAAATGCTGAGCAAGGAACTTCAACACGTAATCGTAACGCGTGTTCAGATGACCGATGTACTGGTTCACGCGTGATTCAGAGCTAACTCTGGTGATGTCTTCGGCGAGTGCGGTCAGCTCTTTCAATTCACCGTGATACTCCATCACTGTCTTCTGCACCTGACTCATCTCCGCGATTTTCTGCTCGATGTCGTTCGGATTAAGCAACGCGGACGCTTCAGCTCTGATTTTGTTCTCGTTTTCCTTCAACCAGGACAAAACATTCTCGGACGTAAGCTCGTAACGTTGCCACAGAGCGATATTTCTTTCGAGGTCGTTCTTGATCTTGTTGTAACTGTTTTTCAGGGATTCCAGGTCAACGTCGACCCTCTCGCACTCGGTTTTCAAAGCAGCCATCGTTTCGGCGCTTTCAACGGATGCCAGAAGCTTCAACGAGCTGTCTGTGTCTTCTTTCCTAGCGATGCAATCAGCGATTCCAGCCTCCACGTCCATCAAGGACGCCATTTTCACTTCTAGGTTGTAACGATCGCTGCTCTGCTCAGGTTCGCACCAAGCCACCTTCTCTTTGAGCGTCGCTACCATACGTTGAAGAGCTCCGAACTTCTCGTGGTACGATTTAGTCAAGAAGGCTATCAACGTCGCTATCACTTTGTTGGCGTGGCTGGCCACGCCGTCTCTTCGAAGCTGAAGAGCTTGCAATTCTTTTGGCAAACTGGACCTGGAGATGCTAGGATACTCCGTCGACATCTTCGTCAACGTCTCTTCGACTTTAGACAGAGCGTAGTCGCACTGTTCCAACTCTGTTTTCAATCCCTGACATTTATTGATCCGGCCAAGGATTTTGCTGTTCTCCCCGGTTAAATCGTCGCATTTAATAATGTCCTCGCGGATCTTCGATATCGCGTCGCCGCATCTCTTCATCTCCTGCCTGATTGTTCTTTCTCTCTCGTTCAACGTCGACGTTAGTGACTCTAATTTGTCCGCTGAACTTTTCACCACCGTGAATTGATCATCCAACAGCTTACGCAGAGAATTCAGCGTCGGGATGCTGGTGTCGCTGTTCAGTTTCGACAACTGCTCGATCTTCGTGACGATGTTCTGATACAATTGTTGATGACCAGGTAGCTCCTCTCTGTACCTAATTAATCTCGCTTGGCAATTCTCCGCGTCCATTAGACGCTCAAACGCACTGGTCAGAGCTTCGTTGGTGTTAGTCAGCCACTTGATAAGTTCAGATTTGGATTCTTCGATCTGTTTCCAAATGATTACTTGAGTCTCGTAAGCCTGCAGTTTTTCGCTGATGTCGTTGTAAGTGTCTTGATATCGTTGTTGAACTTCGATCAAATCGTTTTCAATCAGTTCGGAGTTGAATCTCGGCATTAAGGACGCTTCTTTCGTCAACTGTTGCGCCTTGGAGTCCATTTTCTCTAAGAAATGCCTACCCTTCTTCAGCACGTCCAGAGCTTTCTTATGTTTCTCCAGTGTGATATTCGCTTGAGTAACGTCGTAAGAAACTCCTTTCACCGACTGATACAAATCGGTCGCCTCTTTGATGGATTTCTCCACCTTTTGTCTAGCTTCTTCGTAACTTTTCCAATCAGTGTTCATGTCAGCGTATTTCTTCCTTTGCTCTCGAAGAAGCTCGTTAACCTTCTCCCAATTGGCGTCAACGGAAGATAGGACAACCTGAATGTTAGTCGTCGATCTTTGGTCCTCCTTCATCAGGGAACTTCCTTCGAAGTGAAGAATCTCTTTCTCCTGTTCCCTCTTCTGATGTTCCTCGATTAATTGGTCGATCTTGTCCACAGCGGGAGCCAACCGTTTACAAGAGTCAACGTTGTAAACTGTCTCCTGAAGAGCCGTTTGAGTGTTCAATATTTTCTCCGTGATGGTTTGCTGAAGCGTTCTGAAATTGTTCCATCTGGCCCCCAAACTTTCTAATCTGTCGCGTTTCGCGGATATTTCATTCTGCAGAGCTAAAGCCTTGTTCTCCAAATCGTTCAACAAACCCGACGCGGAGAGAGGTTTCCCCTGTTTGTCTCTAATCTGAATCCCAACCGCAGTATCGGGTAGGACGTGTTTCTTCCAGGTGTCTATCTTCTCATATATAGCCTGCAATTCCGAGGAGAATCTCTCCAAATCAGCGATAGTAGGTTTCCTAGCTTCAGCTTCGTATTTACAGTGACTCAACTGAGCATTGGCGTCGTTCAACCAGCTCAACATCTCTATCCATTTCTCTAATGCCTTCTTCTTCTGTTGCAGATCGTCGCCTAAAGCTTTGTACTTCTTCTCCAGACCAACGTAAGTGTCAACCAAGGCAACTTTGGCTGTCATCGAACCCTTGGGACATATGTTCTTCACCTCCTCGCAGATAGCTTCCAGACTGGGCTGTTTCTCGGAGTGTTCCTGAATGTACGCGTGCACAGCCTGAAGATTGGTGTCGACGCTGTCCACGCTCGCGTCGCTGATCTCAGCGATGTTCGATCTGAGTCGCGACATCCAGTTTTCCAAATCGGTGATCTTCATCTGGAATTCCTGGCGAGCTAACAGAGCATCGGAAACACGATTGATCTGTAATCTAACCGTATCAGCCAGCTTGCTGACTCTGGATTTAATGTCTGACACTCGAGCTTTCAAGTTAGTCGCCCCTTCCAACGACAACCCGTGACTGATATGATCAGACACTTGCGTCAGCGATATCAATTGAGCCTGATGGTCAGATATGGTTTTATTAAAGTCCTTCAATCGAGACTGCTCCTTTTCTAGGACCGATACTTCCGGTGTTTCAGTATTCGGTTCCACGAGAACAGTCCTCTCGGATTTCTCCAACCATTCGTGAAATTCTTTGATCTCAGATTCGAAGCTATTCCACGAAGTGACCAGTTTGTCCAATTTTGTAGTTGTTTGAACTGCTATGTCGTGCACCGCGTTCCAACGAGTGTGAACAGCGTCCACTTCGTCGGAGGCTGACGTCCTCCCTGATATTCGCTGACTGACCAGAGACAGATCTTGAATTTGCGGGAAGTGCTGTTGACATCGTACTTCGAACGCTTTGGCGGTTTCTAACATTTGAGCTGCCTGAGGTAGAGTGGTAGGTTTGCTGCCTATGGTGGCTGATTTCAACTCAGCTTCTTCGATCCAAGGTTTCAACTCTTGAATTCCTTTCTCGTACTCTTTCCAAGTTTGGAGGTTCTGTACAGCAGTTTGACGTTGAGTTACAATGCTCTTTTGAAGGGTTTCGATATTCTTCTCGAGATTGATGATGTCAGTGCGCAGCTGCTTTCCTGGAAGACTGTCAATTCCACCTGGAATTATGAATAAATTATTAATGATGACATCAAATAATTCTAGAAAGAAAATGTAGATAAAACGTTCCAGAAAATAATGATACAGATTTTGTTACTTTTATTCAATATATTTTATGAAGATTAACACTTTTACAAAATAGTTTGAAAGAAAAATTCATTCATACCTTTCACAAGTTTCTGCGACTCCTCTTCGAGGAACTTCAACGTTTTGTTTCTCTCCTGAATATCCTTTTGTAAGCTCTCAGTTCTGTAAACCATCTCTTCAGGAGTGGTTGCTAAATTTTCTGCATCTGCAATTGATTGAGGCGCACTCTGCTGAGTCCACAATTGCAGCTCGTTCAATTTCGCCTGGAACTTGTTCCATCTAGTACTATGCTCCTGTAGATACACGACCTTCTCTTGAACAGTCTTCAGAGTAGTCTCCATTCGTTTTTCAGTTTGAATGATCTCTTTCTTCAGTACTTCCTTCCTTTCAGGTGGTGCAACCTCCGTCAAATTACTGTAGGTCTCTTGCAGCTTTTTCAGTAGCTCCTCCGCAGATTTTCTCAATGTTGAACTAAAGTCCTGTTTACTCTGAAGATCGGATGACACCTGCGAAGCTTCATAATAGGTAGTCGATTCGATTCTCCTCAATTCCTCCTCAGCTTGTTCGATCAACTTTAAGATTTCTTCCTTTTGCTCCAAGTAAGTGTTCCACAGCTTTTGTGAGCTCTTCAGAGACTTCAGGGTCTCGACGCTTTGTCCATAAGTGTCGTTCCAGCTTGATTCTAATTGCTGAACCTCCGAAGATACGAATGGAGGCGCGTGTTGGTCTTTCAGAAGATCTTTACCACGTTGAAGCATGCTCACGATATTTGGTCTCTGTTGTTCCAACTGATTCAAACGGCTTTCCTGATGAGTAACCGCTGTCTGCAAGGTCTCCGGGGTTTCAGACACCACATCGACTTTCGACTGATCTTTAACTTTACGCAGAAGAGTGCACACTTCGCGAACTTCTTTCCTATAGGTGTAGCTTTTTGAGTAAATATCGGTTTTTGTCATAGTGATTTCTATCGTTGGTATGAGGTTCTTATAACGAGTGATCAACTGTTCTAGACGGTTTTGTTCTGAGAGAGCTTCGTGGTCTGAACGATTAGATGTCAGACTGTCCAGCGTCTGGACCAACCATTTCATCTCCTCCCGCTTGTTATCTGCTTCTCTGCATATTTTCTGTTGAATAATTTATTTTGGATATATTATAACGTAAAATATTGAATTTCCATGGTGAAATGTATATGTGAGTATATTTACCGTTAAAACTTGAACCTATAGCCGGTGTAAGCAATACAAGAAGAGAATGAAAAGAAGATATTTATATGCAATGTGCGTGATGAAGAGATAATTACATGCTAATTAACAATAGCTCTTAATGAACTCATTTAAATTTCTATTGTTATTCAAGGACTAAGAACAGGAATAGTCTATACCTGGAATATCGTTTTCTCCGCTTCGAATTCCTCCAACGTGTTCACCTCGTGCAGAATGGTCCTCAAGTTACCGTCCACATGGTCCATCCAACGTACCATCTCGTCAAATCTGAATTGACAATTCGTGTGAATTAACGAAGATATCGAAGAAGATATGTTCAAAGGGTGGAAATTCGTGAAAAAAGAATTCAGAAATTTAAAATTTGTCAAACGTGCTAGATCTCGACAACAGATAAAATATCAGATGGCCCAAAGTTATCGCAACTTTTTGCAATACTCACTTCTTCTTATAAGCAGCCCACTGCTCAGGCACTTGCTTCAATTGTTCCCTCAAACGTTCCACTTTCTGGGTGGAATCTTCCCATAGGCGTTCGGCGTGTTGTACAGATTCGGCCAAGCTATTGTCATTGGGTTTCAGTTGAGTATAAGCGTGGCTAATTTTCTTCAGAGTCTGCAGGGATTTCTCCACTTCCAGAACAGTGCCACGGTTCACGAAGAACTCTTTATTTCTTTGCAGTATACTCTCAACATTATCGTTTTTCATCAAAGCCTGCTGCTCCGAGTTCACCTCCACCTCGATCTCTTTCAGATACTGCAGGAACGTGGTTTCATCCAGACGGAACTCAAGTCTCATTAAATGAAGAGGAGCAAAGGTCAAGACCTCTTTCCAGCGTTTCTGAAGTGACTCAACTGCTTCTAAGATAGCAGCTTGCTTCTCCAGAGGTAGTATATTCTTCAAGTCCTGTCCAGCGTTCACAAAGTCTTGAATCCACTTCTCGTTCACATTGCTGAAGAAGTTCTTGTGATATTCTATGGATCGTCTATTATCGGTGTGTTTGTCATTCATCATGGTCTCAGCAACTGACAGCCATTCCCAGACTTGTCGTTCGCACTCTTTGAACTTGGTCCAACATCTAACAGCTTCCTGAAGTCGTTGCTCCAATGCCTGCGCCGCTTGAGACACTCTATTGAACCGCTCGTTCAATTCTCTCAACGTTCTGCCACCTTCTGCAGTAGCTACATCCGCGTGGCTGTCCACAGACTTCACTATACTAGTGAACACTTTGTTCTTCGATTCTAGCATGGATTTATAGTAAAGGGTTCTCGAAAAGAAGGCCTTGTGGCGCTCTAATTGGCCTAAAACGTACTCCCTACCACCTGACAAATCAACGTTAGTCAACATTCTCTCTGCTTCGTCCAGCCACGTGGCAATTTCCTTTTGGCCAGCTTCTAGAGACTCCTGCTGAACCAGGAGTTGATGGTACAGATGCAGCTGCATCGGTATCAAAGCTCGTACTTTAACCAAAGCTTCCTTCTCTTTCTTCAGGGTGTTCATCATTTTGTCCACTTCGTCCCGAGAGAGATCTTGAATCAACGACTGGAATTTCTTGCTGATAGTTTTGAACAGTTCTTCGATCTCTTCTACTTCAGTGTGGAAGACTTGCAACTTTTCACCGTAAGCCTGGATCTTCTCAGTTGTGGTTAGATCAGTGGCTGACAAGGCCGACTCGACTTTTCTCAGCCAGTTTTGTAAAGTTTCTACGCCCTGTCTGTAGTCCTTTCTATTTCGTATCACGTCACCGGCGTGCATGTACTGTTTAGCTTCCTGAAACAGAGCCTCCCATCTAGAAGTGAGATTCGTGTAACGTTGCTTCAGTTGTATAGCGACTGGTTCGTCAGAGGTGGCGATCAAGAACGTCACCGTGTCCGAAAGTTGTTGGTGTTTGTCTTTCCACACGCTTATATCTTGGAAGAATTCCATCTTGTCTTCCTCGGGAAGATGCAAGGCAGGCTCAGCACGATTCAACCAGGTCACAAATTCATCAGAGATGACGTTCCAGCGACGCCAATAGGCCACCACCTCCTCGAGCATGCTTTGCACGCAACGAAGGTCCATGGACACGCTCTTCCACTTGTCGCTGGTCTCTCGCATGAAACGATCGATGTTCGCGCTTTCTTCTGAGTCTGTGATATAGAAAAGCAGATATTTATACACAATAATGTTTATTTTTATTTCACTAAAAGTTAAATTAAGAATCCGTAAAATCTAAAATTTTATCATCCACAGCCTTGATAATGACGCTAAGTTTTCCAGCAATCGATCAAACCATTTTTCAAACCAGATTTCAAATACAAAAATTCAAAAAAAGGTAAATTTAAGAAAATTCCTAAATTTAAACATCCTACACTTTCCTCGACTAAGTCAAAGAAATTGCAGAAATTATTATACTCACCAACATCACCCTCACGTTTATAATCCTCGACAACTTGTTGCATGTCCAAATAGGCTTTTTGGAACTCCTGAAAGATTCTGTTTCGCGACACAAAGTTTCTATATTGCTCCAGCATCTGGTGCACGCTTTCCTCAGTGTCGTATTTCACGCTCCAACCCTTCAACTTCGTTTCAACCAGGAACAAGAAAGCAATAAGACAGCACTTGTGCTCCAGGAACTTTAATCGGATTCTGCGTTTGGCGACGCGATCTGGCAGGCTGTCCAATCGGGCCGCTATTTCGTTTAATTGTTGAGGATGCACTTTCAACGCGGCCTCGCTAGCTCTCGCCGCTTGAAATAGCTCCGTCATGGACGGAAGATCGAGGAAGAATTTTTTATGCTCCTCGAGCTTATTCGAGATTATGTTGGCTGTTTCGTCTGTCATTTCTTCCGGGATGTCGTTGTCGGATAGTAGAAGATCCTCCGCGCGATGCAACCATCTGCCTACCACTCCTAATTCTCCTGGCAGATAGGAATCTAGGAGCCAGAGCCAGCGTAACATCTAAAATATTGAAAGAAAAGTACTTTTATATATAAAATATTATTGCTTGATCGCTTACTACAGGCAAATATATTTTTAACAAGCGAATAATTTACGTTCAAATTTTATTGCTCACGTTATTTGACACCTAACTCTATGCATAATATTACTGTTCTAGATTCTCAGGAGAGTTTAAAAACGTTGTTCTGAAACATTTGGTTCATCGTAATATCACAATCTAAGATATCCATCAATTCTAGTATTATATTACACGATCATGCATCACACGCCAAATATTAAAATTCATTTCAAATATTAACAAATTCTTTCGAAGAATAGAAATCCAAGAGTGAAACTTTGCAAGTTCCGTCTACCGAGCAATAAATATTCATAGACGCATAAATTAAATTGACAATTTGCCAAAGAACATTAAACACGAACTTTGATAATCAAACACGCACTTCACAAAATTCATTATTCCATAAATTTTCAACTCACGAGCTTCTCCATAATTTTCCACAGATTCTGCACGTGCCTCCAAGACTCCCGCGTGATGCCGATCATGCTAGGCGTCTCGACGAAACGTTGCAGCTTATTGTACACGATCCTCTGCGGCTCGATTTCCGCTTTCAACGCGGCGTACTCCTTCAAATACAAAGTTCAAACAAAAAAAAAAAAAATGAATATCATTAAAACTACCGTTCACCTATTATTAAAACAATCGTACGGAACGTACATCGTAAAATGGTGAGCTGCCGACTTGTTTCAAATACTTCAGCCTCTCGTAGAGCCAACTGAGGAAGCTATCGTATTCCTGTTGGACAGCCGCGAAGGAATCGACAGCAGCGGATCCTGGCTCCGGGTATTTGTGCAAGAACTGAGCCACGTATGTCATGATAGATTTTTCATCGGGTTGGGGAACGTCGACGTCCTCGGGATCGAGAAGTCTGGCGATACCCAGCTCCGATTCCGCCACGTCGAACGCCGTTGCTAGACGGACTCTGTTCGTTGCTTCTCTCATTGCCGCGATGTTCACCAGGTTCGCCTTGATTGCGTCGATGATGGCCAGGAACGCGTTGCCGTCGCGCCAGCTTTCGCCAAAATCGCGTACCTGAATGTCCCTGTACGAAGAACAAATGAAAATTTAAGTGGACACTCGTGAATTAAGAAATTACTAGTAACGGTGGTTTCGAACGAGTATTATATATAAAATGATACTGACTTTGGCAGAGCATTGGTGACCCACTGGAGCAGAGTCTTCCTCGCTCCCTGCTTCCATTTCTCGCTGCTGATGCGTTTCCTCTCGCTGGTCGCGGACCCCTGAGTACTGAGACTCTCCAAGCTACTCTGACTACCCCACGTGTGTCCAAGATACTCCAAAGCTCTGGTGTTTTCCTCGATCTAGAAAAACGCGCGATTAGCGGACCGCGGTACACGGAGCACGAACAGCGATCTCAACAAGGTTGAGGGTCGGGGTTGGAGAACAGAAAAATTCACAAAGGGAAGGACTAGCGTGCGTAATTAGGGTGATGCATAAGATCAATGCGTGCTAACTTAACACATCCTCCTCTATAGCTCTTTACTGATCTTATTAACATCGTATTCAGATTATTCAATCTTTTATATCTTTTTTTTTTTAAGATTCATTCTTTTTTTCTTAAATAGCTACTCACCTTCCTTCGATCCTTCGATCGTAGCTTGTTTTTATGGAATAAATACGGTTAGCAGAATGGATTGTAATTTCTTACTTCGCTCTTAACGAGGATTAATTTCTTTTCATGAGACAACATAATCAAAATTTAAAACGAGAGAAACTTGTTAAATAAATGGGATGACTCGTTCAGAAAATTATTCATACGAGATTTCGCAAGGAGATTCTAGGAAGAAAAAAAAAAAGAAATAAGTGATCGAACAACTTCGTGACACGAGCAAATTAATCCCCGCTGCAAACGATCGTCGTAGTGCACGGATATCGTAACGCGTTTATATAATTCGATGTTACATGTGGAACGAGCGTTTTATTTAAGCAACTACCGCATTCTAGTAATAGTGTGCGATATTTCTTTACGTTAGCTTCGATTATATTCGACCGTGCGAACGGAAGAACGTCTACCTGGAAGTAAAGGATGATAGTCCATATCAGGCCTAACACTACAGGCGGTCGTCCGTCAACCAAGTCGGACGAATTGATGTTCACTAGTTTGATCTGCAACAATCGCAAACGTTACAAAGCTATCGTCTGTCAATTTTAAAATTGAATCTTCGAATCTTTAACCCTATAGAGTTTCAAACCTGGATTTGAAACTGGCTTAGACTTCGAGCGAAATTTTTATTCTTCCTCGAAAGTCTTCCAGAAGTTCGATCTGAAAACTGCGATCGTACGATAGAATAGAGAATTTATCAAGTAATCAAGTAAAATTTTTTCACATTTTTCGAAAGTCTAGACGAATAAAAAGAACACGAAGTTCTTGCGAGCAATGCGATGATACACTCGCTTGCCGGAGGGTTAAATCCGAATTTTTGAAATTTTAATTTCGAATGTTCTCAAGTGGTTACTCACTTTTTTGCTTTGCAGGAATTGAAGCGCGGTGTTTGCGTTACTAAGAAAATGCGGTCTCTTCAGGTTACGGCCTCTTTCCACCGGCTGCGAACAGAGAAACGCGTTTCGTACGGGTGTGTTCTATCGATCGAGAGTTAACGATACAACAGCTATTGTAACTTACCAGCTTCTCGCCGGAAAGAACTTCGAGCAACGCGAGTAGACGGGTGCCATCTTTAAGGTCCTCGATCAAATCCTCCACTCGAAGCGGAGGACTCCTCTGAAAGTGATTTCGATCATCGATACTCTCCTTTCTTTTATCTCAATACTGACAACGAAACTGATATAGATACTATCATCGTAATACATATTAAAGTGATTGATACTATGATTTCTAATACAATTTTTTAAATCGAGATCATATTTCTGAACTAACTTTCAAATTGTAATTAATAAAATTTTGTAATTAATATCAGATTATTGAATTTTTGTATTAAGTTACTAAAAATCAAGAGTAATAAAGTTATATTAATTTATAGTAAAATTGCTGAAAGTTTATTTTGTACTTTTCCTTCTTAGTTGAATTAAGTTAAAAATTCGAAAATTAAATAATTTAAAGTCCTAAATTATTACGACCTCCATACTGAACAATTAACCAGTTAAGAGTTAATTAAATTTAATTCCAAGTGAATCTTCCCTAAAATTTCTGGAATTGAGATCACGTTTCTGGATGAATTAAACGTAGTAGAAACATCGTGACGGGTGAATCTTCGGTAAAATTTCGAGCAGAGGACAGGATCGAACGCAATGTCGTGCCGGTTCTAGGGCATGCACATCCTCGGGTTCCGGGATTTCTAATTCAAGTTTCAAAGTATCCGGAAGTGCGGAAGTAGGGGAGCGGTATCGAGACTCGCGAGCCAGGTACGAGTTATTCCACCAAACTTCTGATATTCGTGATGAAGAGTAATTTCAACGATGCCTTATTACATAGAAGGGACGATGAAAAAAAAAAAAGGGAAAAACGCAAGAAGAGTTTGCGTAACATTCCGTGTATGGGAATTATCAAACAGGAAAAGGGAATATTCACGGAAGAGAAATCTCTGAAGGTTATTCACCCTGTCACTTGGTACCAGAAAATCGTTTTCACGAATTTCATATAAATTTTTATACGGTTTTTTTTTTTTTGTTCTGTCATTTTTACGAATTTCATCTAAATTTTCACATGTCCTTTCCATCCTATCAATTGGTACTAGAAAATTTTTTCTACGAATTTAATCTGAATTTTTACGTGTCGTTTTCATGTTCGAAAATTGTCTCCCCTAGTTTTGCCAAAAATCGTTTCTCCTTACCTTAGATAGATAAGAATTTATCCAGTTGACGAAGGTCTTCTTCTGTACGCGTTCTTGTTCATCTGAAAAAGAAACGAGCAAATTTTTAATAAATTGATGACATAATTATATAACTAGTTAAATTTGCGCTGTGTCAAAACGATTTTGAAATTTGTGTAACAGTCATCTGTGAAATACGATAAATTCAAAAAAATATATTTCGTGTATCAGTTTATTATTTGCCAGCAATGCTGATGATCTCGTATCTAAACGTACAGAAACTTTTCTGAACATTTTCTGAATAAAATTGACTTTTCATTCAATACGCGAGTTTATCACCAAGATACAAATTAAATTAGAACCATGATAAACGAGAATTAAGTTCAATGTTTTCAACTGTTATTTTACAAACTCGATCGATCAACTCTGTTCAATTGCAGGTACAAGCAAATCATGGAAAATGCTTTCGAAAAAATCATTAATCTTTCAATCTTTTGAAAAAAAATAGACTAAAAAATCGTCGTACAGTTGCGTCATTGATCTTTAAAACGAGTGCCAATATTCAAGATTCTTATTATCGTTCCACGAGATTTAACCTCCCGGTATCTTCCAAGATAAATAGAAATTCTTCGCACGATTACGTAAACGAATCGCATTTATTCTCGCAATAAGCGAGGACGTACATACTGATTTCATCGGCTTTGAAAAATAACTTTTTTTTACATCATTTCGAATCGCAAATCGAAACCGAGGAACGAACGATGTCGTTTCGAATATTTCGAAAAGAGTAGAGCCTCGTAAATAATATCGTGTCGCTAATTAATCGGCATCGACGTCCCGAGTTCAAGAATAATTATGACATATAACGTTTGACGAGATTGATCATGGATACGGCGAGAAAACGTCCGTAGAATATAATATTCGTACGTAGCGTTCGTGTAAATGGTACAGTCTTGAGTGTCATTACGTCATCGACAATTGCGCTGCCTCGTGATAGTTGCGCTGTGTGAACTCTAAATCGAGTTAGAGACCACGCTCTCGACGACTTGAAAATCGGGATCGACACATCGGGCATAAACTGATCGAATTAGCCGTCAACAGGCTAAGCGGCGAAGAAAAATTTGGCGAATCGAGTCGCACAGAGAAACGAAATAGCTGAAACCGGTTTCCCGCGTAGTAAATTTAGACAAACGCGCACGTAACGTCGAATCGACTGCTTTTACTATCAGCAAACGTTTCACGCTCTTACGTGAACCTCTAAAATATCACTTCGTGTGCCCAGAGTCATACACACCGGTAGAGTTTCATTCATTTCTTGCTGAAAGAGTCCACGTACCGTTCTATTTTTCGCCAACCGTTTACGTATACCTTTTTCCGTCGAATCTTTTTGCTATCAACAGAATGTACGTTCACTCTCAATCACGTTGATTTTCACGTTGTTGCATTCGTATTACTTTCATCGCGTGACTCGATTTCACTGATCCACGTCACTTTGACGATACAATGTTCTTACTGAAATTTACTTGTAAGTATCGCGTGATTGATTTCGTTGCTCTTTGGAATTACTATCGCAATATTGAAATTGAAGTGGAAATAAAAATAGAGAGTAGTAAGATCCAGATTAAAGAACAGACATCCGTATCTGCGTGACAATTCTCAATTCGCAAGAACGCATTTTCTTCCGCGAAACGTATGAAAAATTAAAGATCGAATAATTTCGTGTTACCTGGTGAAATTAAAACTTTTAAAGAATACTTTTAAAGAATAGCCGAAAAACAATTGGCCAGGCAATGATTAACAGGCAATATCTGATCCATTAAAATCCACGTGAATCATACGTGTAACTCTGCTCGAGCCGCTTGGAACGAGCAAAATTCGCGAATTCCCAGGGCTTCTAATTTTATGCACCCTTCGTCTCCGCACGAAAAATGTCCAACCAAGTCTAATTACGCTGTTCCCGCGAAAACACGAAAGAAGAAACACCGTAATCTCCACCGTGAATCGCAATATAAATCACGTTTTAAGGGGTGTACGCGTCTTATTTTGGGAACGATCATGCCGGACGATGGATCGTGGTCGTCGATAAGCCGAGGCAAGAGGGAAAAGTCGGTTGGGACCGAGCGTCAATTAAAAGGTGTGCACGTTGCACGATGCGTGCAAGAGACGAAGATGCTCGTGTGTAGCCCGCTGTCGGCAAGCATACGTGATCTGCATACACAGTGCGTTCTGTCACTTCTCGCGACAGACTTGCTTATTACAAGCTGCATTGTCCCCCTTTCACGTGGCTCAACCTGGTATAGTCTGGAGAAAAGATTTTTGACGCTCGAGCTCGTGGAAATATTCCCTTCTACGTTTCTACGTTAACAAAAATCTATTATCACGCTGTCGTCAAAAGCTTGTTCGCCAGCGTGTTAACACATTTGCAACGCGGATTCGTGCCGGCATACGCGTATGTTTAGATTTTACGTACACTCGGTACGTTTTATGTCCTTGCGAGAAGTCTGAAGATTCCAAACAAATGCACAGAACGCGCGTAGTAGAGAAAAATATATAAAATATTCAAAGTACGATATTTCTAAATTTCGATTTTATCGATTTCGAAACTCCTACTTTTTTTACTCTTCTGTGATAGGTGCTTCAGGCAAGAAGAGATTAAGATAAGATATTTCAGATCTTGGCGATAAGATATTTCAGAATAATTCGTATCAAGTGTAACATACTCTTGCGCGAAAGTGTTTTCAAATAAGTTTACTTTTTCAAATAATATATCATAGATAATAAAACTTTTTAATTGCATTTTGTCTATTAGACAATATAGTTTATACAAAATTACTTAAATTTCTCAATTTATAAGAGTCTTAAGTCTCAAGAGTACAGACAAATATTGTACGAAAATTATTTGTTGACATATGCACAAAGCATTGAAGATAACGAAATCCAGACTCAACGTGCTAATGCGATATTTTAACAGGTAAACGATATCTCTGTATATTCATATTATATAAATATTCAAAATCCATACTTTTGTATTTTGCTTTAATAAGTTTCGAGGGAACTAACCTCGAGCGTTAAACACTTCGCTCGAGGCTATAGAAATGTAGATCATGGGAAGCTATCACATTATTCGCTAATAGGTGTTTCTTCTATCTTAACTCGATAGATGAATCAACGATTCTAAATAGAGCTGAAAGCATTCGCATATAATTCGATGCTCGAATATTCCACTCGTATACTTGCTGCTATATCCTATTATTATCGCACGTATATTTTATTTTCATTGATGACACGTATAGAGAAAGATCTAACAGGGATCAGATGAAAGCTGCTCTAACCTTTGCAACGGTGCAATGTATTCAACGATAATTTAAGAAGACAACTCGATTGTTCTAATTTTTCTGACACCGTAGAGACCTATTGGGTCATGGAATCCTATTATAAATAGAACTATAATACAAGCTTACTACTTAGGAGTTATTAAACGATTAAACTACACTAATTAAAAATCAATAAATTATATTTTTTCAAACTTTAATTTACTTAAAGGAGAGACAGGTTATTAGTTACTTATATTTATTGAAATCTGGGAATTATTATAAATAAATAATTTGGTATTTTTGTAATGCTTAATTGATAAATTACACTAATGGAAATAATAGACAAAATAAAATTCTCAAAATACGGATACACGAATAAGTAATTTTCGGGTTATATGATATTATAGAGAATTAACAAAACTATGAAATTTCAAATATATTTCGTAGCAAATCCAAATTAAAAATCTGTTCTAACTTCAGCGGGTTTATTAATTCACACAGTGGATATGAAGATTATGGGCACGTGAGATTGATGCACACGTGTAATGCACCGTAAAATTACACGTTTCGCGGGAACGATGTAATTTAACTGTTCACTCTGACGGCTGGTTGATTGAAGACAAGAACAAAAACTGAAGAGGAAGAACCGAAACGAGACATTTGCCCAGTGAAAAGAAGCTGAAAGTAAAGAAGAAGAAACGGAGAACGAGTTCTAAGATCGAGTGTGAACAAGGAATTACGTTATTAGTTGTAAATTAACAGGGTCTGACGTTTTATTAGCGGCTTAATGGAACGATAATAAGAGTCACAGACATTAGAGGACATGCGATAAATTTTAAAGAAATACGATTCGTATTAATTTTAAAGAAATACGACCGATTAATGTTCCTGGAGGAAATAAAAAAGAATCGGAGCTCTGTTCGCGTACATACATACGTCGTAAAATGGCAGTATTTCGGAACGACGAAAGGACGATTAATTTCCTCGCATTTTCAGGTCAACTGTGATTTTTACTTTACTCTTTTATTTCTATTTTTCTTTTTTTTTAGGGGGGGGGTGTCGTTTTAAAGGTGCGGTCACTTTATGCGAAAAATTATGGTTGAGTATACGCTGCATCCGTCTGTCAGGTCACGATACTTATCTACTGCGCGTCAAATGTACTGTGTATGCTGGTAATATATGTTGCTACACAAGTGGGCTGTATTAAAAATTGTATATACGTATAAACCAATACATCTCATCTTTAACCTTTTCACATCCAGATTATTTCATAGTGATATTTGTAATGTTTCTACTTGCTATGAATAAGCATGCTGCAGAAGATGATTCATTTTATAATTCGAAGTATACGGCACTACAAAATTCGTAGTAAATTTGTGAAATTTATAAAATTTTATTAACAATTCAGTTGTGTGCAAAATAATTCAAATTTTATTAATAATTCAGTTGTGTGCAAAATAATTCAAGTTATGTACGTTGTATAAAATGAACAAATGGGTCGAGTATTTATACCCGACTTATATTTAGCAAAGGAGATAACGAAAATATTCCAGAATATTTAGATTTGATTGTATATGTTCAATTTGCAATAAAAAGTTCTTCCTCCAGAAGATTTTTCTATCTTTCACGAATTCTCCCGTCTTTCTTTCTCTTTCCATCAACAGATCACCTGATATTTTAAAATTATCCCCCTCCCTCTCTCTCTCTTTTCCTTGGAAAAAGGCACACACATAACGCGAGTCGTGTATATAAATTCGTATTTTTAGCAC